CCTTTGACATTAGTGTTAAAATTAAAATTTGACACCTCATATGAGAGCTGTTAGATCAAAAAAGAAAAACGACTCTAATTTGTAAGCATGTGACACCATTGCTCTTTTTTGATCTAACGGCTATCAGATAAGGTGTCAAATTTCAAATTTGACACCAGTGTCAAAGAATCTTATCTATATATATATATATATATATATATATATATATATATATATTGCCAATATTGAAGATTTTGCCGAGTCATTAAAATGTAAAAAATCTATTATTTTATTTTTTTTATAAATTAATATTTCTCATATTATAGGAGATAATATTAGTTTATATATATATATATATATATAAAAGCGTACGAGGTCTACGCTTGTTTTTTTTTCTTCCTTTACACAACATTATATGACCCTACATATTTTTTTGTGTATGCGAGAGATAAAACTATCTCTTAGATTCCTATAACATGAGAAACATTATTATCATTATTTTTGTTAAGTTAACTTGTACTCTTCAGGTTCGTATTATTAAAACATAAATATATGTTAAAAATTTTGAGTTTTAAAATAATGAAAAAAATAAGAAATATTATTTTTATTTTTAACATGTGTTAAGTCACGTTAACAAAGTCCATTTTTATTATGTATAAAAAAAGTCCTTTTTTATTATCAGTCACATTTTTTAAACAAATATTATCAGTCACATTTTTTAAACAAATATTATCAGTCACATCCAATCCAACTATTGTCCTTGTAAGTTGTAACGTAAAATTGTTTGTAATAAGATTGATTTAATATGATTATTAATTAGTGATATATATATGTATAGAAAAGAAAGGAGTGCTCTTTTTATATCCAGCTCAATTGACGATCTGTTTCTTTTTTCCGTCTTTCTCTCTTCTGTATTGTGGCTGACACCTACTCCTTCCCAGTAATCCACTATAGTCGAAGCCTCCACCAACACTATGGCTCGTCACTGACATTACCACTGATCGATCAAGCTCCTCGTTGTTGCTCTTCCACAGTACCTTTTAAGAATATTCCCTAATACTCCCATGACCCATCTCCGTCCCATTAATGATTAAAAATTATATATTCCCATAAAATATTGTAATACTTTACCTTCTGAAATATCTAAAATACCTAACTTCTATTGTGCATTCTCATCATTAATCAACGCTACATTCCGTTTTCTCATTTTATATTGACACAACACATCAAGCACTATGATAGTATAATAATGATTAAAAAATAGGTTTTTATAAGATATTGAATAATCGGATCATTCATTTGTTAGAAAAGTTTCTTAATTAAGTATGTAATAACCGGGACTTAGATTATTATATTTTACACAATGCAAATTTGAGTTATTTTTTACTTAAAAGAATCTGTATTTAATATACGAGGAAAGATATATTTTCAATTTCTAACTACTATTTTTACTATCATTTGATTAAAATTAAATCAATTATATCGAATGAGAGTCGTTAATTTAATTTTGATCAAACGGTAATAAAATAGTTGAAAAATTTATAAGGAAAAATATTATAAATATAATATATTTCTAAGTAAATTATCTAATCTCTCTTCCTAATAAAATTTTTCATTATTAAAATAGTTTATATTTAAGATTATGGGGAAGGATCCGTTTACAAACTTATTTTACAAATTTATGTAAATTGCACTATATTCTTCCGGGAGAAGATATTGTAGTTCAATGTTATAAAAACCGGACCGACCCGGCCGGGTCGACCCGAAAACCAGTGAACCGGTCATGCAACCGGTGCGGTTTTCATATTGGACCGGCCATGTTACAGAACCGGTGTGACCCGGCCGATTTTCATAAAAACCGGTGACCCGGCCCGGTCTATACAAAAAAAAACTAATTTATTTTCATAAATTAATGTCTTTTTTTTTTTTTACTCTCAAACACAAATGATTTGTTTTCTTTTGAAATATTTGAGTGATTTGTAGCTTATTAACTTACATAGATTATGTATCTACAACATTAATATTATCTTGATTATGGAATATGCAGGAAATTTTGATTTGATTTATAGTTAGAGATGTCGTTTACCGAACCTGAAACACCAGTATCACAAATATTATATGTTTGATTGATCTTTTGTTGGACAATGATGTGTAATTTATTATTTTCATATTAAAATATTTGAAATTGGTATTTTTTTTACAAGTATTTAAGTATATTTGTAGTTTTTTAATATAAACTGTAGATTTACATATACTTACCGGGTCATGCGGTTGAACCAGTGATCCAGTACCTCAATCAGGTCAATAACCGAGCCAGATTTAATAACATTGGTGTAGTTTGTAAGAATTTGTAAATAAAAAAGTTTATAAATATAACATATCCTAAGATTATTTCCATATTATATAATTTCTAATATCTAAAGTACTTAATTCGACTTGTTTGAAAGGAAATATCAGTCGACCAAGTCCTTACAAGGCGCAAGCTTTAGCCTGTTAGTTAGGGATTGATGATTACTTTTTCTGTCACGGATAAGGACTGGTTCTCTTCGTATTTAGGTTTTTTAGCCACGAGAAAAAGATTTGCTTGTTCGATATATACTTGTATTGGGTAAATGTAGAATGAGGAGGATGAGTCTATTGGTTTGCGATCTGAAAATTAGTGAGACCAGATTGTGATTGTTGATTGATAGAACAAGTCATGAACGTGATTATTTTGGACAGGTGGAATTTGTTGTGAAGCAATGCTTAGGAATTCTTGTGACTTTGTAAAGCCTAGTTCAAATATCTCACATCTTACAAGTTCTAACTTTATATAAGACATAGACATGAAAATCTTAATTCAGTTGTGCTATTATTTCAGTGCTTAAATATAATTTATGCATTATGTGTATTGCAATGTTTATAACATGAATTTGATTTTAATAATCATTTTTGTGCAAGAGTTAGAATACCATTGAGGAAATAATGAGGGGAAAGCTGTGTTATAGTCATAATTGTTGCTATTTTTTACTTTTATTTTTTTTTACAGAAAGCTATGTTAGGATACCATTTTATCCGATAGGCAAATTTTACATAAACATTTACTTTTGTTATCATATGACCAAAAAAGGAGCTAGCCGGGCACCATTACGCAAAGGAATGATAATAAAAATAAATAGAAGCAGCGTAATTAGGATTAAACAACTTTTGCACCAATATAGCATTATAATTATTAAGCGTTACATCAATTTAGTTTAGCAATCTTCTCCATTGTTATATATATATATATATATATATATATATATATATATATATACACGAGTTACCTACTATAAAAATTTGGACACGATTCACAAATTGACTACTTTAATTTCTTCTATATATATATATATATATACACGAGTTACCTACTATAAAAATTTAGACACCATTCACAAATTGACTACTTTAGTTTCTTCCCATATGCCTCTTTATGTGGAGAGCATTTGTAATAGTCCTGACACACCTACTCCTTCTATTGAGGAGCTGCCACTTGTAGAAAAAAAATAAAATTTTTCTCTTTTCACACAAGTAAATCAAAAAATACTTAATTTTCATTAGTTTGGACCACTGAATCATAGATGAGCCGGAAGCATATTAAATATTTTCCTCCATGTGAAAGAACATTGAGTATTAAGATTCACATTCAAAAATTACTTGGGAAATATTTTACTTCGATAATCCTCATAACTAAGTAATATGAATAACTAACAATTTGCTACTATTGTTTTAGAAGCATACCATATAAAAGAAGATTGATATCCGTCAACTAATTAAGCATTTTAGCGAGCTAAGTTTCTATCAAATGATCAAATGAATCTTCTTCACAAGATTAGTCTGGTGACCTTACTAATGAATCTTCTAATTACCCCATTTGATATATATATATATATATATATATATAGTTAAGATCATTTTTTACCAGTGTAAGTTACACTCTCAATCTTGTTCATTGATCTCACTTATATCTAAGGGCTCTAATTTTTTTAGTAATGTGAACCATTGAATACAAGTGAATCAATAATCAAGATTAAGTGTAAGACTTCTAACTCTTACACTAGTGTAAGAATATCCTGCCCCACACATACATATATATATATATATATATATATATATATATATATATATATATATTGTTTTAACCACTGGTCCTCTTCCATATTTATTCTTTAAAGATTAAAAAGAGTAGTTCTTTAATCTTCCAACTATTTTGGGGAATCTAAGGTTTTTTTTTTTTTTTTTTTTGTAAATAATCTAAGGTATTTTTGTCAGTACGCCATCGTTTAAATATTTTGGGAGTGTAGGATATTTTATATTGTCAGAGAATAAAATAAAAGTATTAAAAACGAACTTAACACTTTAAGATTTTGGATTGAAATGATTATTTACATGATATCAGAGTTTTAGTAATTATAAGATTGAATCCTTATTTGTACCATATCCATAATTAAAAAGATCATAACCTAACATCTTAAGATTTTAAGTTAAAGTAATTTTCTACATATATATACAGAGTTAAATCTAACAGTGGTTCTGGCAAGCCGTTAATCCATACGTTGTTACAAAAATAAATGTTAGAAGCAATTCAGCAAGAGTATACCTGAATTTGAATTTGAATTTTAATAAAAGAAAAAATAAAATAAACAGTCTATAGATTTTCGAAACTTCATAATAATGATGAGAGAACAGAGAAGGACAAAATTGTAATTGGGCAAGAATTATGACAGGTTTGCTAGGCGACAAACGAGGAGGTCGGCGATTGTCGGCCGGTGAAGCAGGGGAGACAAAAGCGGCGGAAATTCTAACTTCCAAAACATATTTCAAAAGAAAACCAAAAAATAAAAAAATAAAAAAATAAAAAAAAGGAAAAAGGACACTTCAATTAAATTTCCACTTAACTAAACCTAAGATTAATTAAACAATTTCCATAATTTAACTCCAGAATAAGCAAATCTTTTATCTCCCTCCTTCTCTCTCATTTGCTCTTTCTCTTTCTCCCTCTACACTGCGTGTGAGTACTCCACGAAACTCGCATGCTCTCTGATTCGGACCTCAATACCTATTTACCTGGTTGCAAGAAAGCTATAGATCTTCCCAACCCTGACTCTGCGATTCTACAAGTGTCTCATTTTTTTATTTATGAAGCCTCCGTGGCCGTGATTTGCATTTTTTTCTTTAACTTTTTGCTTGGTATGTCGTTTTGCTTTCAAACCCTAATCCTTCCTCTTAACCTCTCCTTCTCTTGTTTTCAACGATTTTCTCTCGCTTCTCGTTAATCTCTCTGTTTTATGCTTGGTTTCTGAAATCAGATTTTTAATTCGGTTAATGGTTTTGCTGCCTGTTTTCATTTTCTAATCTCTCTTCTGGTTTTGAATTTGTTCGAGTGAAGATCTTAGCTTGCAAATTATGTTTCCAAAATTTTCTACTGTTTTGTATTTTGTTGGAATCGTGAAGGAATTAAGCAAAAACGTGTTATCAATGTTCCGCCTCAAATGGATTATTCGATAATGTTATCTCTTGTTTTGAATGTCACATATCCATTGCATATTTTGGTTTAATCTTTGCTCACAAAGCCTATTTTGAATTTAGCAACATGTATCATCTGTCGTTTTTCTTATGGTCTATTCGGTTGGACAGAAAAATGTTGCAAACAATTAAAAAGATAGTTGGAAAAAAAAAATCAAGAACATAACAAATCTGCTGCCTAGTTGGCTTTTTCTTGATTTCATTGAATTGTACTTGCTCTTTGTTTGTTTTCACTGCCTAAATGGAATATTCATGCATAAGATGACATGAAATCTTAGACTTTGCATGTAAAACAAGATTAAATTTGTTGTTTTCTGCTTCCTGCTTCTTTCAAAATTCACTGAATTTTGGTTAATATGTTTGGCCTTTAGTGTTTTACTCTGCTTACTTTATCTGCTTTTTAAAACTGGGTGTGAAAACTTTAGTTGGATGCAGCTGTTGGGACTGATGCTGTTTTGATTCTAAATTGATAATTTCCCCCCCTTTGCTAACTCCCTTTCTTTCCCCGTTTTGATCCTGTGGCTTAAACAGTTGAGATCATTTTCTACCTGAGCTTACAAGGACAGTGAATGTGAATGATGGATGTTTCTGAGGTTGAAGAAAATCTATTTGCTGCAAGTGACGCCAAGGTATAAAATAGGACTCAATTTTATTTTATTTTATTTTTTTATATATAGTTTCTTTACGTTCTTCATTCAATTAGGCAGGTAACGGAAAAAGTATATATTTCTTTTATTTTTTTCACAAGTTATATTCAACCAACTAAGAGAAATAGTTGAATCTATCTACCTTTTAAGGCACACTTGAATTTTTTTTTTACATGATTATCACAACTGCTATCGAAGTTAATGTTTTTTATTGCTGGCCGAATGAAAAAGAAAGAGAGTAAATGTTTTGTGTTCTTATTATTGTTTCCCTTTCTCTTTCTATTTTTTTAAATTCTATGTAATGTAGTCTAACCAATATCTATGTGGAAACTTGTGCAGTTACATGGAGAAATGTGCAAGGCTTTTTCTATAATATATTGCAAAGTACTGTCAATATTTCCTTCTTTGGAAGCAGCTAGGCCTAGGAGTAAATGCGGAATCCAGGCATTATGTTCTTTGCATGTAGCCTTGGAGAAAGCCAAGAATGTTCTTCAGCACTGCTCAGAGTGTAGTAAACTTTACTTGGTATTATTTATTTCTTCTATTGGTTTTTTTGCTGATTATATCTCCCAGTATGCAAGGTTTTTATTTTACCTTAGCCCATTAAACAAGTATCTGTGGGTGGTTGGTGAGTTATTTGAATTGAAATACATTTTATGGAATATCTTACATATGTCATAACTTATGATGCAGGCTATAACTGGGGATTCTGTTCTTCTAAAATTTGAGAAGGCTAAAGGTGCTCTCGAAGATAGTCTTAGACGGGTGGAAGATATTGTTCCCCAGTCTATTGGGTGTCAGGTAATAAACTTCAACAATATGGCTGTGTAGTTCTTCTTTTTATTTTTTTGGTTAATTTCAGTTCATGATCCTAGTATATTACATGGAGGTACTTACTTAACATGGCTGATTTTTGTTTTGAGAGTATGAATGAGTGGGGCCATATTTTAAGATGTTTGAATTTGTTATTCCAAAATGATTGAATGCCACCTTATTTGCAATATTCTGGTTTTGGTTGTCAATGTTTGACTCGGTACGAGGTTTGACTCATTATCCGTTCAGGTTCAGGAGATTGTGAATGAACTTGCAAGTATGGCTTTTGCGCTTGACCCATCAGAGAAGCAAGTTGGCGATGATTTAATTTCATTGCTCCAGCAGGGGAGAAAGTTTAACGACTCTAATGACAGTAATGAGCTTGAATCTTTTCACCAGGCTGCTATTAGAGTTGGAATCACATCTTCAAGAGCAGCTCTAACCGAAAGAAGAGCTCTCAAGAAACTCATAGAGAGGGCTCAAGCTGAGGAAGACAAGCGGAAGGAATCAATTGTTGCTTATCTTTTATATCTTATGAGGAAGTACTCCAAGTTATTTAGAAGTGAGTTCTCAGATGACAATGATTCTCAGGGTTCTGCACCTTGTTCTCCCACTGTTCAGGGATCTATTGAGGACGGCGTTCCTGGTGGTCATTGTCAAGCTTTTGACAGACAGCTTTCAAAATTTAGTACCTTTAATTTCAAGGCAAATAATAATAGGAAATCAGAGCAGATGCCTCTTCCTCCCGAAGAGTTAAGGTGTCCTATGTCTCTTCAACTTATGTATGATCCGGTTATCATTGCTTCTGGGCAAACATATGAAAGGGTTTGCATAGAGAAATGGTTCGGTGATGGGCACAATAACTGCCCAAAGACCCAACAGAAACTTTCACATCTTTGTTTGACTCCGAATTACTGTGTTAAGGGTCTTGTTGCTAGTTGGTGTGAACAGAATGGAGTTCCTATTCCTGAAGGCCCTCCTGAATCTCTTGAACTTAATTATTGGAGATTTGCATTAGCAGAGTCTGAAACTACAAATTCAAGATCTGTAAATAGTGTCAGCTCTTGCAAGTTGAAGGGCATTGAAGTGGTTCCTTTAGAAGAGAGTGGTATCTCAGAGGAATCTGAAGGAAATGGAACTGAAGGTGCGTATGCAGAAGAGGAAGATACTGAGCAGTATTTAAGTTTTCTGAAAGTCTTGACTGAGGGGAACAATTGGAAGAGGAAATGTAAAGTGGTAGAAAAATTAAGGCTGTTGCTGAAGGATGATGAGGAAGCCAGGATTTTTATGGGGGCTAATGGGTTTGTTGAAGCACTTGTGCAGTTTGTGCAATCAGCTGTGCATGAAGGGAATTTGATGGCTCAGGAAAGTGGAGCAATGGCTCTCTTCAACCTGGCTGTGAATAACAACAGGTCTGCATTTATCTTTTTCTAGTTTTTATAATTTTGAATCATTAAGTAAAACTGCTTTTCATATGATTACCTTCATATGAATCAACAGTTCTTGGTATTTGATAAATGAGACCTTGCATTTTAGCCACAGCCCACAGCCTTACCTTCATTATCTTTTATTTTAAAAAAATAATCTTTAAATAAAAAAAAGCATCTTTATAATAGTGATCTGGTCATGCTCTAGCTTTTCAAGATCGTTGATGTATGCCAGCTTTTATTGTTTTTGTCCTCCCTCATTTTAGAAAAGGACAGCAGTATTACTCCTGCAAATTCTTTTACATTTCATTATAATAAAATAAATTGCACATTGTATGTAAGGTTTTATGGAAGCATATGTTGCAATAATGCCTCCACCTTTCAACATTCACCCAGGAGGGAAAAATAAAAATAAAAAAGAGATGTGTGTAGTGCAAGTGGATGTTGAAAACTGATGACTGCCTACGTTGAATGCGATGCAACAACTTCATGATATCCATTATTTCTTCAGTATTTAGGCTCTGATTCTTTTTTGGCATATTTAACTAGAAAATGAATGATCTTGCTTGTTCAGTTAATCTGTTCCAATAATAAATGTGGCTGAAGTTTCCCAAGATGTTAATGTTTATTAACTCTTTCTGCACGTCATTAACTTGAATTTGGTCTTTTTTACTTTTCAACAGAAATAAGGAAAATATGTTATCGGCTGGAATATTATCATTGTTGGAGGAAATGGTTTCTAATACTAGTTCTTATGGTTGTGCAACCGCTCTATATCTGAATCTCTCTTGTCTTGAAGAAGCCAAGCCTGTGATTGGCATGAGTCAGGCTGTCCAGTTCCTAATCCAGCTTCTTCAATCTGACTCTGGTGTTCAATGCAAGCAAGATTCTCTCCATGCTCTCTATAATATTTCTACTGTAACCTCCAATATTCATTACCTCCTTTCAACCGGCATCATTAATGGCCTACTATCCCTTCTTGTAGGTCAGGGTGATTGCATGTGGACAGAAAAATGCATAGCTGTTTTGATAAATTTGGCTAATTCCAAAGTCGGAAGCGAGGAAATGGTATTATCTCCTGGACTCATTAGTGCATTGGCTTCAATATTGGACACTGGTGAGCTCCTAGAGCAGGAGCAAGCCGTTTCTTGTCTCCTAATTTTGTGTAACAAAAGTGAGAAATGTAGCGAGATGGTTCTGCAAGAAGGGGTTATACCTGCATTGGTTTCACTATCAGTGAATGGGACCCCAAGAGGGAGAGAAAAAGCTCAGAAACTCTTGATGCTGTTCCGAGAGCAGCGACAACGAGACCATTCACAATTTAAGACACATCAGTGCCCACCTGAAACTAGTGATTTGTCTATGCCACCTGCTGAAATGAAACCGCTATGCAAGTCGATGTCTAGAACAAAGACAGGGAAAGCTCTTAGCTTTTTCTGGAAAAGCAAGAGCTATTCTGTTCACCAGTGTTAAGTTCCATGAATTGTAAATCTCTCTGTTAGTATGTTTACTTTTCTGGCCCTGCTTTTATCCACCTCTGCTTGTTCCCACGGTGCTGCTTATTTTTTGGTTTCGGAAGCGAAGAAGAGATGTACAGGCCTGTGTAATTTATGGATTTTGTTTTCTTCTTTCGCTTTCCTCTTTGTAATATCAATCTCTCCAAGTGTTAGATTTTTTTTTTTTTTTTGGAGGGGGGTCTCTATTTCACCGGGGCTTCAAGTGTTAGAATTACATTTTTGAAGTTAAGGTAAATGTGAATTATGTCCCAAGGTGTTTTCTCTGTGAAAAGAAGCTAAATAGTTCTTCAGCCGAGTTCTGATAAAAGCTAGCGCATGTAGCTTTAGCCGTTCAAGTTTCAAATTTTACTAGGCATGCGTTGTCTTTGGCCCGCGGCACTTGATTACTGGTACGCAAGTTAATCTGTAGCTTTTGATAATTTTCTAGATCGATACGCATTGATCGTTGTTTCGGTAAATACAATGATAGGGGCTTTTTGACCTTCTAGGTGCAAATTAGGGGGCAAAAAGTTGGGAATTGATATATGTGGAAAAGAAATCATTAAAGTGGGATATTATTTTCCAGAGTCTTCTACGAAAGGAAATCTGCCTTTTTCATGTTGTGAAAACTCGTTACTATGTTTACTACTCGGTTTTTACTTTTTATGCTGTTATTACTGTTAAGAGAGGTGATAAACTCTCTTTCTCTTGCGAGTTCGTAAATATGACTAAGAAGACAATTATTGACGTGTGTGATGATTTTTAAATGCTTATTTCCATTTCTTTATTTTTTTTTTTTTATAAAAAAATAGATTCTGGCTCAAATTCTCTAGAGAAGTGTAATGGGAATCCAAAAAATAAAATAAAATAATAATAGACAATTAATCTTCGCTTGCCAATTTTGATTCATAATTCTCTATAGCAGTATTCTGAATTTATTTTCTTACCGGAGATGAAAAGATTACAAAAATGTATAGAAAACTGTATTTTATTTTTACATACTGACCACTTTATTTGTTTCCCGAAATTTATTGTTAGTTCATCAAGCCTGCTTGAACGAAGGTAAAAGTAAAAAGGAACTTGGGAAGCACTATCTAAAAATTCAGGAACATCATGATGGATGAGAGATCTTGGTGGTTTGGCATAATTAGTCAAACTCGGGATCCACATATCAACCAAAATTCAAAAATATTTTCTTCTTTGTTGAGTGTTAACTTTGTTATTGCGTCATTTTTGAGCCCATTATTGGAACACATGCGCACACAAAGACATAATTAGTCAAACTCAGGGTCCATATAGCAATCAAAATTCAAATAGATTTTCTTCTCCGTTGAGTGTTGGCTTTGTTATTGCCTCAATTTTTGAGTCCACTTACTCGAGCACTTGCACACAAAACATTATTGGTCCATCGTTTTTTTGTGTTTAGAGATCCGTAATATATATATATATATATATATATATATATATATATATATATATAACATGATCGCATACAGAATCATAACCATATAAAATAATAAAAGAATAAAAAGAAAAAATATATTAAAATAAATAGTTACAAAATTATAATCATTGATTTATTATTATATAATTGTGATCTTTACACCATTATCATATCATATTTTTTTTCCACATCCATTTACTCAGAAGACTTCGATACTCTTCCTTTTTCGTATTCCCAACTGAAAAGTCTAGGTATTATTACCTACACTTGTTCATTGGAAACAGTTATATACTTTTCACATTTTGCGGAGGGACAGGCTAAGTCCCCATTTGCTTAGACTAATTAATACACGGATTTTTTTGGATGTTTTTGTTTTTTAATTAACAGAAGCAACATGGTGTTAGCTTTTTCGGCCAACAAAATTAATTGGGCAAATCATTTTCTAAAACAAAATAAATAAATTTACCAACCCCAACTTTTTAAAAAACAATTTATAAATTTAAGTCCAATTTTATTTAATGATACTGAAGCACTCAAAACTTTTAAATCAATTGTTTTGGTTTAAATATATTTTTTACTCTATCTAGACAAAATGATTTTAGGTTTTGGATTTTTATTTTTAAAACTTCATGAATGAATCATCCAATTTTTTTTAATGATCTTTTTTAACATTTTCATTATAAGTTGTCGTTACCATCCTACTTGAAATCCAACGTGGAGCGCAAGCATCCTACCAGTTGCGGAGCCGCCCCAAAAATTTAGGTGGTGCAAAAAATTTGACATATTAAATTATCAAAATATTTATCGTAATTACACAAATTTATCATAAAAAAATTTACTAGGAATTCTAACATAATTATCTAAATTATATACTAAATAATGTCATATAATATTGAAAATTCAAATGAACAATTGTCGTTGATTATATATCAAAATAAATATATAAAAATACATTAACCTTTTCGGTAAACATTTAAAACATAAGAATTTCACTTTCCTCCCACAACATAATAAGTAATGAACCAAATATTATCCTAAAGATATGAAAACACACCAATATAATAATTATATGTATAATAAGCATTGTCCTTCGTCTCCTATTTCATTATCTCTATTCCTTAAATTTTCAATGTCTCATGTTAGAGAACATCGTCCTTATTTGCAACAGCCATAAGCACGATGGAAAGTTCTCACATTTGGAAATAAGGTTTTTGACTATTCTTTATGTGTGCAATAACCACAACACAATAGTTCAATGGACCTTCATATTCCATAATTATAATCCTGTTATTCATTTGGTTTCAAGATTGTTACTTTCAAGGGTTAAGTGTTTGTCCTTTTAAAAAATACAAATTGTATCCTTTTAGTTTTTTTTTTTTTTTGGTGTCCTTGTATCCTTTTAGTTTTTAACACTATGTCTTACAGGTAAGACATAGTTATAACATGATTTTTTTTTTTCTCTTCAGGTCAGCTGAAGTGATTGAGGAAATAAATAAAAAAAAGTAATTTTTCATATTATAACTATGTTTTATCGATAAGATATAGTGTCAAAAACTAAAAGGATACAACCTGGTGTCCTTTAAAAGTATAAACCCTTTTTCCTACTTTTAAATGGATTTATTTGGTTTAGTTGAGCCCAAATATTAAAATAGGTCAACTAATTATTTTTGTAATTAAGTTTAAAAGTCTTTCTTTTTTTAAATAATAGGAGTAAGAATAACTAACATAACTGATTAGAATAAATCAGAAAGAAAAATACAAGATAAAAAATAAAAAAAAGGTAAAACACAAAAATAACCATACTATACATGTTTCTTATTATTTGTTTGCAGTTAAATGATTTGTTGTTATTTTGTATTGAGTATTTGATTTTCTATTTAGGTGGTGTCAAATTATAATTTTTTACCTTAGTTAATCATAATTAATTATATAATATATATAATAATAATAATAAAAAACAAACAGGTACGAAGGCAATTTGGATGTGGCTACGCCAGTGCATCCTATATCAACTATTGATGTTGATGTCGGCAAAAGGAAAGGGTGAAAATAAAACAATCTGTATGAGGAAATAACTATTTATTTAATTTAAGACTTCTTCATGATAACGCAACTTGTAATGAGTCATAAATTTGAATTTAAAGACTTCACCCCTAAACACAATCTTTTGTTATAAAAAAAAAAAAAAAAAAAAAACTTTTCTTTAATCCTTAAGTAATTGATAAGGAAGGAGTTATATTTCTCAACACTCTGTGTATGTACATAAATTTCATATTTCTGATTTCTGATTTCTGAACAGGTATAGTATTGTCGCACCATGTTGTGCAGCATTGCTGACGCAGCGAAAACGGTGAAGTAATAATGCTCAATTTGAATTATTTATACATAGACTGGGGAATGATACAACTACAATTTGTAGTCAGAGGGTATATTATTAAATCCAATTTGTAGTATATTATTAAATCCGGACCGGTCTTTGATTTGGTCAATGTATCACGTCAGTGGGTCACTGGTTCAACTGTATGATTTGAATATGTATATAAAATAATATTTTATACTTAATTATATAATAAATATTTTAAATGGTACAAGTGAACTAAGAACCAAATGTAATCAAGTGATAGATACTATGATTTATATCTTCCTAACAAGGGTTCGATCCCATTAGATGCAGCTTTTGAAACATTTCTATTAAATATTATGATAATTATACTAAACGGTGCATATTAACCAACAAGCGAACGTCGCCCACTAGACACAAGATCGAACCTCAGCGGCGGCAATATAGGAAATATTTTTTCCAAAACCAGTTTGAGCAAAGCAAAAAAGGGATACCGGTTGAACATCGGTTCACCACCAGGTCATCGAGTTGATACCGGATCAATGACATATCCGATCCATTGCTAAAATCATACTGGTTGATGGGCCGGTTTTCAGGAGAATCGGTTAGACCGTCCAGGCCGATCCGATTTTAGTAACACTTAGAGGCAAATGGACTATACAGAAAGAAGAAAAAAATATGAAGCTGGCAAATAGAAAGAGCTAGATTTGATTGCTTTGTTGCATAAAAAAAAGGGACTCAATTAATTAACAAGTTCCTTTCAAGATTTCAGGTAATAATTGAAGAACAAACTGCAAAAGAAAACAATAACAAAAAAGGGACACAGACATTCAAGTTAATTATATTCTGTGTGCCTCTTGGTTCTAGTAACGGCCAGGTTTCATGAGCCATGCAGACTCGAACAATTCCAAAAGAGAATCATTTTTGATGCTTTCGTTCGTTCCAACTTGGTTTGTCATAATACTTTCGTACTCTCCTTCTTTATTATTTCTATCATTCTTCTCACTTCCTTCATCCATATCAATCTTTTCCTCACTACTCTTCCACTCTTTCTCCATCTTCTCTTCCTTCCCTTTCTCTAATGCTTCCTTGTATGACCCTTTTATGTTACTCGGCACAGCCTCTAATGCTTCCTTATATGTCCCTTTCATGTGACTCGACACTGCCATGTCATGAACCTCTTTAATCTCAGCGTCTGATATAGGAGGAAAGCTTTCCATATCCACACTACTGTTAATAACATCTGAAGAATCCATTTGTAGGTACCCTTCTAGCTGTTCATTGCAATTGCTATCAACACCTATTGTTTTCTCATTTATCCTTGAATTTTCATGCCCCCAATTGTTTAACATAGAAACCAAACTATTCAAACTGGAGATGATGACATGGGTCAGAGCCCATTCTAAGAATGGGACTTTGTGGATTATTGTAGGAAACTCGTTCACTACACCATCAAAATTTTCAGGCAGGGACAGTATCATTAGCACAATTTCATCAACTTTGTCAAACACATATGTTGAAGGTGGAAACAATTTCTCGGTCATGTTTTCAACTGCTAGAATGCGATCATCAATGAAAGAGAGAATGGCTAGCCATTGGTATTGTATGGCGTAGATGAGGGGGGTGAAGAATTTGGCTAACTTTGCTACCCTTCTCAAAGTTGAACCTATTGGTCCATTCATATCTTGTGTTTTTCCAAATGCAATGTCAGCAATTGCAAAGATAGAGACTCCACATGCATGTAATGGACGATGCCTTGAACTCATTCTTGCGCTATCCTTTGGCTTCTCAGAAATCATAATAAAAAAAAATTAACACATGAAAGAGACAATTTTTTTTTATCATTAGTATTATATTAGGAAAAAAGAAATATCCTTTTGAATGAGACAAGCTTGTATCATTTTAAGTGTTTTACACAAAGTACGACCGGTCGTACTTTGTGTAAAACTGAAAAGTTTTTTTTTTTTCTTTCTCCCTAGTCACATCGCTGACGTGTAAAGTGAAAAAAAAGTAACTTTTCAAAATTACACAGAGTACGACCGGTCATACTCTGTAAATCACTAAAAGGACACAACTTGTATATTTTTAAATGACACACTAAACCCATTATATTATGGCAAAAGTATTTCTGCCATCGCTACAGAAATACTTTCTCTGTCACAAACACATTTTTATCATAATCTACTGGTGTAATGACGTTTTTTTTTTTAAAAAGAAATTTGCTGGTGAATATATATATGTGGCAGATAAACTTTTATGCCAGGGTTAGAGTCATATATGCATAGACTTCAAAGTAATCATGGAAATGTTGTTTTCACTATTTTATAACGAAATTGTTTCTGATAGACTTCAATGAAGCCCTTTCATCCGTATCACATAGCAGATCTGATATGCGTTGTTGTATTCTATAACAAATCTACCAGTTCATGACGAATCATGAAAGAAAAACGTATATGGCCTATTTGGTGTCTGACAAATCTGATGTAAAACAATGGGAATGTAACATTTTAAATAACAATTCCAAACTAATAACAATAGTAATGCAGTTAATCAATTAAACCGTGTTTCCTGATTTAAAAATAAAAATAAAAATAAAAATCAACATTACATGAAAAAATGATAAAAAAAAGCATCAAGGAAATTTTCAAACTCACTTGGGAAAAGAAAATGGTGGGTGGCATAATCGTGGTATTGGTGAAGATGCTAAGAGTAAATTAATCTGCAGGTAACTTGTCCCTTTAGAATTTATAGATCTATTGTTTTGCTCATGAGGCCAACAACTTAAAGATATAAAAAGAAAAAAAAAGGTCTGCATCGAACAATTTAACTTGCCCCGTAACAGAAAATTGCTCCTGGCAGCTAGGAATCAAGGGAGACCGTTAGATTGACCAGGCCTTTGATTTGTCTGTATATACATATAAAAAATTTAATCATATTTATAAAAGATGACTAATACAATAATAATAGTAATAATAATTTTTATTATTGATAAAATATAGCATATTTATTTCCATGGGTTGGGTTGACTACTTTAACTAAAAAAATATTTTTTTTTTTAAAAATACCAAGAGATGAATCCTTAATTAAAAGTATTATTTTAAAATAATTGAGCTTTCAGATAAGTAATAGTAAAATAAGCTAAGGCCAGAAATTATAAAAAAGTTGCTGAGCAATTAATTACTTGAACAATCAATCACTTGAATAATTAGTTTTTTAAATTTAAAATTAATATCAACATCAACAACATCTTTAACTCCGTCCATGTGTGATTGCATCTATGGCCTATTTCAAATTAGATCATAGAGAGGAAATAATATTTAGACGACCTTCATGGTCCTTCCAAAGAAAATAGGGTGGAGAGAGCAGAGAGCAGAGAGGAAAGAGGAGAGAGAGGAAGAAGAAAGAGGAGAGGCGGATCAGGGAATAAATTTCCCACAAAGAGGAGGGTTAGTGTAGGTGCCTGATACTGATAGTAAAAATTAGTTATATATATAGGAGAAAATTATGTTTATAAATTTTTTATTTATAAATTCTTATAAATTACATTATGTATTACGGATAATACGTCATTCCAAACAAAAAAAAAGTGTCCTGTCCTATATATAATTTGTAAACAACATTTTTGTTAATATAACTTATCCCATATTTATAAGATAAACTATCTTAAATTAAAAATATTTTAATTAAAAATGGCGGCAAGCTAGTTAATTGCTAATTGCTACATTTTATTTAATCTGGGGGTAAAAAAAAAAAATGCATACAAATTCCATATAGTTTAAGAGAAGTTCTAATCTTAACCCATTCCCGTTTTCGAATTGGGGTTGTGCGCGAGGATGGCGACCCTTCCCATAGTTCAATATGAAGAAAAGATCATTGAAACCATTGAGCAAAACCCCGTTGTGGTAATCATCGGAGAGACCGGTTCCGGCAAGAGCACTCAACTCTCTCAGATGCTTCACCGACGCGGTTACTCCGATTCCGGTAAAATCGCCGTCACTCAGCCCCGTCGAGTTGCCGCTGTCACCGTCGCCAGGTAGAGCTACTCAGTTCAATTTGAACTCTAGGGCATTCCTGATTTCTCATGATTTTGGATAACGAATTAATACAGAAGCATGCTGAACTGTGAGAAAACAATGCCTACGCCTACCTGAGATTTTGTGGAACATTGAATCGTATAGGACTTGCTTAATGTTTTCTTTACCCTGTGTCTGTGTTTGTGTTTTCGTTCTCACTAATACGTTGTTTTTGACTTCCAAAGACGAGTTGCACATGAGCTTGGTGTTCATCTTGGAGAGGAAGTGGGATACGCCATTCGATTTGAGGATAGGACTTCACACCACACGCGAATTAAGTAATGGTCCATTGGTGGCTTTCTTGTTTTAGTTTTGTATTACTCGAGTCACTTGGTTTTATTTTCAATTTGTCTCTGATTGTAAGGTAGTCATTGTCATTGATTTGTTTAGATACCTTACTGATGGGGTCCTCCTCCGCGAAAGTCTAGCTAATCCCGAGCTAAATGAGTATTCTGTAATCATATTGGATGAAGCTCATGAACGGAGTTTAAACACGTAAGATAGTATTCTCAAGTGTTAGGTTTATGCATTCAGATGTTGTTGTTTGTGCTATTTGTGATTGATGTCTTTATTATCAGGGATATATTGATGGGGCTGATGAAACGCTTGGTTAAACTTCGTTCCTCCCATCTTAAAGTTTTGATCACGTCGGCAACTCTTGATGGTGATAAAGTATCTAAGTTCTTTACAGATTGTCCTGTATTGACCATCCCAGGAAAATTGTATCCAGTTGAGATTCTTTATAGCAAGGAGCGTCCCTCAAGCTATCTTGAATCTTCTCTTAAAACAGCTCTTGGTATGAATATTAAATTTTAACCTCATTTTCACGCCAAGACACATGGTTTTAATAGTACCAGTAATAATTATTTAGCCTGTATGTTTGTTTAAATAAATTTTCCTTGGCAGGCATCATGTAGTTAGACAGAATTTGTGTAAAAATGCTATATGTTTGCCTTGCCCATTGCATTTTAATTAAAACTTGTATATTACATGTATATTTTCCATCTATTAAGATTTAATATAACTTCTCCTGAAAACTGGTCTTGACTCTTAAAAAAAAGATGATCATGGTTAAAATCATAATAAGCTGCTAAGGGGGGGATGCATTTTAAATCTGAATTGTGAAATCTACCATAGTAGTTAATTGCGCCGCAAGCCGCGCCGTAAGGGCATAGCGGTGCCTCTCCGCAAGAAATCGTGTTGCGCCGCACCAGAACGCAATAGCGGCCATTGCGATCGCATTTGCGGCCATATTGCTGTCATAAGGCAAAATGTCAATTTTGTCCTAAATTTAAATGTGTAACAGAAAAAATTTAAGGGTTTTTTAGTCTATTCGCGTCTCTCTCTGTCACTTCTGCTATCTCTGCCTTTAAAAAATGTTTCCTTTTGTCATTATTTCTGTCATATATCTATTCCGCTATTTCCGCAACCGCAACCTGCTATAACGCTATAGCGTTTTTCGCGTTGGCCGCGACATGCCGCAATCCGCACTTGATAACTATGAAATCTACCTGTTAATGTTGATATAAAAAATCACGTTTACTTCCTTTTGCTCCTTTGCTGATTGAATGGCTGGTAACTTTTCAAGTAGAAAGTCAGCAAATGTTGTCAAGTTGTGTCAACTTGACCAGTATACATTCCACTTCTGCTGTATTATTTCCTATAGTCGTATTTTTTTTTCCTGTGATTGATGAGGTATTGGTTTTGCAGATATACATGTTCGTGAACCAGAAGGGGATATTTTAATATTCATGACTGGACAGGTGAACATTTTTGTTATATGGTATTTAGTATTTACCCTATAACTTCTACTTAAGAGTTAAAATCTTAATCTCTTAGTTTTTAATATGATGCAATGATTGAACGAGTTTCAATGATCTTCGTACAGGATGACATAGAGAAGTTGGTATCTAAGTTGGAAGATAAAGTTCAGGCTCTCGAGGAAGGTTCCTGCATGGATGCTATAGTCCTTCCCCTACATGGTTCTTTGCCACCTGAATTGCAGGCAAGTAGTTTTCGTTTCTATACAATATTCCTAATCAAGAAATCTGCTCACCATTGCCATGAGTTACTCACTCCAAGTTCCAAAAACAATCAATTTTCTATAAACTGATTTTATGATGCATGTCTGAAACTTTAAATATGAAGAAACAGTATTTGTGAGAATATTTGGAAAGGCATAATAATTTCATTCCTATACATAATTCTTAGTTTTCTTTTTAGTTTTGTCTGTAGCAAACTTTACTATTTAGCACTTGTAGAATGTTGTTGTAAATAACTCAGTGTGAAACTGTCTTGACTGGATTTGTCTTTGTTCTGTCCTCTTTCGATTTGTTACTTACCTTGTTTGCTTCATAACTATATGTCAAATCATATTTCTTAGCTTGCTATTAATGCTTAAAAGCATATAATTTCGCCTTTTCATTTGGGGTAAACAATAAATATACAAATGTTGTTGTTTGAGGTATTCGATCCCCCCCCCCCCCCCCAAGTCATTATACCTTTTTCTTGTGTTTCTGAAACTCATGTATGTCTTTTATAATCTTACAGGTGCGTGTGTTTAGTCCTCCACCTCCTAATTGCAGGCGAATTATCGTTGCAACAAATATTGCTGAAACTTCTTTGACTGTTGATGGTGTAGTGTACGGGCGTTGATATTTGGTTAAATATTATTATTTTACAATTGAACTTCACAAGATAAATTATTGTATATTATTATTGTTGTTGCTGTTATTATTACTTATACTAATAATTCAAGTGCTTCTTATGTTTATAGCCTATTTATTTTCATCTTAGCCAGAATTGAGATGAAAAATGTTTGGAAAACCAAAACACACCATAATCCATTTCTTGAATATATGCTGACAGTTCATGCTTAAACTATTTCTGTAAAAGCAGTATGAATATTGCTTAATGTTGCACCCTGAAGGGGATGAGAATATTTTTGGCAATTGAAGAATACAAGTGCTCAATGTATATTATAGCTAACGATGCATTCTATTTCTTTTGACATAATTTAAAAAATTACAAGCAACAGGATGTGTGGTTACTTTAACTTATTCTTGAGATTGCATATTTTTTGAGATATGTAACTATTCAGTTTTCCAATGCATTATGCAAATTTATGTAAAGAATAAAGAGAAAAAATTAATGACGTTGACTTGTAAGACATTTTGGGATGTGACTATTGAGACGACAAACTTATCATTCTCGTCATTTGAATTTGTCCATTGTGATTTGGAGTGTATACGTATTTTTGTTTTTGTTGCATTTTTATATTTTCTCCTTTAGGTCAAGCCCATTATTTTGTCTACTCAGTTTCTGAAATTGTTTTTAATTTTATGAATTTTAGGTATGTTATTGATTCTGGGTATGTAAAGCAAAGGCAGTACAATCCATCTAGTGGCATGTATTCCCTTGATGTTGTTCAAATTAGCAAGTAAGCAATTAATAATTTAATATCTCATGGTTTGAAGCATATATACTGATGTGATGCTTTTTTACATGCTAAGCAAATCATATATGAAGTTTTATTTTTCCCTCAGTCTAGTGGTTCATACTTATTAAATTCATCTTGAATCATTTTTTATTACTATTAACAAAAAAGTAATTTTATATATTAGTTAAAAGGTTTCTTGTTGCATTAATAATTTTCAGGATTGTTTTAAATTTTTTGAAAAAACCAATTCAGAAGCTATAAGATGATTTAAAATGATTCCTGACATTGCAGAGTGCAAGCTAATCAGCGTGCAGGTCGAGCTGGACGAACACGTCCAGGGAAATGCTACCGTCTATATCCTTCCCAACTTTACCATGATGATTTCTTGGATGTTACAGTTCCTGAAATTCAGAGATCTTCTCTAGCTGGCAGTGTTCTTTACTTAAAGTCATTGGACCTCCCAGATATTGACATTCTCAAATTTGACTTTCTTGATCCTCCTTCACGTATGATGTTATTCATAATTTTAATAATTTTGCTACTTGTGATATTGATGGACTAAACTTGATTCTCATTGATCCTGGGAAATCTCTTTTTTTTGTTATCTCAGAAATTTAAATTCTTTGGCTTTCTTTCTTCACCCCACTTTTTTTTTTTGGGGGGGGGTGGGGTGGGGTTCCCTACTTGTATTGGTGTATGTGATTAGTTTCTGTTAGTTTTTAATATTGTTGATCCTTGACTAGTAATTTAATGGGTTTTTTTTTTTGGTAGAAATAATTTAATGGGTTTGCTTAACTATAATTTGTGATTGAATAACTGGGTTTTTTGCAGCTGAGTCCTTACAAGATGCGTTGAAGCAGTTATATCTAATTGATGCTATTGATGAAAATGGTGCAATTACAAGTATTGGAAGAAAAATGGCTGGTACTTGTTTTCTTTATTTACATTTTAGTATTGAATTTTAGATATCTGTATGGAGAAATCTCGCATTACGCATTATTGTTATCTTCTTGATCATAGTATGGGCCTTCACTAATATACCTTTTTTCTAATCATTATTATTTTCGTAGAAGTGTGTTTTTGCCAATGGATGTTGTGCTCAGTGTTGAACATAACCCATTAATTTTCCTATTCAGATGTTTAAAAATGAGTATTTCTCTAGGTTCCCTGAGTTGTTTCTTGATTCTATGCAGAGCTTCCATTGGAACCATCCCTATCAAGAACCTTAATGGAGGCAAACAATTATGGTTGCATACCTGAGGCTTTGACTGTTGCTGCAATGTTATCAGCTGAAACTACATTGCTGCCGGGACAGAGGTTGAGTCATCTGTTTATATATATATAGAGAGTAGGAGGAGTTTAGCATCCTCCATATTTTCAACTAGACTGAAAAATCTACTCTCTTTTTAAAATAGCGCACAAAACTTGTGATTATTGAGGCGTTTTATCTTTCATGGCTGATAGAATAATAGTCATACTTTCTGAATACCGTAAAGTTAAGCATGCTAGATAAATTGACACTCGTTGAAAAGCCTCAGCCATGTTGGTCATTCCTTGCGATTTTATGGTGTTGAGATATATAGTCCCACATTGATTGTGTGGGCAACTAATGTGGCCTTTATAAGGCCTTGGACACTCCCACCCTTTGAGCTAGCTTTTGGGGTGTGTATCCCAAGGTTCTTTACATGGTATCAAGAGCTGGTTATATTCCAGTCTCTTCCCTGTTCTGATTTATTTTTAAGTCATTTTCCTATTCCTTTTTTTTTTTTTTTTCGTTTTAGCCACTGCCCAAGCCAGAATCCTTACCTAGACACCTCCAACCACGAAACCAAGGCCACCATTAGGTTCAGAACAAAATTCCGAGCCAGCCCACATAAGACCCGTAGCAGTACTGTTCATTACTGTAGCAGTCACTGTTTCACTCTAGCCAAGATTGCTCTCATTCATTGATTTTGGCGAGCAACCCTCTTCCTGTTTCGAGGGTCAAAATCGTATTTGGAGGAACTTTTTTCTGGGTACCTGTTGTTAGAAAGCCATGGACGCTGAAAATTTTGAAAATTCGTCTTTTTAGAAATTGATGTCTCAACCTGCTGAGGCAACTAGTCATGTTGCTCAAAAAGGTATGGCATTCCATGTTGAACGTAGTAATCGTTGGATCCTTGATTCAGGGGCCTCTGATCACATGACAGGTAATGCAACCTTATTTTTCTCTATACCCCTTACTATCACCCGTCACGAGTAAGAACAGCTGATGGGAATTTCTCCACTATTGCGGGAAAGGGATCCATTAAACTTTCTGAGCATATTATTTTGAACTCAGTACTTCATGTTCCCTCTCTTACTTGTAATCTCATCTCTATTAGCAAACTTACTGCTGAGTTGCATTGTGTTGCTAAGTTCTCTGCAAATGCTTGTAGCTTTCAAGAACAGGACACAGGGATGATGATTGGCGGTGCTAGAGAGGAAGAAGGGCTCTACTATTTTACAGAGGTTCATTGTGAAAAGAGGATTTTTTCGAACCACTCTTTATGTTTATTAGATGACTGTAATGATGTTTTGTTGTGGCATCGTAGGTTGGGACACCCAAATTTTGTTTATCTCCAGAAGTTATTCCCGAACTTATTTATCAATAAAAAGCCAAGTTCCCTTCTTTGTGATATTTGTCAGCTTGCAGAGCACTCTCGTGTCACTTATTCTCCTAAGAAATATCATGAATCTTCTCCCTTTACATTGATTCATAGTGATATTTGGGGACCTGCTCGTGAAAAAAATGTCTCGGGTGTTCGTTGGTTTATTACTTTCATTGATGATTATTTTAGGGTATGTTGGGTATATCTCTTAAAAGATAAGTCTGAGGCAGCATCCACTTTTAAAAACTTTCATGCTATGATTCAAACTCAATTTCAGACCTCTATCAAAATTCTGCGAACAGACAATAGTACTGAATATTTTAATTCAGTTCTTTGAGATTACCTAAACCAGCATGGAATTATTCATCAAAGTTCTTGTCCTAACACCCCTCAACAAAATGGGGTCGCTGAAAGGAAAAATAGACATCTAATTAAAGTTGCTCGAGCTCTTTTATTCACGATGCATGTCCCTAAATATCTGTGGGGGGAAGCCGTCTTGATAGCCTGTTATCTCATTAATCGGATGCCTTCTCGAGTACTAAATTTTCATTCTCCTTTATCCCGTCTTACTAAATCTTTTCCCTCTTTCAGTGCTCTTTCTTCTCTTCCTCCCAAAATATTTGGCTGTGTGGTTTTTGTGCATATTCCTCCACATCAGAGGTCCAAACTTGACCCTAAATCTATTCGATGTGTCTTAGTAGGATATTCCCCAAATCAAAAAGGTTATAAGTGTTACTCACCTTCTCTCCGTAAGGTTTTTGTTTCCATGGATGTTACCTTTTATGAAACACAATCCTTTTTTTCCCCGACTTCTCTTCAGGGGGAGTCTATTGGTCTTGGTATGGATGAAGATAAGCCTGGGAAACCAAATGATGCTACTGTATTACCTTGGCCTTTGGAAACATGGGGAGTTATTGGGAAGGAAACAAGGAAGATCAGTAGACTTAGGTATAGTGGGTTCTTTACATATGGAGGGAGAATCTCTTATCAGGAGAAAGAAATGGCTAATTGGAGATTCTATGAACATGGAAGAATCGAGTAAGGAATAAATAAAAAATTAATACAAATTGATTTTGTTTGAAATGACTTAAATACCCACAAGTCTTGTCTACTCTTAACATGAAAGAGAATGATTACTTGGTCCTATTAAAAGTATGGATGCTAACCTTCGTACGAAGGTGAAGGAGGTTAGCATTGCCTGTAAACAGTTACACACACAATTGAATTTTTATTAACTCCATTATTATGAAATGTTTTGCAATTTCCATACCTGCAAATATAGCAACTATCAATTAACCAAACAAAACAAAAGAACCTGGAATATACCATGACATATATCTTTTGGTTTCCAGAGGTTTATACATTTAATTATTGCCAAGGACTGAGTAACTAAGCTGTTACAACAATCCTTCAATGTGCAGCAAGACTGAGAAGAAGAGGAAACACCCAATATCTAACCTTCCTGATGGTTCTGGCTTGGGTGATCACATTCAATTGCTGCAGATATATGAATGTTGGGATCAAACTGATTATGACATTAATTGGTGCAAAGACAAGGGCTTGCAGGTACCTTTATGTATTCTAGTAATGCCAGAAATGTCATAAATTTGGGACTGAGCTTTTGCAATGAAGTCTGTTAATATATTTAGTTAGAAGGCTAGACTTATCCTTTGGAGTACTTGAGTATTGTTTTCACATCACACATTCAATTCAGATAATTGTATCCTTTAAAGAAAAATCTTATGGGTCATTGAGAAAGGCCTACTCTGTTATTTCTTGATGAGAATGCATGCTTGCATTTTTATTTCACTAACAGTTATTGAAATTTCTAGTCTTCATAGGAGAGCCATACTAAAATATGAAGTGATATGTACAATGGATTTACTTATTTATTTGTGTTTGTTTAATGCGCAATATATGTGATTCTGGAATCAACTGATTGAAGGTGCGAGGGATGTTGTTTGTCAGAGATGTCCGTAAGCAGTTATCTCAGATAATGCAGAAAATAGCGAAGGGTTTGTATTCCATATTCTTGAATAATTACATTTATGAAGTGAATGATGTGCTTTCAGATGCAGTGGTAATGTTACTAGCAAAATGAACTAGCGTCTTGGTTTTGTATGCCTGTTAATCCTTTTGTTCTTTATTTTTTAAAAAAAAATTAGAAGTGTGGAATTATAGTTGACGGTGAAATTAAAATAGGGCATATTTTAATTGCTCTTTTCTGTCTGCTTCCCCTTCTTTCTTCTTCTGTTGACACAAGCTTGTTTGGGTAATTTGTATAGAATTAATTTTGAAAATTGTTACTTTATGAGATGGAGTTTTATGTTTGATAATATTCAGCGAAAGTAATTTTTAAGAATGGGTCTTGTTTGGATAAGTATATTAAATATTATTAGAATTATGTTTTTTGGGAGTTATTGGTAGGACAGAAGGGTATTTGCTTGGAAGAATAAAAGGAAGATAAAGTTAGTTTAGACAGTTAGTTAGAGGGGACTGGTTAGATGAATAAATAGGGGAAAGTAAGGGTTGGGGGTCATTTAGGAATTGTATTTTGAGGGAACCGATCAAGTGCTCAGTTGTTAAAGGGGAAACCCCTTTGTGAAGGGGGAACCCTCCCTGTTCTGTTCAATTTCAGTCAATCAATAGAATCATCCTTTTCTTATCTCCATTTCCATCGGGTTCCTCACAATTATGATGGTCAATTTAGTTGCCCCAACGTCATTTTGGGGTCAGAATCTTGGGGGAGACTTACTAAGCATGCCATTACAGTGTAGAATTCATTTTCAGCTGCAAACCTAATAGTTAGAGTGCATAATAATATTTGCACTGCCATCCAAATATGCACTACCACTAACATTATCAGACAACTCACTTATGTGGTGTGACAATAAAAGCATCTTCCCCGTGGGAAGAAATCTCTTATTTCTTCTTTGTCACAGATTTGTACTGTAATTGAAAGCTCTCGTGGTCAAATAATTTTATAGTAATATTGAGTTACAATTTACAACATTGTGCATACCTAAAGGAATAAAAATGGATAGCAATTTTACAATAATGCAAATAAGTTCTTACATGGAAACAAATGGTTGCATAGTTAGCAGTTTCCAGTATCACCATTCTTTTTGACTTAAGCTTTAGGAAAACTATTGATTTCCACTATCATTTTAATGATAGCAGGCAGTTGCAAGAGTTTATCTTCTGATGAAATTAGATCAAATAGTATCCAAAAAAAAAAAGGAATAAAAAGTAGAACTTAATCTTGGGAAAAATAATTACTCTCTCTTTTCCTAATTTTTTTTTTTCATTCAAATTATGAATCCTCCAGCTAGCTATCATGTTATCTAGGTTCATTCCTCTCCCCTTTACATATATTTTTTCAACCTGGCAATAGGACCGCTGGATGTAGGGGCAAATGGGAAAGGGGAAGAGTTTCAGATGGGTTATCGAAACTTGAGGAAAGCTTTATGTGCGGGCTTTGCGAATCAGCTTGCTGAAAGAAAGATGCATCATAATGGTTATCGAACTCTGGGTTTCCAAGCCCAAGTAGTCCAGGTAATAATAATAAAAAAGTTTACAGTCACTTACTATTGCATGTCACCATTACTTTTAGCAGCACTTCTCTTTCATTGTGTTAATACCCTTTAAATGACTTCCCTTAAATCCTTACGCTTTACTCAAGTCCATATCTAAGGGTGGCAGAACTTTGAAACATGTGTCCCCAAATAAAAAAGAAAGTGGTAGTATCACTGAAAGATGAAGGCTATAAGCTGCGAGATTGTGGAAGTTCAGAAATAGTAGCCTAGTATTTGTCAATTTCAACTAAATGTTAGTTTGTAGATACCTGAATTCCCTGAATGTTCTGTACTAGGTGCATCCGTCATCTGTGCTGAGTGCTGATGAATTGGGGAAATTCCCAGACTATGTTGTGTACCATGAGCTAATTGCAACTCCACGCCCGTACATGAGAAATGTGTGTTCTGTTGAGATGAGATGGGTTATACCCATTATGAACAAGCTCAAGACACTAGATGTGTACAAATTAAGGTAACTCTCTTGGCATTGGAACCTTTTGAAAAAGTGTGATTTAATGTCGTGCAAGATTTTTATTGTTATATTTTGGGGGGGCCTCCGATAATTGCTGGCTCTAATTCCTTTGTCTGAAGCAGTGGTGGCGTTGATCAAGTTGAGGAGAAAACTGAGAGAAATTTTCCAGATTTGCCCAAGAATGATGTTGAGGTTGCTGGTGCTGCTGATGACCGCGAAAGTAGAATCCAAGCTGCTAGAGAACGATTTCTTGCTCGTAAAGCCAATAAATGAGCACACATACAACTGTGGAGATTGCGTTATTGGCTTGTCGAGTTGTTGGAGGGGCAGATTAGTTGGTAAGGTTAGCTGAAAGGATCGAGAGTCACGATGAGCTGACTCCACTGAGTTTTCCTCGTTGACACAACTCCAACTTTGTGCTCTGATGTTGTTTTCTCGGCTTCATTCTAATGCAATTATCTCTAGCAAAAATAGGAAGATTTAGCACAGATCACCTGAGATTGGGTCTCGTACTGTTCTGATTAGTTGGTTGAGACTTGAGTGGCTGAATGTATATATACTTTTGCATAAGCCCTTGGTTATTGAAATGTGGCCGGAGTGGAGAAAGAAGACAATGGAAAAGGAAGGAAAAAGGAGAGAACAATCAGCAAGTCCCCTTGACAAAGTAAATGTTAATTAAACAATTGTGACTTGTAAGGGATTTCGAAATGCAAGTGTGGTTACAAACATCAGTGAGGTAATTAACTTTGAGTGACTCTTTTGCCTAAAAGTTAATTAAATCTATGTTTGATATTGAGGCTGTTTAGATTGAGATAATTACCTAGCCGAGATTGTATTTAAAGTTAAACTCATTAAACATGACCATAGTTGTGGATGAAACAAGATCAAATCTTTCTCCAGTATGATGTTGGTTCTCAATCTGATGATCAATTCAAGATTTCTGGGACTAAGCTGATTGGGCTTTTTGACCCTTATGCCCCTTAATTAATAATTAATTACCAAATTGCCCCTCATTCAAAACTATTTCGAAAATTTACCCTTCCCAACAAACATAACACCAATCTGCCCCTGTTTGACCGTTGACCGCGAAGCCTACCCGGGTACACCATTACCTACCCGGGTAAATTTTGAAACTTTTTATCTACCCGAGTATGTAGGGGTGTACCCGGGTAGAGTTCTTGAATCTGGGAAAATGTTTGAATTATTTACCCGGGTACGGAGCAGTGTACCCGGGTAAACATCGACGGTAGGGTTTTAAAATACCCCAGCAGCCCCATTTCGAAAACCCACAAAAGGGGTACCCGAGTAGAGCTGCTGGAGGAGTGTCATCTTGAGCGATTTCAGGCAGAATCTTGCACTAATTCGTCTTGTTTGTGATCATCATTCGCGGACCTTGCAACCTCTCTGCCTTCTACCGATTGAAATCGATCAAAGGTGAATTTTTTTTTCAGTTTTTTCAATTATGTTATGATTTCTGTTCTGATTCATTGTATTTTCGTTTATATCATTTGATTCTGTCCGAATTATTTTATCAATTTGTCTAACCCTAACCCTAACCCTGAATCTAACCCTAACCCTAACCCTAACCCTAACATGTATCTAATTTCTGATTTTGGTTATTTTTTCAGTTTAATAGTGTGACACAATGACCTCTCGACGCGTTTCAAAGCTGCCAGTGACCCATTCCGAGAGAAGAACCAAGAGTCGTCACGATGGGTCGTCATCCTCTCAGCCCCAGGCTGCTTCGAGTCAGGCTCCGGACTTGACGTTCGGATATTTGTTTGAGGATGACATTCCTTCACACGAGAAGTTCATGAAGTTTTTCATGACCCGGAAGATCTGCGAACCGAAATCACTGGATTCGGCATTCTTCAACCTAGAGCGTTTTGACATCGTGCCGCTTCTTGAGCAGACACATTTACTTCACCTGGCGGAGATGCGGTGCCCATACTCGGAGGTTATGGTAAGAGTCTTCTACCAGAACCTTGGCTACTCGCAAGGCGAGCTGACTTCCCGTGTCTGCGGGATTGATATCATCATGACTGCTCCTATCTGGACGGAGCTACTGGGGTTCGATTTTGATGGTGTCATCGGAGCAGCACTATATGATGGAGACAGCCATCATATATTTGGTGATTATAACCGGGAGACCATTGTTACAGAGACTAGGAGGGCAGACGCTGAGCCCGGTCATTTTGCTCATTATCCTGTTAGCAACTTGTCAGTTTCTGCTCGCATTCTTCATTATGTGGTGACACATATTATTTTCCAGCGCCCGCATAATCACTCAAAGGTGCTGGAAGGGGACTTTGTCATCCTGTGGGCCCTCCTTCACAGTCAGCAGGTGAACTGGAGGCATTACATATGCATACTGATGTGGAAGGCAGCCAAGTCAAAGAAGGCTGAATTGCCTTTTGCATTTCTGGTGCAGAAGATTCTGCATAGATTTGGAGTGCCTATGGCAACAGAGACCTTGAAGACCGCCAGAGGCTGGAATGCTATATTTGGTGAGAGGCTCCTGAAGCAGTGTGGGATCCTACCGAACAGAGCGGGTATCTGGACGTGGAAGAAGGCACCAGAACCACCTGAGATCCCATTCCACCACGATGCTGAGATGGAGGATGCACCTGCAGGTGATGTGTTGGTCTTTATGAGTTTATGCAATTTTGTGTTGTTTAATTTTTAATGTGGTATTGAAGTTTGTTTTTCATGGTTTATGATGTAGGCCTTGATGATGATGACGATGATGATGGCGTTGAGGTTGATGTCAGACCGACACGTCCCACCCGCAGTCGGCGACCACCAGCTCCTCCTGAGGGTGGATGGACACTTGATCATGTCATGGCATCCTTATATGATCTGACTACTGACTTTAGAGGATATAGACAGAGCACGAGCAAGTGGCGAAACCAGATGGACACAAGGGACAACCGTCAGCATGGTTTTTACACTTCATAACAAATCTTGACTCGTCGCTTTTTTCAACTATGGCTGTCCTGCGCCCCTTCATACAATGTATCTTCACAGCATGTTGCAATTCTGGTTTGGACCCAAATTCTTGTTGCACAAATAACGGATCTCCTAACTTCCAACCTCCGTGCAAGTCATCATCGCCATATAGGATCTCCAACTCGTCATTAGGGTGCGCCCAGTTAATGAATGAATAATGTTGGCTTTCATTCCAGAATGGCTCCTCAGACCCTGCATCTAAAGATCATGTCAAATTTAATAACTTACCACAAATAATAAATTGTCTAAAGCAAATATTCAAATTTAATAACTTACCACTACTGACTGGGTCGACATGAAGTGGTGACAAGGCTGGGGTACCGAGACTTACGGCGCTCATGTCAGCCTCAAAATTACCGTCCACATCAGTGTCTGACGAATCACCTTCTGGAATAGCACTTTCAGGTTCTCCCTCCTCTTCGCTGTCCACATAGTCCTCGTCTTCATCCTCTTCATCCTCATCCCATGCTACCTGAGGAGGTGCAGAAGATCGTACAACTGTATCTTCTTGACCGGTACAGTGTGCAGTAGTGGTTGTATGCACCGGTAAAGATGAAGATTGTCCAACATCAACTTCAACATATATCTCAATATATTTTAATACTTTCCATTCAACAAACGCATCTGTTACGAACTCCACATCTTCATCATCATTTATATCGTTTCCAATGTAGTATATTGTATCCATATCCACTACAGTCTCTAACCTGGCTATCATGCGGTGGATGGAATGTATGCCTTCTGACCCCATTTTTTGAAGAATTCTCTCCTTCAGTTCATTGCATGTAGTGCCCACTTTGATTTTCATCGTTTTTGTTTTTCCTTCAAATCGGACACCGTTCGGACCTTCAAAATGCCTCCCATTGTAGTAAACAACTATAGGAACCATGTTTGGACTTGAACTCATCTTTCACACAAAAATTAGATCTAGGTTTTGGGTTTGGAGGTTGGTTCAGATTTTTTAGCACAAAATGGGAGTGTGGAGATGTAATCTCAATGTCCCCCCAAGATTCAGCTTTCTGAAATGATGAGATGAAATATGTGTGATGTTTCGGATTAGAGAGGGTAAGAGAGAAAGATTTGGGGTTTCAAAAACCCTATACCTCGCAACAATGGCCGAAACCCATACATATTGGGGTTTCTGGACGCGATTTACCCGGGTACACTGCTACGTACCCGGGTAAATAATTCAAACATTTTTCCAGATTCAAGAACTCTACCCGGGTACACCCCTACATACTCGGGTAGATAAAAAGTTTCAAAATTTACCCGGGTAGGTAATGGTGTACCCGGGTAGGCTTCGTGGTCAACGGTCAAACAGGGGCAGATTGGTGTTATGTTTGTTGGGAAGGGTAAATTTTCGAAATAGTTTTGAATGAGGGGCAATTTGGTAATTAATTATTAATTAAGGGGCATAAGGGTCAAAAAGCCAAGGTGATTGCCTTCTAACAATGACCTTTTCTCTTGTGGTGTTTATGATTTCAAACTTTCATAAGGCTTTGCATATCTCAGGTCATGTTCAATCATGGTGGCATGATAATACATATTCTATAACCATATCATGTGCATATATTTACTTGTCAAAATCTGTCTTATATGGTCGATACATTCTCCTAAACTTTTATTAAAAAAAGAAAAATATAACCGAGTCAAGTTCCAAAACTTTTTAATCATTGCTCGGAAACACAATTTCGAGTCAAATTTTTTAAAAAAAGTTACTTACACATATTATAATACTAAACATATCATAATTGCATAGAGCTAGCACGTCTCCTAAATTTAAGCAATTATACTATGTTAAGTAATATATTATAATTATGTTTTATGAACATGCCATTATTCAATCACATAATCCATTACCTATAGCATGAGCAACGTGGTCACTGGTCACCACCTCATATGGTCCTGCTATGATAATAAACCTGTTCTATAAAGATTCCGTAAGAAAAATCTTTCCAAAATATCTTATGTCTTTGTCACAATAAAACTGTTTTACACGTGTTGCTGAACTACAAACAAACTATGTAAAAATCGAAGCCAAATACTAATGATGACACATTTGGTATCTAGCAATGATGCCATCTTTCCTTCACTGCTATGCGGCGGTTATACCCCTTTCATTGAAAAGAGCAACATAGACTCACGGGACGACAGAATCACGTTACACGTGAAAGTTGCTAGTGTACTGAACTAAGCATGCAACATTAACTTCAAAGTGTGCAGCCCGATCCTCTTCTATTCCGTCGTGAATTCGTCAAAAGATGAGTTAGTATGTTTCCTCTCGCTTTTTTAAAAGTGGATTAAAATACTTGATCCGTCTCGTCCTGTTTGGCGGGTTAAATAGGTTAATCCATTAGTTCGAGTCTAATTTATACTGACCCATCTCGGCTCACCATCAATTCACAAAAAAATGAGCCTGTCCCGTTTCACTTTTGAGATGGGTTGAAAAATTCATTATGTCCTGCCCTGTTTAGTGGATGAGGCGGGTTGACCCGTCGAGCAGAGCCCATTTTCCCAACTCCAATTGTAATTTGTAACAGGCTAAAATGTTTCTGCAGTTACTACATATAAGTTATCTCCATTTATTCCAAAATGACGTCGTTTTGGTATTAAAATCTTAAAAAATTATAAATGTAAAGACTATTATAACTCTGAAATAAATTAAAATTATAAAAATATCATAATTTCCACCCAAAATGACATTGTATTAAATTTATTGCAGATAACTTATCTGCAATAACTAAAAAAAAAACAAACCTTGTAATATATGAAAACTACCACAAATACAATACCTTTGTGAAAATGATACTCAAAATGAATTATTAAGTATTTATTAATTACTAATTTTATAATAAACATTAAAGATATATTTAATGACTTGGCTGAATATTATACTCATCGTCCCTAATAAAAACAAAAAGTTTCATGGGGGTCTTGACCATCTTTATTAAAGGACAAAACGAGACACACTCTTCCATGCTTACATTTATGACAGAGAAGAGTGCCCATCTGGTGCAAGTGCATGCAGATTCTATTGCAAGGTGTCATGTTTGTGTAGTTTAATGATTTTTTGTAAGTACCTCGAACTCCTCGGTCTGGCCTTTCTTTTTCCATGCGTTGTTGACGAATAAATATTTTACAGTACTGCTCTACTTAGATTCAGTGTTTCCCACGAATGAGAGCCTTACACGTCAGATGAGTGAGAAAAAATTTGACAAGAAAAAAAGTATTTTAGCTGACATGTAATATTTTCATTGGTGGGATGCACTGAATCTTTGGTACGTAGCAAAGACTTATTCGTTGTTGACACAGGAACTAAAATTTCTGCCTTCAGTAAGAACTATGAATATTCTACTCTTCTGACTCTCTCTCTTTCTCTCTTTCCAGTTTCAACTCTGTTTCATGAAATTCATGATGATATATACATAATCACTCAAACAGAAACTAGCTATTTTGTGTTTTTTATTTACCCACCCCCTTATAATTTACTGAATTTTCAGCTTCTCTTTCTTAGGATTAGGACTTCAAATTAACACTGAAAAATGAAACTGAGTCCAAGAGAGGTCGACAAACTAGGCCTGCACAATGCTGGCTACCTTGCTCAGAAACGTCTTGCTCGCGGTTTAAGACTCAATTACACTGAAGCTGTGGCTCTCATTGCCATGCAGGTTTCCTTAACTTGCTTTTCTATTTTCTCATTTTTCTTAAAAGTGTATATATAGAGGAGGATCATTTGACTTAGTGATTAAGAAATCTTACTCGCTCAACCTTTTTTTATTTTTTTTATTTGGCAAATAAGGAGAAAATATTCCTTATTTTTCATTGGAAAATTATTGTTTTTGCCAAACACTACTTTTTTTCTTCTTCTTTGGGGATTATCTAAATTGCTTGTGTGTTTTTTATTTAGATTATGGAATTTGTTCGTGATGGTGAAAAGAGTGTGGCACAACTAATGAACATTGGGAAACATCTCTTAGGGAGGTATTAATTATATTATGTCAATTTTCATCATCTGATTCTGAACTCTGATGGCATATGCTCTTTCTTCTTTTCCCATCCTTGGATAATAGTTTCATCTCCATATTTTATAAGTAATTGTGAACTAGAAAAAGCTGAATGAAACAATTTTAACAGGAGACAAGTTCTTCCAGCGGTTCCACATCTCTTGAATGCTGTTCAGGTATTTGTCTTACTATGCCAATGTGGCTATAATCTACTAATAAAAGCACTCTTACAATTGGCTTTGTAGTCATTCTTTCTTTTTGTCGCTATAATTCAAACTATATAGTTAATTTCTTAACGCAGCAATTTGACTTTTTTGTTATAAAAAGAGAGGTTAATATATTTCATCCCTGTTTAATCTCTATATTGTAGGTCTGAAAACTTAAAATGGATAAGTGTAGCTCAATTTTTGTTGTAATTTATCTGAGTTCCTCTCACTGAGATAGTGATTAGCAAATTTTATTGTCATTATTACTATTATTATATTTAAAATTTTAATATAGGTTGAAGCTACCTTTCCTGATGGGACTAAGTTAGTCACAGTTCATGATCCGATTGCCTGTGAGAATGGAGATCTAGAACTAGCATTATTTGGTTCTTTTCTTCCAGGTTTGCTTCTACTTTGAGGCTTTTTTATTTTTTTTGAGAAAAGATCATTTACCGGTCAAAATGATCTTCCATCTGCTTTTTTGTTTATGATTACTTGAAATACTTAATCAGTCACAGTATTGCTCCAAAATGCTTAATAGTTCTTTCAGGCTTGTGTCCCTGGGATGGGGCTATATTGGGATTTAGCTTAATGACAAATATATAGTGGGGGGGAATAATCAATTTACAGTCATACGAGTCTAAAACTTATTAGACCCTTTATCAACTTTAGATTCTAGTTACATCTACAGAAAAGTGCAATTCTTATATATAAATAAAATCAATAGTTAATAAAGGATGTAAAAGATTTTAAATTTAATTCCAACCGGGTTGTGCCAACCAACAGAGGTATGTGATTAAAACCTTCGGGCTCTATCACACAAATGGATTAGTCTTGTTCAAAATAGTGGGGACATTTGGGAAACTGAAAAAAAAAAAAAAAAAAATCTGGTCCCTCCTCTTATTATTAGTTCATTTCTCTTTTTTAACTCAGGCAGGAAAACTTAAATAAATTAATCAATTTATATTCCATTTTGGTTTATGTTCATAACAAATATCTTGCAATAACAAAATATTGCTTGGAAAGCAATTTTGCAATCTCCAGTAATGTAATATGGTTTGAAAACCTTACATAGACTCTACTTATGGTTATGTATATGCACAAGTGCAAGTTGGATTCTGTACTTACATTAGCTTTTATTTTGATTGATGGAAAATATGTTTGCAGTACCTTCACTTGACAAGTTTGCTGAGGACGAAGAAGATAATAGAATTCCCGGTGAAATAATATGTGGAAATGGAAGTCTAATTCTTAACCCTGGAAGAAAAGCAGTAATTCTCAAAGTTGTCAATAATGGAGACAGGCCAATTCAGGTGCCTGCCTTAAATTGTCTTCAAGCCAGTGTTGTGCCTACCACCTTAGCATTTTGGACAATTTTTTGTGTTTTGTTTTCTTCTTTAAGATACCATACTCTTTTATGCAGTGTTAAAAATGCTCAGGATTTCCCCCGGTTACAAGTAGGGCCTGTGTTTCTAAATGAAGTGTGATAAGCTGTTTTCTTTATCTTTTTGTAACATACGAAATAATGAAGTGATGTCAATGAGTACTACTCCGTTCGTACTGGTTTCCTTACATTGTTAACTGATAGATGATTCGAGGATTTCAATGGTTTTCAAGGTCCTCTGAAGACTTGAATATGTGTATGTGCATGTTGATGGCCTCTTTAGTTCGGGTGTTACAAATGAAGACATCTTTCTTCCGTCTTTGATCTACGACTATTTCAGGAAGCAGAAGCTTTTTAGTTTCTTTCTTGTCAGAACAATAGAGAAAGTTTAAGTTTCAAATATCCAAATAAATTGGTTTCTGGTTAGCTTTTCCAAGTTAATTGAAGCAAACATTGTATAATATTTAATTTCAGGTAGGCAGCCACTATCATTTTATTGAAGTAAATCCCTTCTTAACTTTTGATCGAAGGAAGGCATATGGCATGCGCCTCAATATAGCTGCAGGGACTGCTGTTCGCTTTGAGGTGGAATTCTACATTGTTGTCAGTTTTTGAATTTATTATAGTTAATAACTATGAGCAGGTTTAACATGTTCCGCAGTTGAACTTGTTCATTTATTAGATTCCAAATGATTAACCACAAACATATTTACTCTTACAAGCCAGGGGATAGTAAAAGCGTTAAGCTTGTAAGTATTGAAGGCAACAAAGTCATCAGAGGAGGCAATGGCATTGCTGATGGTCCAGTTAGTGAAACCAATTGTATAGCAGCCATGGAGGCTGTGTGCACAAGGGGATTTGGACATAAGGAAGAGGAAGATGCAAGGTTTATCATTTGTTACTGAAGTGATTGTTCTATATCTTTGTTTGCGTCTTTAGCAATACCACTTCTGAAAATAAATGAAGATTTCTTACTTCAAATATAAATTTCCCAGTGAAGGTGTTACCGGAGAAGATGGTCCTTTCACCACAATAATTCCTCGTGAGGAATATGCTAACAAGTATGGTCCAACTACGGGTGACAAAATCCGTCTCGGTGACACCGACTTGTTTGCTGAAATTGAAAAAGATTTTGCTTTGTATGGTGATGAATGTGTTTTTGGAGGTGGGAAAGTTATAAGAGATGGAATGGGTCAATCATGTGGGCATCCACCTGCTATCTCCTTGGATACTGTTATAACAAATGCTGTAATAATTGATTATAGTGGAATCATCAAAGCAGATATAGGTATTAAAGATGGCCTTATTGTCTCAATTGGAAAAGCTGGAAATCCAGACATCATGAATGGTGTATTTTTTAGTATGATCATTGGGGTAAGTACCCTTTTCAGAGATCCGAAGTGATGAACTGAATTCATACAATGATCTTACCTCAACTTATATGCATGTTGTCCATATCTAGGCCAACACTGAAGTTATTAGTGGAGAAGGGTTGATTGTAACAGCTGGTGCTATAGATTGTCATGTGCATTATATATGCCCTCAATTAGTAGACGAGGCCATATCAAGTGGTGAGTTTTATAACTAGAAGCAATTTCTACCGAAAGAGTCCAGTACATGTATCTTTAAATATTAATGAATGATCATGTGATGAATTAATAACTGGTATGCAGACGACAAATTTGGTAGATGCTTGATCATCTGTTGTGCTTATGCTACATCCGTATGTATTGAAATTTCTGGTCTTTATCAGATTACTTCTTTTCCCAGGCATTCTTCTTGATCCATATTAGTTAATAGTTTTCACTAAAACAATGTTACTTATTCTGTTTGACTCCTAAAATGGAAATTCTTCTGACTTCCATTTCAGTTCTATTTAGGACCCTTCAAAATCTTGTTTGTTCAAAGAAGACTAAATAGTTGATAAAGTGTACTTTGTTTCCCTACCTCTCTAATTAGAAAGGACATATTTGTTTGGGGTTTTAGTGGTAGTATGCCTTTTCATTCTTGAGTAGCTGTACGGCATAAACAGACATTAGTTGTATTTTGATTACAGTTTGATAAAATTGTTCTTTAGGTTTTAGTTGTTCTTTAACATTGTATATGAACACTTGGTGGGCCATGTTTGATCCTTGTCATCCTTGTCTCAAAACTAGCATGAAACAGTTTATCATGGACTATTTGAAAAAGAATTGATAGTGTTGGGTTTCCAGTTTCCAATTGCCGATTGTGAGGCTGCTAAAATTCCATACGAAGGAGGACTTAAATATTCAGTGCAGGTTGATCACATTTGTTGCTTTTAATTTCTCTCATGAGTAAAAATCCCAATCTTTTGTTAAAGGGGAGAGAAATTCTTGCTTACATTTCTCCTGTCATCTCCTTTTCCATAGGGTAGATATCAACTTATGCAAAAGAATTTGGAGTTTATTAAGTCCTTTTGTACTTTGTATGTAGGCATCACAACATTAGTGGGAGGTGGAACAGGGCCAACTGCTGGAACACGTGCCACAACTTGTACACCGGCACCAAATCAGATGAAACTAATGCTGCAATCAACAGATGACCTGCCTCTAAACTTTGGTTTTACTGGCAAAGTGTGTTTTCTTTTTTCTCTTTAGTTTACATGCCACGCTTTTTCTTGGCATAATGTGAAGTTATTTTTCTTGTTTATTGCTCAATGTAATGTGATGGACCTCTAGGAAACCACTTTTTTTTTTTAATGAGTCAATTAAACCTTCAATTGGTTGCTTTAGGGGAGTTGTGCCAAGCCTGATGAGCTACATGAAATAATCAAAGCTGGAGCAATGGGACTGAAGCTGCATGAGGACTGGGGAAGTACACCAGCTGCAATAGACAATTGTTTGACTGTTGCTGATCAATATGATATCCAGGCACAACTTTCTTCAATACATTTTCTTTTGTGATTTTAATCGATTCCTGCTGCTAACTTTTACAATAACAGGTTAATATACATACTGACACCTTAAATGAATCTGGATTTGTGGAACATACTGTTGCTGCATTCAAAGGAAGAACCATTCATACGTACCACAGGTATATGCTAACTTTAAAATTGTTTACCCTGCGTAAAGCTCAAACAAGACACGATTTGAAAAATTCATTGTATAGGAGTATTAGCACAGAGAAAGGAGCTATACGATTTGTTGGTACAGCATTCGTTTTCCTCCTTTATTGAATGTGATGTAAATAAGTGAAAGGCTAAAACCTTTGTTTCTCCTAGAATATATTTTCTCATTTCAACAAATATCCTATGCTTATACATATTTCTTTCTTTCCATTTTTTAGCCTCAACTCTGTCTTTCCATGTTTATATTGCGTACTCTCATCTTACCATCACCAATAAGAATGGAAAACACAATGGTGTTTCTGTTTTCTGGTCTAAGTTGTACTTGGTTGGTTCTTGACATTATTTCTATATTGTTTACTTGAGCAGTGAAGGTGCAGGTGGTGGTCATGCTCCAGATATCATCAAAGTATGTGGTATGAAGAATGTCCTGCCCTCATCAACAAACCCCACACGCCCTTTAACATATAATACTGTAGATGAGCATCTTGACATGTTGGTAAGTTATAAAATTGGTAGTAATGATATACATTGTGCTGACATATTTGGTTCTAAATTTAGACTTTTTTTGAAATACAGATGGTCTGCCATCATCTGAATAGAGAAATTCCAGAAGATCTAGCTTTTGCATGTTCAAGGATAAGAGAACAAACAATTGCTGCAGAAGATATTTTGCATGATATTGGGGCAATTAGCATTATATCTTCTGATTCACAGGCTATGGGTCGAGTTGGAGAGGTCGGTCCTTTATTCAAGCTCAGCACATCAACATAAGATTTTATTACATACCCAACTTTATAATGGAAAAATAAATAGGGTGTTTCATACTTTTGCCAAACTAAGTATAGAATATGAAATGGTGTGTCTGTGACATTTCTCTCAATATGTTTCAAGATCAATTTTTTTTTTCAATTGTAGTACAAGTAAACTGTAAATGAAAATCTAGTTTTTTTTTTTAATTCTCATACTTAGATATGTTGAAACATTTCTTTCTTAGGTGATAAGCAGAACTTGGCAAACTGCCAATAAGATGAAGGGACAAAGAGGACCACTTCAGCCTGATGAATCAGATAATGACAACTTTCGAATCAAACGCTATATTGCAAAATACACTATAAATCCAGCTATAGCGAATGGGTTTGCACAATATGTTGGTTCAGTAGAGGTATGATGTTTAAATATTTAGTGCTTCCTCAATTTAAGCATGAAATTTCTAGGAAAAAGAAACTTGACATTTACTTTTGATTAAATAGCTTATGATATAACTATATTTATGTCATTTAACTGATTAAAATAAGTTTGCAGGTGGGAAAGTTAGCTGATCTTGTGATGTGGAAGCCATCGTTTTTTGGGGCAAAACCAGAAATGGTGATCAAAGGTGGTGTGGTTGCATGGGCTGACATGGGTGACCCAAATGCAAGCATCCCCACACCTGAACCGGTAAAGTATTCATACTACTTTCTTATTTTTTCAATCAACTGTTATAAATATCTACTTTATACTCTAAAGTCTGTACTTTATCCTCTAATGTTTTGACTGAAAAATAATGTAGGATTTGCTGGAAGGTGATGTTTTGACTGAAACATAAAATCATAATGTGGTCTTAGCTTAAATTTTTTTATTGAAATATCTTGACCACTATGATCAAGTACGGATCACAAGTTTAATCATCACAATTTCCATTCTATTAAAAAAAAATTGAAAAATTGTGAAGTTTTTAAAAAAAGTAGGTGGAAATGTGTATTATCCCCTTCAAACCAATGGGCTCTTATACGAAGAAACATATTAGAATTAGAGGAAAACCATTAGTGTGACATTTATTTAATGATTTAAACTTTCTATTTGAAATGATTCTTTAGACTAACAATGGTGACACAGTACACAAATGTTCACAACCTTTTAAATTGTTGGACAATTGGCGTTTTGATGAAACTGCTTTAACTAAACTAGTAAACACAATTTTGTAGGTGAAGATGAGGCCTATGTTCGGAACACTTGGCAAAGCTGGTGGTGCTTTATCCATAGTTTTTGTGAGCAAGGCATGGAACCCTCTCTCCCTCACACTTGCATATATAAATAGCCTGCATGTCATAGTTTGTTTCTCTTGAAATCACAAAACTCACATTGTTCTTTCACAAACAAACAGGAAGCTTTAAACCTCCGAGTAAATGCTTTATATGGACTGAACAAGAGGGTGGAAGCTGTGTGCAATGTGAGGAAGCTCAGCAAACTAGACATGAAACTCAATGATTCCCTTCCTGAAATCACTGTGGACCCTGATACATACATTGTTACAGCAGATGGCGAGGTTCTTACCAGCACTGCAGTCACCACTGTTCCTCTTTCTCGAAATTACTTCCTCTTTTAGGTACTTCCATCAAGGTTTAATATGTTTCTCTCTTCAAGGTTTTAATAATGTGTAGCATACTATACTAAAAAAATTTCTAGTTACCCTAGTCCTGTTCTTATGTTTTAAGAGGATGATTAGGGAGGGTGATCGTAAACTTTGAGATGTTTGTCCTTTTCTTCATTGTAGTACCTGAAATTTTAGATATTTAGAAATATTTGAAATGTTGTGTTTTTCTTTGAGCCAGCTTATTTTATTAGGATTCAGTAAACCTAAGTTGTTGTGGTTCATATAATGCATATACTCTATGCATTATTGGGTTTCATTCATCAATGGTAAATCTTCTTTATAAATAAAGGATTAAATTCTATGCATATACATTTGTAAAACATAACTCTAATCCCTTTATTGTTAATGTGCACATACTCTATCCTCGTTGGCTTGACGCCTTTTTTTTTATGCATAATAATCTATCACCCCTCGTGTTCCTCATATCCCATGTTAACCATGATTTTCTCGGATCGAACATATATGTATTTGGCTTGGTATTGGTCTTGTTTTGTTCTTTTAAGCTAGCTATAAATTATACTGTGAAATATTGGATCCTTTGAGGGGAAACCTTGGAAGTGGTAATGTGATACTTAGACCAAGCTAACTTGGACAAAATTTCCATCAATTCACAAGAGCTAATTTGGTAAAACAAACGATTACGACATTGACTATAAAAATGTCACTGAGTACCACATCAAACATATGAAAGAGTTTTATATTCAAGGAAAATTATATATGAGGCATGTCATATTGTTTACCCGTCTAAATTTATATCTTTATTACTATTTTTTATCTTTAGATGATATTTAAATTAATGGCTTTTAAACACATTTGATCTTTGTTATTAAAAAAAGTGAAGAGAGAGAAAATAGTGAAATCCTATTTAAAGTTATTGATTAGATATCATCTAATGGTGCAAAAGTTGTAGTAAAGATATTAAATAATGGTAGTTTAATTGGCGCAATCGAACTGAGCAGATGAGGTAAGAGTCCCCAATATCAAATCAAACTAAGCAAGGCAATATAACTTGAGGCATTATATAATCATATATTATTATATTATTAAAATTTAAAAAGTATTATTATCATGAATGTATAATTCCAACTTTAGGCATTATATAATCATGTATTATTATATGAGATTAATATGTTTTATATTATAAGTGATAATTTTATCTCCTACACATATATAAAAATAGAAGATAATTAGTGTATGAGGCTCATATGAGACTATGTGATTGTGAAGAGAAGAGAGAAAAAAAAATAGGCTTCATATATTTTTATATGTATGTAAGAAATAAAATTATCTCTAATAATATGAGAGATATTAATCCCTTATTATATTTTTAAAATTTAAAAAGTATTATCATCAAATGTATACTTCCAACTTTAGACAATTACCAGATTGTCAATTTTGATTTTTTTCTTGAAATCTGATTTTTCTAAGATTTTATTTTGTGTTCTTTTAAAATGTCATCCAAGAATACTAATAGGATGGTATTCTTGGAATACCAGGTGTTGAGAAAATTTTATATTTTTCTTAAGATAAAATTTCAGTAATATTTTGATTTACTAAATAGATTTTTAATAATATTATAAAAAAAATGACTTTTTCATTATATTTCAAGGAATTATGATTTTCGGGTACTAAAAATTTTATCCCCTATTGGGACGCTAAAACGTGCACAAAAGCTCACTACTTGCATAGAAACTCACTTGGCAGCTAAGCCACGTCATGTGGTTTTCTATAATATTACTTTATTTTATTTGTTCTTATACTGAAAAGTTTACAATGAAATTCCTATTATTTAATTGTGTTTTTGGAATTGACCATTGCGGTCATCCTTAATTTCTATTATATTATCTCCCTCTCTTCATCCCATTCTTGTACCCAGCTCCATCAATTGTGAACTTTTGGAGTCACAACGGCGCAAATATTTAATATAGTTCAGGATCACTGAATCTTTTGGTGTTTTTTCTCACATCATTAATTTTTTCTTTCTTTTTTTACTCTTATTATTTTTTTTCTTTTTCAATTTTATCCTCCTATCTACACTAAAAGGCCACCTAAAAAATAAAAGTTCCGGTTCACCGTAAATTATCTCCGCAACAGCACCATGAATCTGGAAAAACCACAATAAATGATAAAGAGAAAGAACCCAAACTGAACAATCATATGAAAATGACAATTTACTGACTCGGACGTACTACGACTCTGCTAAAGTAAACTTTTTGTTCGCTGTGAACTTATGCATCGAAAGAAAGAAAAAAATGAAGTATAATAATAAAGGAAATTTTTATAAATTATATTATGTATTTTGAAAATACATAATATAACCTAGTCAGTTGTAGAAGTATATAATGTAATTTATAAGAATTTATAAATAAAAAGTTTATAAATATAACATTTTCTTAATAATAATACCTTCTTGCCCAGATGTTAATAGTATTTATTTTTTGGGAAAATATACTCTTATGTTGTAGGAGAGTGTTTTTATCTCCTATACATACATCGATTTTCGTGTTACTTTTTTATCTTTTTATCTTTTTTGTAAGTGGGTGGGCCCCACACATAATTGTCTCTATAACATGAGAGAGTTCTCTCATATTGCATGAGATTAATAAAGCCCTTATTTTTTTATTCTATAAATGTTTTGCTTCTACTCTATCTACTTTGTCTCTTTATACCGGAACAGTGACCAATTCGCCACTGTTCATCATAAAATTTAGCAGAATGCCACGCGCACAGTAAAAATTCTCAAACTGCCACGCAGGCTAATTCGCTACACAGTGTAGTGAATTAGGCCTGATGATGTGTCACGTCCTCACTGGTCCACGTATTTCGCTACACAGTGTAACGAAATACGAAGTCAAAAGGACAGCCCGGTCAGCAACCTTTTGGACACGTGTCACACCCCTGATGGACACATAATTCGCTACCCTGTGTAGCGAATTATGTAGCAGAAGGGTCAGTTCATGTCAACTCAAAGTCAGGCCACATGTCACTTCCCCACATAATTCGCTGTACTAGGTAGCGAATTATGTGGTTATTTTTGGCATGACTGGTAGCGAAATATGTAATATCTGCCAAGTGTCATCTCCCCACTAATTCGCTAGGGGGTATAGCGAAATTATGATACTTAATTTGCTACCCCTCCTAACGAATTATGAGCTATAAATTACTCTATTTCGGGTATGAACTACCACTACCAAATTTTTCCTTTTATGTTAAGGTTTACTACTTTTGTGTTGTTGTTGAATCTTAGTTTTTTTTCTATTTTTGTAGGATGAGTGAGGGTAGGAATGATTTAATAGCAACTGTTTATTATAATGGAAGAAAATACTTTGGTCCAAACGGGCAAGTGTTTGAAGGTGATGCAAAAATGTTTCGCATGAGCCCAAAATGCAATCTTCACGAGCTGAAGAAGTTAATATACAAGAAGTTAAGATTACAACGTGATCAAACTCTTGCTCGGTTGACCGCTAGATGTGCCTCGGATAACCCAGTGCAATGGGTTGGTGTGGAAATTGTCGACGATGAAGATGTAACGTTAGTAGTAGATGCAAGCACTTCTGAACACGGCGAGTCAAGATTTATTGAATTGTATTCAGAAGTCAACTACGGTGGACAATCCAGCAGTCAACCGAGCAACCCATGCACTGACATCATCAACATAAACATGGTGCCCGAGGTTAATGTGGAAGTTGAGGTCGCGTCCCCAACGCTTGCACCACCAACCCAAGAAATTTTTTATGAAGCGTCCACATTCACTAACCTAAAGTTTCAAGTATCAACACTAAATACTATAACATATTTACTAACCTAAAGTTTCAAGCCTAAACACTAAATAATATAACATATTTACTAACCTAAAGTTTCAAGCCTAAACACTAAATAATATAACATATTTATAAAAAAAATACATAATTAATGAAACAAACATATTATAAAAGCAATAAAATAAATTACTAACCTTGTAGAGAGAGAATGCACTTAGAGAGAGAGAGAGGGAGTGAGGGAGAGGATGAGAGGAAATGGTGGGGAGAGGGGGTGGGGACCGAACGGTTTATATAGGAAAAAATTTGCACCTAATTCGCTACCCAAGGCAGCGAATTAGTGCCATGCTGCCACGTGTCTGACATGCGCAGGGCAGCAGGTGACCGTTGCCACGTATTTCGCTACACAGTGTAGCGAAATACGGGTGGTTTGACACGTGTCCAAAAGGTGACTGACCGGGCTGACCTTTTGACCGCGTATTTCGCTACACTGTGTAGCGAAATACGTGGACCAGTGAAGACGTGACACATCATCAGGCCTAATTCGCTACACTGTGTAGCGAATTAGCCTGCGTGGCAGTTTGAGAATTTTTACTGTGCGTGTGGCATTCTGGTAAATTTTATGATGAACAGTGGCAAATTGGTCATTGTTCCCTTTATAACATATCTCAAAATCTTCTATTAAAAAATAAAAATTTCAGAGTAGCAACAATTGCCAATTATGCAATTGCTTTGGATCATCAAAGTGCACATTTGCTATCTGGTAAGTCACCATCAAAATTCACTTTTTTTTCTCCCGTTAATTCACATTAGACTATACTTTTTGGCTCGGGTAATAATAATTAATACTTCAATTGAGAGTTATGGGCTGGATGAAGATATAGTTCAGTCTCTTTTCCAAAAAAAGATATAGTTCAGTCTCAAGAATTAAAGTGTCATTTTTGTTAAAAATTTTATTCAAATGTCACACGAACAATATTTTATATCAGACTACCACATGTTATAATTTATTACCACTGATAGTGAATTTTGTGGTTGATGATTTCTTGACACGTGATTATTTTACAGATCAAATTCGCTACTACTAGTAGCGAATTATGACACGTCAATTTTTTCATGTGAAAGTGTGTCACGTGAAATAAAATTATTGGTGAACGTAATTTGCTACTAGTCGTAACGAATTATGTCCACGTGACAGTTTGATAAAAAGTACTGTTCGCATAGTATTTAGATAAATTTTTTTGCCAAAAAGTGATATCTTAGTAAGTGTTCCTAATCTCAATGTATGAGTAAAGTGTGACAAAAATATTCGCCAATATTAGGTGCTCAGTTGAACAATATGACAAGAGTGTTCCTGAATTCCATTGATGCACAATTTGAGACTTCACAAAAGACATTGGTCAGTACCGTAATAATGGCTCAGCACGGGGACAACTAATTATATATGGCATCACACATCAAAAGTCCCCGTGCGATTGCCGCTCTTCCCGCGTTATCAATATCGCAATATTTAGTTGCAGTTCAATTGAAAGTTTGAAACGAACATAACATTCAAAAAGATCAGAGGACCTTTTTTTTTTCCTTTTTTAATAAATGTTTTGTATTAGATTATTTTATTTTATTTTGTCTCTCAATTGGAGCCCACTTAGATAACGCATCAGAAATCATTTTTGTTGGAACCGTGATCATTTTGTCATTATTGGCCAAAAAATTTACCGGATTGCCACGTCAACAGTAAATTTTGTCAAAATGTCACGTGGTATATTTCGCTACACTGTGTAGTGAAATATGTGTGCAAATAATTCGCTACACAGTGCAGCGAAATATGCCACGTCAGAACCAAAAATGCTACGTGTCAAACAGGAATAATTTTGCTACACTGTGTGGCGAAATTCTACCTGTTTGACACGTGATATTTTTTATTCTGAGTATTCTGACGTGGCATATTTCGCTACACTGTGTAGCAAATTATTTGCACACATATTTCGCTACACAGTATAGCGAAATATGCCACGTGATATTTTGACAAAATTTACTGTTTACGTCACAGTGTGGTAATTTTTTTTTCAACAATAACACTTTGATCAGTGTTCCATGTTTGTTAGACTCACGAGGTGATATCTATGTCAGAAATCATTCAATAATATCATTTTTTTTACACATGTATTGTTTATTATATATGTGGATGTATTTAACATAATTTTCAGTATTAATTATTTAATTAATAATATAACTATATACATATCTAAAATAGTTTAATTTAAAAAAAAAAATTCTTACGATAAAAATAAATTTCAATATCTTATGATGAATAAAATAAAATAAAATGAAATAATAATTTCATTTATTATTTAAAATGTTGATAAAATAGTAATAAAATCAATAAATTATAAATAAGTTCGATTTCGTGATTTAAGTTTAAAAAAATAAAAAAGATAAGTTATACTTATAATATTTTTTTCTTAGAATTTCTTAAACAAATATTATATAATTTCCTTTCAAATAAAATACAATATTTCATTCGTACTTGGGGAACAAAAAAGTCAAGTGTCTAACGTACCCAAACTGTGTGAGTTTTCTATCATATGGCCAAAGAGAGTCATGTATCTAATGATATAATTAATAGTACATGGCATCATATACCATACATATACTTACTCTCACACCTTTTCAATTAAGGAATTGAAAAACAACAACCATGATGTTTGCGGTTAAGCCTCTCGATCTCAAGTCAAATCTCTCCCTCTGCCAATTCCCGCCGATGCCCGCCGGCGGCACCGACACCACCCACCGGAGGATCCGTTTCCGGTCTTCTGGATCGCGGAGGTTGCAGATTCAAGCGGCGATCAGGGGTGGTGACGTGGCTGGGGAGAGCCAGACTGCGACGACGACGTCACCGTTGGACTTGGACAGCAAAGAAAGCAATGAAGGTTTGGAAGTGAAGGCGGTGGTGACAATTAGGAAGAAGATGAAGGAGAAGATGAGTGAGAAGCTTCAGGATCAATGGGAGTATTTAGTCAACGGTCTTGGTCAAGGGATCCAGCTTCACCTCATCAGTGACCAAATTGACCCTGGTTAGTTTAGTTAGTTAATCGTTACTCATTTCCTTATATTTCTACACTTCAACATCAACTTTATATTGCTCTTATTTATTTATTTATTTTAATTCAACTATCTTTTTAAAGTTGTCGGATATTTTGGAAAGAGACGAGGGACACAACACAATTACTACTACTACTAGTGTGAGATCATGAATTCATTTCCATCATGGCTTTTTCTCATTTTCTAGCTTTATTACACTTCCTAAGCTTTCGAAGTATGCTTAATTTAATCAACATAGATCTCGTAGCGAATGGCCTAGCTCTCGTACTTTTTAATTATTTAAAGAAAGAAAGAAATCGGTTGAATACTTTTCATTTTAATATTTTAAATAGTAATTTAATTACCTCCTTCGTTTCAAAATATGCGTTATTTTATAAAATAATTGCCGCTTTAAAAAATTTAAAAGAAATTAACTATTTACTAAATGAAACACAAATTCTGATATTTTTATGGAGATTATTTTTTCTAATTTTACATTAGAAATTTTTTCCTTCCTACACACACAATAAATGAGTGGGGTTCACAAAAAAGTGAGGAGACAATAAAATCAAGGTGGGACCCACCTATTAATTATGTGTATAGGAAGGAAATTTTTTCTCATGTAAAATAAGAAAACTATTTCCTAATTATTTTTATGGGTAAACAACTTCTCCTTTTAAAGGAGAAGTTTTTTTGTTGCAGCACTCACATCTTTCAAACATTGAAATGTGTGATAATTTTTTTGTTTTGTTTTTTTCAAAACAACCCATGGACCCCACCAAAAATCTCTTTCAGCTGCAAAAAATAACTTCTCCCGTGAAAGGAGAAGTTGTTTACCCTATTTTTATTTACTAAAATAATATTTATTTGGGAATAGGATAATCCAACTTATATCTTATAATTAATAAATTAGACTGGTGAGATAAAATTATTAAACTTCATGTTGTCCAGTCGGTGGGCTGGTATGCTATTGTTGGATCTGTGTTCCCTCTCTCTCAGGCATCTATGAGAGAGATACCTTAGAGATCAGTGGATCACTGTGCACTATTATAGACGGCATAGCCAAGGAGTGAGGTGTGCACAATGATAGCTAAGAGAGAGGGTTTAAAATATATGTATCTTATTGGCTTAACCCTTTATTTATAGATGGGTTACCTGGCAGGAGTATATTTCTGGGCCTTTTAGGAATATTGGGGGTCCAGCTCTTGATCTATTGTTGCCGTATTAGGATTAGTATAATTAAGGAATCTTTCCTTAATTTCCTTCTTAGCCGTTAGCCTTTCTTGGGCCTTATAAAATATAGGTGATAAGAACCTTGAGGTGCACCACCGCAAAAGCTAGCTCAAGGGGTGGGAGTGCCCAAGGCCTTATAAACCCCACATTAGTTGCCCATACAACCAATGTGGGACTCCAAGTCCCATACCTTGCAAATGGGTCCTAACATTCCACCACGCTCCGCAGTCCCGGCGCCCACGCGGGCTAGCTTTGCGCTAGTCTTTTACTAGCCCCGGGCGAACACTGCAATGCCGACGTCACCACCCGCGCCGCTCGATTGCAACCGAGAGACATAGTGGAAGGCTCTGATACCATTTGATAAGAACCTTGAGGTGCACCACCGCAAAAGCTAGCTCAAGGGGTGGGAGTGTCCAAGGCCTTATAAACCCCACATTAGTTGCCCATACAACCAATGTGGGACTCCAAGTCCCATACCTTGCAAATGGGTCCTAACAATAGGTCTCTATGTTAGATCCATAACAGTTGCCCTTCAACCCGATAGTATGGGTGTTCGGACTGTCGGGGTGTATATTTATGTCGGACTTTAGTTCTATCTGACAAGGATAGCTAGGTCTCCATTGCGTTCGCGATTATTTTTATTGTTCTTGGTCTGAGCATTGTTAGCTTTTAATCCGTGGTGTATAGCTTCAGCCATTTGGTTGTGTTGAATTTCGATATCGGGCTTCGTGAGCCGGTATTGATTATGATGTTCAAGTATTTCTCCATCAACCTTTTTGGCCGAGGTCGAACTCGGAATTGGCTAATCTTTCTCTAGATCGCCTTGCCCAGAATCTATTCCTTACTTTTCCTCGTTCTATTTTGATGGTTGTGTTCCTACATTTGCCCCCAATCCGGCAGTCTGGAAATCTGGGATGTCGTGTTTTTGTACTTCGGTCATGTTCGAATCCTTTTTGAAGACTTCTTATTGATGTGGCGATATCTAAGTTTGTGGCTAGGATTCAGTCCCATGTACTTGCCACTTGCCCCTACTTTCTTGGCCAAGGTATGGATCTAAAGTAATTGGTCCTTTTGTAAATTGCCTTATTCATTCTTCTGCATTGTCCTATTTGGGCTGACCGAGATGTTAGCCTTCTAGCCTTTTCCATTAATCCGAGCTCTACATAGATCTACGTCCGAAATTTTGGATGAGTAGCTACGTGTCGGAATGTCGATTTATTTTATATTGTACTTTATGTTGATTTGGGGACCTTGAGAGTCTTTTGGATTTGTAACTACTATTGTCGGGTTTATTCCTGGTCCTTTCTTTTTATTTTGCTATTGCCGAGTTTATTCCCGGTCCTTTCTTTTTATTTTGCTATTGTTGGGTTTATTCCCGGTCCTTTCTTTTTATTCTGCTATTGCTAGGTTTATTCTCGGTCCTTTCTTTTTGTTTGGGTCACTTTGTTTGAACCCGTGGTGTTGAGCCTCTTTTGACATTTCGTTATGCTGACTATTTGGGCTTGGCTTGGTTTTTGTAGCTCTAGCACTTTGAAGGTAACAATGCCACCACGCTCTTAATTCACATCATTTTGTGGGGTGCTCACTGGTGCAAGGCTCGTAGCCCGGATTCTAGGGCCGCTACGTTCAATCGTGGGTCTTTATTATCCACCCTAGCTTTCATGCTGGAGCCTCAAGTTTGGTGCTGGCTTGATTTCTCTGGAGCTTGGAGCTATGCACGAGCTTCTAAACTTGGTCCCGCAGCGAAGTTGCTGGTAATTTTGTTATTGTATCAGCCGATTCAGGTTTGTGCTAGATTATCTATCTCTTATGGGTTACACCCTTTATTAAGTTGTTTGAGTGCGTGATGGAACCTACTTTTATTAATATGAAATTATAGAAAATATAAATGGAGATAAGCTCCTTACAACGATAAAATGCAAAAAATAAACCTAAAAATCTCAACTCCCAGAGATCTCCAATTTCCTCTTAAGCCAATACTGAATTCATGCATGCCCATACTACCACACACTGCCTACCTTTTATCATATACTTAGGAATATTTTAGAATAGTTTCCATAACAAACTAACTAATTCACTAACTTTTAGGCCCATGGCCCATCAATACTTTCCCTCCAAAACTCACCTTTGTCCTCAAGGTGAAGGAAGAAGATAGGTAATGTGAGAAAATTTCCACCTGCGTCCCATTGTTTGAAGCATCTTGACTCAATTGGCAACTATAAGATTTTCATTTCTTGACCCTCATTTATAGTATATTCCCGATTCACTGTACCCAAAATAATAGCACTTCCAGACTGAACGGATACATGCAAAAATGAGTAATTGATTGCTGGCCTAATATTAAAAACAAATTGGGTTCCATTTTGTGGGCCAATATTTAAAGGCTCACTTCTACCTTCAACGTTATTAGAGTTGGGATTCACCTCTAACTGATTGCTGGCCTTATATGTAGGTGTTGGACAGTTATAATGACTAACTCCTTTGATTGACTCATACCCTACACACCTTACTGGATCTCCGACCTGATTGCGCCCTTTTTTGCGTTCTTTAGCCTGCTGCCTCAGTGTGACTATGCTGCTCAGGTCCATCAATCCTTGTAAACAGACTTCCACCTTCTGCGCTAAAGCCATCATTTGATTCATGGCAACACAACCCAAATCGATCTGGCCATAGGGATGCAACCTCGTCCATTCTCCATTTTCTTCTACTTCTTCTATTTTTTCTGTTTCAGCTTTCTTTGTTTCTATATGTTTCTATTTTCTTCAACTTTTTCTTTTTCTTTTTCTGCATCTTCAGTATCTTCTCCCACTGCATCCACATCTTTGTCCGCTTCCTTTTCCTTTTTGTCTATTTCATTTCTTTCTTCTCCTTTCTTGATTTTCTTCATCTCTAGTTTGGTCATTGATTTTGTTTTTGCATTTCTTCCGTCTTTCTGTTTGGATATAAGTCACAATGTCCCACCTCTGTTCGCTATTCTTCTTCATGCACTTCTTCAGATTGTGCTTTTTTTTCTTCATTTCGATATGCTCCCTCGTCAACAGTTACGCTACCATCTTTTTCTTCTTTGTTGATGTCGTTTGCTTATACTTTTTTTCTTCCTCTTCCTCTGCTTCTGCTTCTTCTTCTTTTTCCGTGTTTCCTTCTTCTATTTCTTCTTCTTCTGCAATGATAACAGCCATAGACATCACTGGTTTTTGTTGTTGCTGCTCTTGTACTTCTTCTGTTTTCACTTTATCTTTGTTTTTGTCGATCTGTTGCTTCTGATCATTCTTTTGCATTTTCAGCTCTGGTGTCATCGTTTTTTTTCTGATTCTCGATCATCTACCAAGTAAATTTCAAGTAAATATTTCTCTATGAATGCCTTCTGAAAGTTCCTCCAGTTTGCGGTAAGATTGAACCATTTTCAACCTTGATACCAGTTGAACGCACTCATTCTGAGCCCTCTCACAACTTCCATGTACTTCTGATCTTCATTGATTCCTTCTATTTGGAAAAATTGTTCCAAATCGATTAGCCATCCCCAAGCTTCGTTGTCTCCTCTGTCTCCATAGAATTTTGGAACCATTGTAAATCTGAATTTCATTTTTTTTTTGGATCTGAACCAAAAGCACTACCAGGATTGCAGTGCTTTGATATCAAATTGATGTAACCTACTTTTATTAATATGAAATTGCAGAAAATATAAAGGGAGACAAGCTCCTTACAAAGATAAAATGCAGAAAATAAACCCAGAAATCTTAACTCCCAGAGATCCCCAATTTTCCCAAAAGTCAATATTGAATTCATGCATGCCTACACTATTACACACTGCCTACCTTTTATACTATTCTTTAGGAATATTTTAGAATAGTTTCCATAACAAACTAACAAGTTCACTAACTTTTAGGCCCGTGTCCCATCAGCGCGACTCCTAGCCTTTGTCTCTTTTCATATTTTGCTATGCTGACTGTTTGGACCTCGACTTATTTTGCCGTATAATAATTGTGAGGGCAGCAATTACTCCTTAGTTGGTCGAACCCAACTTATTTCGACGTGGCTTATTTTCTACTTTGTGGTGACTTGGCTTCTTTTGCCAAAGTCTAGAATTTTGTGGCGGCGGCGGCTTTCGCCTCTTCAGTTTGAGCCTGGCTTCTCTTGCTGTGACCTTTTCATTTAACTTTGTTTCTTTTGTTAACACCTTTAAGTTTAGGAAAACGGCTTTCGCCTTTTTGAATTGGAACACCCGACTTCTCCTGCTATAGCTTTTTATCCTGACTTGGCTTGTTCTGCCGAAATGCAATGGCGGTGTTCTTCTCCTTGGCTTTTTATTTGAGCCCTGCTTTAATTGTTGTTTTATCTAAGCCCAGCTTTTTTCGCAGTGGCTTTGAGCCTTGTTTCTTTCGTAATGGCTTTTATTTCTGAACCTGACTTCATATCCGCGAGATGAAGGGTCAGAATCATGGTTTGCTTTGTAGTTTCCTTTTCTTCAATTTTGTGGGCTTTTGGGCCCCTTTTGAATTTGTAATGGGCATTGCCGAGTATTGTCGGGTCTGTTCTTAGTCTTTTAATTTTTGACTTGCATGATTATTTTGGATATATCTTTGTTGATCTTGACTTTGTAGTCATGTCTTTTTGTTCGATTTAGGTCTGGTTTCGCATACTGGGACTCTTTTGAGTTGGCAGGATTCTAATTTTGATGGCATCTTGAGCCTTGTTCATGATGATCTTGGATGCTATTTGTTGAGGTCTTTATTTTATTGTTGACTTAGCTTTGGCCTAAGTCTTAATGTCGCGAACGCGTTCAATGCCTTGTGTATATCTAGCCCAGTTCATCATACTATGAATTTGATATTTCTTGACTTTGTTAGTCTTAAATTTCAGGAAGTCGTTTACGCTTCCATAATATCTAGCCCGACTTCTCATACCGTGACTTATATTCCAATCTGACCAATGCCATATTATTCATATATGTGGAATTCCGATTTGCTATTTTAGCCCAGCTTCATATACCATGGCTTCAAACTATTAGACTCATCTTTTTATGGAGTCTTATTTGCAAAGGCGTTTAGTTGTTCCTTCGTCTCATTTAAACCCGGCTTTGCCGTTGTGGCTTTATAAATTTTGGACTTGGTTTTGCCAGAATTTCATAGTGATTTGCCTTCTGTTTTAGCCTGGCTTCACATGTCGCAGCTTCCACATATTTCGACTTGGTCAGAATTATTTTGACAAAATTCACTTCTTTGAATCCGGCTCACCTTGCCGTGATGCTTTTGTATCCGAGCCCCCTTCTTTCGCACTGGCTTTATTATATGAGTCCGACTTTGCATATAATGGCTTTATTATTGGACTTGACTTTATTATATGATTCAAGATCCTCTTCTGACCTCCTAGAGCGAACGAACTCATGAGGGTCTCCACTGCTATTTCGCTTGTTTGTTGTATCCTCTTATGAGGAAGAAGCTGAATGGGATAATGTGCGATGCGGTTGAGATAGAGAGGGGGTTTGTTTGCAACGTGCTTCCTTCCTAAGCTTTGTGCCCATCGTATTTGGATTTGGATGTGGCAGCACAGGCTGCACTTTGAAGATGACGCCGATGTTCTATCGTGGTGACATAGATATCCAGCCGTGGCTGGTATGTTACTGTTGGATCCGTGTGCCCTCTCTTAGGCATCTATGGGAGAAATACTTTAGAGATCAGCGGATCACTATGCACTATTATAAACGGCATAGCCAATGAGTAGGGTGTGTGCATAGTGACAGTTAAGAGAGAGAGAGTGTTTAGAATATCTGTATCTTGTTGACTTAACCCTTTATTTATTTATAGATGAGTTACCTAATAGGTGTAGACTTCTGGACTTCTTAGGAATATTGAGGGTCCAGCTCTTGATTCATTTATGCCGTATTAGGATTATTATAGTTAAAGAATCTTTCTTTAATTTCTCTCTTAGCCATTAATTCTTCTTGGCCGTTCTAAAATATGGGTATCTATGTCAAGTCCATAACACATGCATATTTTACTTTGGTCCTTACTATTGTTATGCTTGTAAGTTGTAACAGATAAAGTAATTTATTTGTCTTTTTCTGATTTGCCTTGGCAGAAGATGGCTGTGTTCTTTTTTTTATAATATTAGAAGAATAAGATGGTTGTGTTGTTTTCTTTTTTTAATTGTGATGCGTTTATTTATTGTATTTTGACGATTTTCTCTCTTCTTTGTTAGAGTCCTATCTATGGGGTAGATTCCATAAATTTCGTTGTCTTTTTGTTTTTGTTGTTTTTCTATCTTCAGTTACTAATTCTGGAAAAAGCGTGCAATCCAACGTCAGAGGGTGGCTACCGAAGCCGTCGAACATTTCTTACATTGTGGAATACGCTGCTAATTTCACGGTGCCAAGTGACTTTGGATGCCCCGGGGCTGTTCTCATTACAAATCTTCATGGGAAGGAGTTCTACCTATTGGAGATCATCATTCATGGATTCAAGGAAGGACCCATTTTCTTCCCAGCAAACACATGGATTCATTCGAGGAATGACGACCCTGAAAGTAGAATCATATTCAAGAACCAAGTAAGAACTGAGAACTGAGAATCCTCAGCAGCATTGAGTCAATAATTTTTTTCTTCTTCTTCACACTAACTTAACTTTTTGTATATTGACGCCAGGCATACTTACCGTCACAAACACCAGCTGGTATAAAAGATCTTCGACGTGAGGACTTGCTAAGCATAAGGGGTACCCACCAGGAAAAACAAAGAAAGGAGCATGATAGAATCTATGATTATGCTACGTACAATGATTTGGGCAAACCTGATAAGGACGAGGAACATGTTAGGCCAGTCATTGGGGGTCACGAGAGGCCTTATCCTCGACGCTGTAGAACTGGCAGACCTCCTACCCTCTCTGGTAGAGTTCATAAAATTGTTTTTTTTTTTTGTGCCATTTTGGATTTTGGAATAAGTAATATATCTAATGGATTGTGTAAAATGTGTTATGTAATGGATGCCATTAGATCCACTGACTGAGAGTAGAATTGAAAAGCCACATCCTGTTTATGTGCCACGGGATGAAACTTTTGAAGAAATCAAGCAGAACACTTTCTCAGCTGGAAGGTTGAAAGCTCTGTTCCACAATCTTATACCCTTACTGACGGCCACTTTGTCGAGTTCAGACATTCCTTTCAAGAACTTCTCGGACATTGACAAGCTTTATATTGAAGGTGTTCTTTTGAGAGATGAAGAGCAGAATGGGGTAGTGGAAAATCTGTTTCTGAGCAAGGTGATGAAACAGGTCATGAGTGCTGGAGACCGGTTGTTAAAATATGAAATCCCTGCGGTTATAAAAGGTATGCTAGTGAAGCTCATGCAATACAACCGTGTATACTGTATATTCATTTCCCTTGGTTTATTTTGTACTGTTCCAGGGGATAAATTTTCTTGGTTGCGGGACAATGAATTTGCAAGGCAGACCTTAGCTGGGGTTAATCCAGTGAATATTGAGCTGTTGAAGGTAGTTTTCATACCAGTCTAGGCAGTGGCAGAAGTCTCAATTTGTTCATTTGTGGTTTCTTTATAGCAGTTTTCTGTCTTCCCCAGGAATTTCCCATCCGCAGCAAACTAGATCGTGTTGTCTACGGCCCTTCTGAATCAGCTATAACAAAGGAACTACTAGAGCAAGAACTTGGTGGAATGAGCTTGGAAAAGGTTTGCTCTATATTTCTATTGTTGCTAGACCTGTTTATCTGACAGAAATTTATTATCTCTACTTCCATTTATTTTAATACTGGCAGGCTATTGAGGAAAAGAGACTGTTTATCCTTGATTACCATGACATGCTTTTGCCCTTCATCAAGAAGATGAACTCCTTACCTGGGAGGAAAGCTTATGCCTCCCGGACAATTCTCTTTAAAACAAAGACCGGTGTTCTGCATCCTATAGCTATTGAGCTTTCACTTCCTCCAAGCCCTTCTTCCCTACGAAATAAACGAGTGTACACACAAGGGCATGAAGCCACAACACACTGGATTTGGAAGTTAGCAAAAGCTCATGTTTGCTCAAATGATGCTGGCATCCATCAACTAGTAAATCATTGGTAAGACAACTGATCATGGAAATCTCAAAATATAGCATAAATGGTTATATTCAGTCAGTTTATTTGAGCAAATTCAGATTCATTATTGACTTATTCAGAAGAAATTGTGCATTTTCTTACATTTGGCTGAGAGCAAGAAACGGTGGCAATTTGTAATATGCAGGTTAAGGACTCATGCATGCATGGAGCCGTATATTATTGCTACTCATAGACAGCTAAGCTCAATGCATCCCATTTACAAGCTGCTACACCCTCATATGCGCTATACATTAGAAATTAATGCACTGGCTCGACAAAATCTAATAAATGGAGGAGGAGTAATTGAGGCATCTTTCAGTCCAGGAAAGTATGCCATGGAGCTTAGTTCAGCAGCTTACAAAAAGATGTGGCGATTTGATATGGAATCACTGCCAGCAGATCTTATTCGGAGGTAACACTAATTTTTAGTCTTTAAAACCCCAGCTCTTAAATCTTCCCTTGCTATCTTTTTCTGTGCTTATAGGTTATCAGTGACATGGCTTTGCTTAACTTTTGTTCATAGGGCATAACATAGTAGCACTCTGTTAATAATCTCTTTGCTTTTCAGGGGCATGGCAGTAGAAGACCCTTCAATGCCCTGCGGTGTAAAACTTGTGATTGATGACTACCCTTATGCTGCAGATGGACTCCTAATCTGGTCTGCCATAAAAGAATGGGTGGAATCTTATGTTGAACACTTCTACTCCGAACCAAATTCTGTCACATCTGATGTTGAGCTCCAAGCATGGTGGAGTGAAATCAAGCTTAAGGGTCATTATGACAAAAGGAATGAGCCCTGGTGGCCAAAACTCTATACGAAAGAGGACCTATCTGGTATACTTACCACAATGATATGGGTTGCTTCAGGTCAACATGCTGCCATAAATTTTGGACAGTATCCCTTTGGAGGATATGTGCCTAACCGTCCTACCCTCATGAGAAAACTCATTCCTCAAGAGAATGAGCCTGATTACGAAAAGTTTATTCAAAATCCTCAGAAAGTTTTCCTATCATCACTGCCTACTCAACTTCAAGCTACCAAAGTAATGGCTGTTCAAGATACACTATCCACTCATTCCCCCGATGAAGAGTATTTGGGTACAGTGAACCCTCTGCATACTCATTGGATCAATGATCATGAAGTCCTGAAGTTATTTAATAAATTCTCAGCTAGACTGGAGGAGATAGAGGAAATAATAAATGCAAGAAACAAGGACCCTCAATTGAAAAACAGAAATGGAGCAGGTGTCCCTCCCTATGAACTGTTGCTTCCCTCGTCAGGACCAGGGGTAACCGGTCGTGGGATTCCCAACAGCGTATCTATATAATCTTTTGTTGCTTATTATGTTTGATCCTATACACTATTTTATTGACAGAACCCGTGGGTATGCAGTGTAAGCGCACATATTTTTATGGATAGCTGAAATTGATGAATTATTTTCTGCTTGAGTCCTGCAAGTATATTTTACACTGGCAGCAAGTTTTCTTCCCTCGTTACATATAAAATCAAAGGGAAATACTAGAGGAGACTAATATTTTATGTGATAGAGACAAAGTATCTGTGATTCACTCTTTTAAAAAAGATAAAAAATAAGCCGGTCTCATATGATGCTTTATGTCTATAACATGAGATACTAGTCTTTTATAATATGAGATTAGTATTTCTCAAAATCAAATTGGGCTTGACGACAATAAATCAATCCTGTATATTAGGGGTGATAAACGAACCAGGGGCCTTTAGCTCGGCGGCTCGTGAAGGCTTCATTTTATTTTTTTTAAATAGGCTAAATCAGGCTTTCATTTTTTTGTAAATAAGTCAGACCACATGCCGATAATTATATTCATAATTATGATTAACACCTCTACTGTACACTCAATAAAATGGTGAGTCATCGTTGTTGTTTTTTTTTTTTTTTTAAGTATTAACATGAAGGTATTCTCATTCAACCTCCTCCGGTCACTTTGCTCTCGGGGTACGGCCCTGAAGGCTAGCCCCTCATTGGAACAACGAGTGCATTGAGCTTCGCTACCGGAGGAAAGATGAAACTAATCTCACATTCGAGGAGAGAGACATGTTCTCTTAACCCCAAAAATTTTCCAAGAATTTACTTGATGCAGAGTTTGAATCCCTAACTCAAGCAAACCCTTGGGAGCTCAGTTGCCAACTGAGCTACCTTTGGAGGTTTGTTTCTTTTTTTTTTAACAATGGGACAATCAAATTAGATAAAAGGAAATACTATTTCATTTTTTTTTTTTAGAGGGCGGGGTGGGTTACACAATACTATTATTATTTTGCTGATTAGATTATAGTAATAGCGACGACATATGGTACCAATTGTATTTTAACTTTGAAAAAAAAAAAAAAACTACGCGGATGCACTACAAATCTTAAAGTTTCAAGAGATACATAATACATTTCACCAAAAGAATAATTAATAATAAGATTTAATATTTTTTATGTTATAAGATCTAATTTTATATCTAAAAAAATATCTATGACTCATATAAGATTATATAAGGGGAAAAAAAAAATGAGCTATATGTGTGTGGAGAATACTATTCTCATTTGACATGAAAAAATGAGCCATATGTCACGCATGGGTGTGCTCCTGTTGCGAGGGATCCACCCCACTTGCCACTGTCATGCGCATAAACGATTGGAGCAATAATGCTATTTAAGCATTCAAAGTATAGCATAAGGATTATTAAATCTTGTATGCGTATTCACATAACTGCAAGTGGCTGTTTGGTTCTCATTTCCGATTTTGAATCTCTAAATTTTAGTAGAAGTGATTGATGAGAATAAACTTGATTTTAAGTTGGAATTTGGTGACTCCTTAATATTTTACATCTACAATTAACAATACAAATTAAATATATATTTTTTAAAAATATCCATACCATTGTATTTCATAAATAGTTATATTCTATAATACTTAAATGAGTTAAAAAATTTAAAAACTTCAAACTTCATTTTTTAGGGTTAAATTTTACAATATAATCTCAATCATAAAGTCTTTAAGCAAGTAAGGTAAATCAGTTCTGTAAAAAATAAATATAAACATGAAAAATAAAACACAAGTTTTATTTTGATTGATAAATAACGTGAATTTATTTACATTATTATCCAATAATGTATTAGTAAATTATTAAAGAAATTTGAGCATCACAACTTTTTTTTTTTGGTAGACAGCATCACAACTTTTATTTCACATCATGAGGTCGTTTAATTTAAAATAACATAAAGTTATATTTTTTAAAAAAATAAATATTTTTTTCTAATTACTATTATATATTTTGTTAATGTGTGTCTCAAAATGGTAAAATAATTAAAATAATAATTATTAGGTAAAAAATATTAACATATATATTTTAAAAATACTTAATATTTTAAATTAACTAAAATAAATAAAAATAGTATTTCAATTCTATGACATTTGTTAAGGAAATTTACTATTATATACCAACATATCTTAATAATCACTTCTTCTCCGGGTGGATATAACGGACATTTCTCATTCTCCAAAAGAAAGAACAAGTTTTTTATTTTATGTCTTTATTTCTTTGCTGTATCTTTAATTTATTTTCATGTATAAAAAAAAATATCTTACTAATCACTATCCTTCAAGGGACAAGGAATTTGTTTTATTTTAACTATTGGTTTTAGGGTTAGTGATATTCTTTGTCCCTTGAAGGAATAGTGATTAGCTATGTAGCATCGATACGATACGCGACACGTGACATGACACTCTGACACGCCAATCTTAAAAAATTATGAATTTTGACACGTTGGGACACGTTTTAATATTAAATAATATTTTTAATTTATATAGTGTATATTTTATTTAATATTTAATAATTTAACAAAAAAGTGAAACTAAATTAATAATATCCATCAACACGTTATAAAGATGAAAGCTTTAATAAAAAAATAAGAACTGGGATGAGAAAGAGATATAATATCAGATAGAGAGATCAACGTGTTAGATACGGTCAAATTCGCGTGTCGGAATGGTCAATGTGTCGAAAAAAGTTGACCGCGTGTCCGACACCGTGTCGGAGCGTTCGGAGCATTTTTTGTTCACCTGATTAGCTACCCAACAGATAATAATTTATATTTAATTATTAAATGAATTATATTTGTTTAAAAGTGATTTAATTATTAATTCTATTTTTTTCAAATTATTTAAAATTTAAACTTAAATTATGCTCTAATTAACAGAAAAAATATTTGTCATTTTAATGCATATTAAATAATTTTTTACATTCAATTTTTTCATGAAATTAGAAAAATAGAAAAAGTGAAGGAGATAAAATATAAATAATCCTCCCAAAATAATATCGTTTTACTTAAAATGATATAAAATTTTGTACTTTAAAATGACAATAGTATTTTTCTTAATTTAAATATATATTCTTAATGTTGCCAAAATTTTTTTTTTAAAATTCTTAATAATTAACTCTAATTATTTTTTAATCATATATTTTCTAAAGTTTAGGTGAATTTTAAAATTCCATACATACTCACGGATAATGTAAAAACCTTTATGCATAAATCAATTTAAGCATTTAAAAAAAATAAAAAATCCGCGTTTCAGGTATTGTGCAATGCATTTGTTTCGATCTCGATTTCAGTGATTTACGTTTTATTTTTTTAATCTTTTACAGACAAGTTCATTTAAGTAGGGAAAGGAAATAAATAAGTGTATCCAATTTCCCACGCAACATTCAAACACTACAAAATAATTCAGCAATTCAACAAACTCACCTACTCCGCCGACATACCCTGCACTCTCATTTTCATGATAGGGATAGCAAACTAAGACCATCCGCGGTTCAGATTGTCTACGAAATGCAACGTGTCACAAGAAGAAACTAGGTTGCAACGGATCTAACAATTCGACACCACACTATATCCAAGGCGCGTTGCTTGATTGTGTGTGTGAAAGTGAAATGATTCGTCCTAGCGAACAAGATGAAATGAAACTCAAGAAACAAAGGAAATCCTTCTTCTTCTTCTTCTTGTCGCCTGCAAGAAAAGAAAGCGAAGATGAACAATCTCCAAATACAAACAGAGCAACCAGCACATAATCACACTCAAACCGAAACCCCTCTTTTAACTTCAAATTCAAATCAACAAGAACGAGAAGGAGTAGAAGGAGAAGGAGATGATGGTAATAAGAACGAGGAGAATGGAGTGGAGGAGAGCCTGGCGCGTTTGGAGAAGTTATTAACGGTTCTAGGGTTCAAGCAGGATTCACCGTTGAGTTTCGTCGTGGCTTGGAGTGTTTTCTTGGCGGTTGGTGTGGTGATGCCTGTGATGGCTCTGTGGATGTGCTCGTGTTCCAAGTGCGAAAGGTATGAGATACAGAGCTTCGAGATGGCCATCGTTGCATTTCAGGCGTGCCTCGCCGCCGTCTCTTTGCTCTGTCTTTCTCACAGTCTCCGCAAGTATGGCCTCCGTAGGTTCCTCTTCGTTGACCGCAACTCTGGACAGTTACCTTCCTTTCACCGCGATTACATCACTCAGATTTCGGTATTCATTCTCTTCTATTTTCTCTTTCCGATCTGCGCTTATTACTACTACTACTTCGCTTCAATGCTATTTTACTTTACTTCACACAACTCTTTCTCTCTCTTTTTTCTATTCTATTTGACGTTGTTAGGGTTCTAGATACTACTATCTCACGAACTCTGAATTCTCATTTCATCTAAAGTGAGATTTTAATGTGTAGAAGCGCTGATTTATAGAGAGGATGAACTAACTGCGTAACTGCATAACCGCATAACAGAAAAACAACACACTGTTTGGATACAACAGTTTGGAAGTAAACATTCCCCTTATTTGATCATTTTCAAAAATAAGAGTTAACATGGAATGTTTTAATCTTCCTTATGTCATTTTTATGAACATGTTACAATTGTCTTAACTTGGAAAACCTTAGCTAAATGCTGATCTTTTCTTTTTCTTTTTCTTTTTTGTTCCTCTGTTCCTAGGGATCTATGCGCTTGCTCATTCTGTGGGTGTTGCCGTGTTTCCTTCTGAAGACAACGCGAGAAATCATTCGCATTACACATTTAAAACATGGGTCTTGGGGGCTCTCGCTTGCAATTTTTTTCGGTTTGATTATATCTTGGACATACGTGAGTGCAATCTCTCTGGCGGCCAGCATTTTGTTTCACTTGGTTTGCAATTTGCAAGTTATCCACTTTGATGATTATGGGAAGCTCTTGCAAAGGGATACTGATGTTTTAGTCTTTATGGAGGAGCACATTCGGTTGCGCTATCATCTCTCCAAGATAAGCCATAGGTTCAGAATCTATCTTCTTCTAGAGTTCTTGGTTGTCACAGTTAGCCAAGTTGTGACTCTGTTGCAGATCACCGGATATGGTGGATTACTTAGCTTCGTAAATGGTGGAGATTTTGCTGTAAGTTTATCTCTTTATGTTCAAATTCTTTATGCATTTAGATTGAAGGAATTAGTTCCTTTTATTTCAGTTAAGGCAGGTATCCAGCTCTCATGGAGTGTTGCTTCTTGCTTTTGTTAAAATTTAGAGCTTTCCAGTTACATGATTTATATTCCATTTCTTTTCTGCTGTCCATTCTTTCAGGTATCCACACTTGTTCAGGTCGTCTGCATCATTATTTGTCTGCATGCAGCAACAAGAATATCTCATAGGGCCCAAGGTATTGTTTCACTTGCAAGCAGGTGGCATGCATTGGCAACATGCACATCTTCTGATGCATCTCAAATGAGAAGCTCTGCTAGTGTGGGGAACTTGGAGGCTGCAAACCATTTAAGCTCATTGCATATAGACTATTCTGAAAGTGATCTAGAGTCATTGGATTACGCTGGAATGTCTACCAATACCCAATTGGGTTTGTATATGTCCTCACATCACAAGAGACAAGCTTTTGGTACGTAGTTCAATCCCCTTCTGTCTGTAAACGGATGAATTTCACAAGTTCCTCTAACTAGTGACAAAAATGAAATGGTTATAGTCATACCCATTAAGTATACCCTTTTATTGCATGTCATAAATTATAAATTTTTTTATCCCAATTAGTGACCTTTCCGAGAATTTACAAAAAATTTCTTGCATAATTTCAAGCTACTTAAAATGCACAAAATCATCCTATATGCTTTGCCCTTGTAAAGCTTATAATTTCATCTTGCCTTAGAGCCTAAAATAATCTGATAATGTTAAATGAAATGCTGTAAAGGGTGTTGGCGTATGTTAGGACGAAATTGAGATGGATTAAGACTTCAAGGACAGATTGGTATAATTAGAACTTGGAAAGATCAAATTGAGAAAACGTGTAACGTTAGAAAGTAGTTTTCTGGATTTATTAATTGTGATTGTAAAATCTTCATGTTGTACATTCAGGGCAGATTGTTAACATTTTATCCAGTTAAAGAAGTATTTAGCTTGAGAAGGAAAAACATTTTTCTTGTAATTTCCCACTGAAAAGGATATATGCGTTTTATATTCACCCTTGTTAATCCCACATTTTCATGGACCAAAACTAGCCTCATATGGTTGTTTCATTTTAGTACATCAGGGAATGCTAACATTTGTTATTATACAGTCAGATTAAATTAGCCTATTAACTTCTTAAAACCATCTTCCATATGTAATGTGCCACAAACATGTCATCTCTTTAGAAAATATTGAAAGCCTAAAGTTCCACTAGGTTATTCTATTGTCCTCATAATAATGACAGCATAAATCACCATTTTGCAAAAGTATAATTTCTCATTTTTGTATTTTGGGAGATTAGTTCTCTGAATTTTCCTTGTTTATAGATTTATGACTTTATTTACTACCCATGTTGATCTTTGGCAGTCATGCTAAATCACAACCCACTTTTTAAATATATTTTCAAGTTGAGAAATCTTGTTCTTTCTGGTTGAAACACTTGAATATAGGCCTTTAGCATGTTTTATATATTTAGGGTTCTCATGCTTATTGACTCCTTTGGATATGCAGTAATGTATTTGCAGACGAATCCTGGAGGAATCACTATATTTGGATGGACAGTTGATCGGTCTCTTGTGAACACAATATTTTTCCTTGAATTAAGTCTGGTCACCTTTGTTCTAGGTAAGACAATAATATAAGGATAAAATTTGCTCGCTGATACCAAGAAATCTTTGGATTTAGGTCTTCTGGGTTACCGTTATCGTTTTGATTGAAAGCCCCCCCACGAAAAGCTATATCTGTTCCTGATGACCGAGGTTACTTAATTTGGTATAAGCCATGCCAGAATGTTACATGCACAAGCAGCCATGCAGAGGTAAAAATGATAGAACCGAATTGTGGCATTGCTGTTAAAGCACTTGGCTTCATGCCCGAAACAAAGGTGTCTCCAAAATTCTGTTCATGATCCTCATTGCTCTCATCAGTGTACTTCATCTTATGATTTATAGTTTGCACATGATGCAAGCAAACAACTTGCTTTAAATTATACTAGCTTAAAAGATCCATTTGGGGTTTTCTACCTACTTGGACTCTAATTCTTCATAGCAGGCATACTCAAATTGCTCTGATTCATAAACCAAGGTTTGCGCGGGATGAAATTGAAGGATCAGAGCACCTAATCATGTCTGCAACTGACTCGAAGATTTCAGCCTCTAGACAACTGTGACGTTTTAGAGTATTTTCCTATTGAATTTTTATTCTTTTGCTTTAGAGGGGCTAGAAGCTAGAGCAAGAGTGTATCCAAGCATAATTCAATGGGCATTCCTTTATTTTAGGCATAAGTACATAATAGTTAAATATTGGTTAAATTAAACTTTTGGTCTTTATGCGTAACCCTTTTAACTTGATCTTTATAAAAAGAAGTTTTTAAGTTGCATGGCTACTGAAAGGAGAATAGTAAGTGTGGGTAACCGCAGGTAGGGAGAGCGAGAGAAATGCAGTGATTTGATTCTTGAACTTTTCCTTAAAAAATTTAGGGAACTGTTGCGGGTAGACCGTAAATATTCACCGCTTAAGTGATAGATGTATACGTTCAGAGATATCTATGAAAGAGATATCGTGCGGGCATATAGCCAATGTACCAAACACTGTGCATTAATAATAGGTGTATAGCCAAGGTGTGAGGTGTGTGCTCAATAATAGGCAAGAGAGTAGGGAATTCATAGTGTATACCTGAGAGGCTTGACCTTTTATTTATAGAAGGGATTACCTGTAGGTGTAGAGTTCTGATAGGATTGTGATTGTTGGGGGATAAGATAAGTTGTTTCATCTTTTATCTCTTGGGATTATCCTTATCTCTTTAATCTATTATAGGTTGTTATGTTGTTAAGATATGAGCTCATGAAATGGGTCCATAACAGTTGGCCCCTAGTTCGGTAGTTCGAGTGTTCATGTTGCCGGGCTGTAATGTTTTTCTTGCACCTTGGACACATCTAGGTCCATCCTTAATTGGCATATGCTTGGCGTTCTTGTGTCGCTCTGCATGCCTTCCTTTTCTGAGGGCTTGATCCTCTTTTTGTGTTGTGAAGTACACTGTTGAGTTTGTTTCCGACCTTTTTTTTTTACATGGCCATTCCAATTTCAACTTCTATCTTACTTTTATGATGTGTCTTGCCGTTCTTTTTTGTTAGAGTTGCTTAAGCTCGACTTCTTTGGCGAAGGCTTAAATTGATGGAGGCTTCTTTTCGTAGCCCAACTTCGCATGTCGCAGCTTTCGAAACTTGGACTTCTTTGCCAGTCATAAGTTTATTGAGACAGTTCTTCGCCTCTTTTTGTTTGAACTTGGCTTTTTTGCCATGGTTTTATTGGAATTGACTTGAATTGAGACATTTTTTCTTATCGATCATAGGCCGGGTTGGATCACCACGACTTCAGAATTATTGTCTCGGCTTCATACTTATTAATCTCGGATACCGGCGCGTAGTGGCTGATCCTCCAAATTAGGCCAAATTCTGAACTGCCACTTAAGTGAAACGTCAAAATCAAAGAACTTAAAGAACTAATCATAATTGAAATAATGAACATCCAAATCTTCATCTTCACTTTCACTTGTATCTAACTTGTAAATCTCTTCTTTCTACGACAAGAACACTTTTGCATAAACTACTGTAGCCGCGATTCAGCTACAATAGCGGCCGCTACATCTGCTATACTTTGCCTGACCATCATGGCGCGATCTGTGGCGGCCGGCCGCTGCACGGCAACGCAACTCTGCTATAGCGTGCTAAAGCGGGGCTATTCACAAGTATGCTTGGCTTTTTGCTTGTCTTATTGATTATAACCATGCTTAGATTGTCGTGGCTTTATTTATTGTGACTTGATTAGAGTCGTTTAACTTGGGGAATCAATGTTCGCCTTTTTTATTTGAACCCTGCTTCTTTCGCAGTGGCTTTATTACCTGAGGCTGGCTTAATTTGAAATGGCCTTTTTATCCGAGCATGACTTCTTTTGCCATGACTTTTTTTTTACTTGGCTTCATCTGCCATAGTCTTGAGTTTGGGGAGGCGACTTTTGCCTCTTCCTTGAGCCCGATTTTTCTCACCTCAGCTCTTCTTTGTACCTTTACAAAGGCACATTCGATGTTTGGACTTGTAGTTCGAAACCTGGGTTATTTTGATGTTGAATTCGTGAGCCGGGTACTGAATATATTGCTCCAGTATTTCTCCCTCGACCTTTTTACTCGAGGTCCTGTTGGGGACTGGCTGATCTTACGTTATACCGCCTTGCTCGGGTTTCGTTGTTTTGGTTCTTCATGCTTTCTAGCATTTATATCTTGGCCAACTTTTCTGAATTAGGTTGTCGGGGTTGTGTTGGGCTTAAGTTTTTTCATAATCTCACTTTCTGGGCTGGAATCTTTCCCTTAGTCCAAGTTCTAAAATTTGTTTAACGACGTCTCACCCTATGAAGATTGTTGCTCTTCTTCATTCTATTTTGTTGCATATCGTGGCTTTTATTGTGACACAACTTCTTTTGCCAAAGTCTTACATTTATGGAGGCAGGCTTCACCTCTTTGAATGTGAGTCTGACTTCTTCTGCCGTGCCTTTTTAATTTGGGTCCCGTTTCTTTTGCAGCGGCTTTATCAAGTTGATTTCGCTTATGAAGTCATTCATTCTGACTTGGCTTTTTTTGCCGAAGTCTTATGTTTATGGAGCTGACCTTCGCCTCTTTGAATTGCAACGCATCTTCTTTCGAGTTGTTGACTGAAGTTTGTCTGGTATTTTTCTCTAGTCAAGCATGGGAGCCTACTGGGATCACCTTCAAATATTTTAGATCTTCCATGAGTCTGGTAGGTCGCTTTTACTGGGACCATGACTAGTCACTCTGGCTGAGACCAAGGTGAATTTCTCAGGCCAGAATCGTGTAATGGTAATCCCTCAAACTGCTCTGTGCCTTGATGGCAAGCTTGGTCGTTGGGATATGGCCGATACCAATTGCGAGCGTGATCCGAAAAGTTCATAAATTTGGAAGATTATAAGCGGTCTCGTGAAGACCCTGTAGAGAAAATAGATCTCGACAACTTTGAGAAGCATTTTCAAAAAGACTACCAAAGGCGCTTTAAAGAAAATAAAAAATGGGAGAAGTTTGACAACTATTCACCTTTAAATACTTCTCGCAGGCGCATTCTTAAAGAAATTTTTCAGACAGTTTTGTTAACATAACAAAACCTGCCCCACTCAAGAAAAACGGAAGGCGCGACGAAACCAAGTGTTGCGAATTCCATGATGATGTTGGCCATACAACTGAGGATTGTTACGACCTTAAAAACACTGTTGAGGCACTAATCAGAGCAGAGAAGCTTAAGGAATTTATTGCTAACTGTAGAGATTACAAAGAGAAAAAAAGGTGTGATAGAAGCCCCGATACTAATACCAATCCTGTTAGGAGAAGGCTTCAAGAAAAGAGATATTACAATTGGACTAATATTTGTAGGGATGAACACGCTCTTTACAGGCACAATGATAGACAAAGGGAATGATCTCCTCATGAAAGACAACACGATCAGCAAACGAGGCTCTATAATCAAACGCAGTTACCCAACAATGCAGCTAGAGTTTTAGCAACTCATTCAGTGTCGCCCTTTTTAACGTGTGCCCTCATCCTCCATGAACAACTGTCGTTGTGATTTTGACATACCATGTTTAATCTTTTGGTATCACTTTTTTCAACAATGGCTATGTGATACTCCGCCATACAAAATTGCTTTATTGCCATCTGCACATCGTGCTTGTTCTCAAACACTTGGTTCTTATACAACTCTTGACACATCTGCCAATTAAGTACTTGTGCTCCATCTATTGTTGGCAACTCTTGATCTGGGTGTGCCCAATTAATACGTCTGAAATGACTTATATTAGACCAAAATGGAACACTCTCATCTCTTGTATAAGCACATATGCGTAGAAATGAATCACCATGTGTAGTTGCACAATTATATTCAATATGTGTAGCGATTTAAAGTTACTAACCTGCCACTGGTAGGTCGCTCATTCCGACAATCCCCCGTGAAGGAATCGGATGACACGCTGTGGTAGATGGACATGAATCGGAATTGTCGTCGAGGTCGGTGTCAGATGAGTCATTTTTTGGAACAACACCTTCATCTGCCTCGTCGTTGGAGCTGTCCGTACGTTGAGTTGGATTATAATCATCTTGGGGAGGAAGCATTTCAAACGACATTGTTGGGAGCGGGGGTGACACAGATCTATCTTCCGAATTCACCAATAGCTCCTTGTTAAGGTTGATGGAGTGAATGGAAGGGAGAGAATGTTGAGTGCTAGACTGTCCATCGGAGTCTACTTTCACATATTGTTCAATAAAAGTAGGCTCACTATCATTTTGAAATGTATCTACTACTAATGCCACATCTTCATCCTCAACAATCTCCACAGAAACCCAACTCTCTTTACCCAAAGCACATCTAGCAGCCAACCGAGACAGAGATTGATCCCGTTGTAATATCAACTTCTTGTATTTTATTTTCTTCAGAAAATTATAACATCACCGAGGGCTTATGCGAGATATTTCGTATCTCCTTCAAAAATTTGACCATTAGGACCAAAATATCTTATCCCATTGTAGTATAAAATGGCAATTATTGAATCATTCCATCACTCATTTTGAAAAAATTCAAAATGTGTATAAAAGAGAGAAGAAATAATGATGATGAGAAAGAAATTTTTATGATACAAAGAGTTAAGATAACATGGGAAGGAATTCTAAAATTTTTGTGAGTTAAGATAAGTATATATGGAACCAAAGTCGCTGAAAAGAGTAGAGACCATATTGCACTATATTCTCTGTCCATATTGTCTTCCACGCATCAGGCGTTCTTTTTGCAACTATCCGCTTAGCCCTACCCGTAGGGTTATTTTAGTGATAGGTTCTATAGGAATTGGACGATCTTATTTGGTCAAATACCTAGCGACAAACTCCTATATTCCTTTCATTACAAACAAGTTCCTGGATAACAAATCTAGGAGTTTTTTTATTGATAAGAGTGACGATAGTGACCATATTGATGATTGTAACGATATCGACCGTGACCTTGATATGGAGCTGGAGCTTCTAACTATGATGAATATGCTACATCTGGATATGATGTCAGAAATAGACTGATTTTATCTCACCCTTCAATTCGAATTAGCAAAAGAAATGTCACCTACTATAATATGGATTCCGAACATTCATGATCTGAATGTGAATGAGTCGAATTACTTATCCTGCGGTCTATTAGTGAACTATCTCTCCAGGGATTGTGAAAGATATTCCACTAAAAATATTCTTGTTATTGCTTCGACTCATATTCCCGAAAAAGTAGATCCAGCTCTAATAGCTTCGAATAAATTAAATACACTCTTTCACTCTTTCATATACTCGGGGATTTCACTTGTAAAAGAAAATGGTCCATACTAATGGATTCGGGTCCATAACTATAGGTTTCAATGAACGATATCTTGTAGCACATACCAATGAGGCCATATCGATTGGTATTATACAAAAGGAATATATTATAGACACTAATCTAATTAGATCTGCTCTTCATAGACAAACTTGGGATTTGCCGGTTCAGGATCATGGAATCCTTTTCTATCAGATAGGAAAAGCTTTTTCACAAAATGTACTTATAAGTAATTGCTCTATAGATCTTATATAACGGCCGGGGGGGGTTCTTATTTGTATAAGTGGTACTTCAAACTTGGAACGAGCATGAATAAATTAACGATACTTCTTTATCTTTTAAGTTGTTCTGCCGGATCGGTCGCTCAAGACCTTTGGTCTCTACCCCGACTTGATGAGAAAAATGGGATCATTTATTATGGGCTCATTGAGAATGATTTTGATCTAGTTCATGGCCTATTAGAAGTAGAGGTTGCTCTGGTGGGATCCTCACGTACAGAAAAAGATTGCAGTCAATTTGCTAATGATCGAGTGACATTGCTTCTTCGGCTCGAACCAAGGAAAACGAGAGACAAAATTAATGGGATATAAGAGAACTCACTCTCACTTATATATATATATATATATATATATATATATATATATATATATATATAAGACCCTTGCACATGTAATAATGAGTCATTTATAATAATAATAACAATAAATTTGTGTACTTTTCTCGACCTTTTTTTCTCTTAAGGAAAACGAGAGAATCTTAATATTAGTGAGACAATGACATTTGTGCCACCTTTATGGATACAAAATGTATGTATGCCACGAGGGTAAATTTTTTTGCCAAAATATCATGTTACAAAACTCGTTACAACTACCATCAAGTACAGTGTGGCCGCATGACACTTTAAAACAGGCCACAAAACATGCTACTAGTTGTAGCGAGTTAAGTGGTCACGATCTGTCTGATTTCTGCTTTTCAATGACACATGGATGGGGGAGACAAATTCGCTAAAAGATGAGTGAGTAAAATCTCAACGGTAAAAAAAATTGCATGTGACATAGCAAAACTCGCAGCAACATGCAGCGAGTATAGCAACAAAAACTCGCTGCAAATTTGATTTGATGTTTAGGAAAGGATCGTTTGTAATTACTCCCTCACTATTATACATAGAGGAACCTTATGTGGTGAGATTTGACACTATGGATAGGTCGTCCCAAACTAGATTTTTTGAAGAACTGCACCGAACCGATTTAAACGGATTCAATTATTTGACCAAGTTCGCTTTGGTTCGAACCGATTTGACCCGAGCCGATTCTGAACTGGTTTCAAACTAGTTCCGAACTAGAATAATTTCCTAACCGGTTTTGAACTGTTTCTGAACCAGTTTTGAGGAAGATTTTTCCCCTCTTTATTCTTGGAAAAGAAAAAGAAAAAAGAAAAAAAGATTGCAAAGTTTTCTAATTATTTTGGACAAAATTTTTGTATAAAACTGCAACTTGATAATGTTTCAACATCACAACAACTCATCTAGCCTTCATTAAATGTCTAATACTGATTCGTCAAATTGGATATAATTTGTCCAATTTAGGTATTATGTGGCAAGAGAAGCAATCATGTAAGTAAATTTCAATACTCTTCTCTTGCTACGCTTATTCAAAATCACATCAAAAGTCTCAATGTAAATATGCATCTAATGCTTTGAATAGGAGCTTTAGAAGACTTAAATCTATGCAACACAATTAAACATGGAGATTTTATAGGCAGTAAGACATTTGTCATGAACTTAAAAGAGCTTCTTACTAAGGATTGGATGAGACTAGAAATTTATGCACTAATGTATAACCATAAACAAGTGACTATAGGAAACATTATGTAAATGATTAGATTAAACAGGAGTATAAGACCAATTATTAAATATATCATTTACCTATTACCTTCTTATTTTTGTGCAAATGTTCCAACTGTTGGGTCTGTGGCCCATGATGGACCCGACCCAAATTAAATGGGTGCCCTAATCTCTTACTTATAAGAGATGCTTAGATGTTAAGTCCTTAGATAGCGAAAAAGAAGAAGAAGAAGGAAAAGAGAGAGAAACGTGCAGGAGAAAAGAGCAAATCAGAGACGAAGATTCTCTGAGGAAGAAACCCAACGCCATTGCTAAAGAAGAAGAATACTATGTAGAGTAGGATTCCTTATCTCCTTTACAGAGAGAAACACTTGTGTAAGGCACTTCTGAGTAAAGTCCTCTGGTTATTAAGCCAGAGATAATCTTTTGTAAATCCCATTATTCATAATGGATATTTTTCAGAACTTGGTCCCGTGGTTTTTACTCTTTACATCGAAGAGGTTTTGCACATTAAGATTCTTGGTGTTCTCTTCCCCCATCTTTATTTTTGATTTGTTGTTATTGTTTACCAACGCTTCCGCAGGCCGACCCGAAGAAAGTTGAGCTAATTGAATCCGAGGTTGGGCTAAGAATTGTCGGGCTCCGAGACACAACATAAACATACAAAAATTGCAAGTTCGGAAGTCAAAAATTGCAAGCTAATCGTAACACTATGTTCTTTGATGTAAGTTCTGTTCTTCTAAACTCAAACTTAATAAATATGAGTGCAAATTTCATTTCACTAAATGATATTGAACCCTTTTGTCTACAATGTTACTTTCATCATAGTCATGGATCAATATGAAAGGGCTTGATGGTATTCAAGGTTCAGTATATGTTGGTACTGGAACTGTGTTCAACTGTGACAAAGCGAAGCTTCTGCTACTTAGCAAGGTGAAACTTTTCTGCGAAGGATTAAGTAGGGAATCAGAAGTGACAAGCCCAAACTCATTCCTTGAGGATTCTTCATAAAGGATTTACTATTTTTGAAACATAAATGGGTTTTCTTTGGGAGGCAGCGTTGGAAGGGCATTAGTGTCTGGGATTCTTTCGCTGCCATTATCCTTATTATCCATAAACATTTTGAACGCAATGAAAAATTACCATTTAAACAAAACGGGCATGGAATGTCTAACTCAAAATTAGCTCTATTTCCCTTTCAACACACAGAGAAAGCAACAAATTTTTTGACACGTCTAAGACCATCTTTTCCTAAAAGGGATCTCGACCAATGTTATTAATGACCAGTCACTATCAGCCTTTACAAACCACATTATGCAAACAGAGAAAGAGTATAAAGATGAAGACATTGGCTCTCTCACTGTAGTAATTGTTCATTTGTAATGGCATACATATTAGTAATTTATATTTCCTTCTCATGCGAACAACATCATCAAGTAAAGGCAACAAGTTCAATATATGAATATCATTTCATCACAGGAGCAATTTACTAATGGCATATTTTATCTCCCTTGAATAAAATAGGGGTATGCTGAAAAGTGTGCAGTTGGGAAAATTAATACCAGACAGGATAAAACTAAATTCTTGGAGATAAAATAAATTCAATCAAATCAAAACAATATTAACCATTTAAGGTCAATCAATATTAAGGGCAATTGAGGTCGAATAGGTAGCATCTTGTTGGGAAACCATCTTTGCAAAAAAAAAAAAAATCTAATTAATTATTAAATCACAATATAATAAAAACATCTTAATTAATTTTATTATCTTACCTTCCTCAATTTTCTCAAGCTCTTCATTTGAAAACTCCAAAAAAGGTGTTCATTTTACCTAATCTTGTGTGAAGACAAGCGCTTCCACTATTTTATCTGTTAATTTACTACAGTACAGATCAAGTACCCTTCCTTCAGTGCTAAACGCTGACTCAGAGGCTACAGTAAAGATAGGTATAGCTAACACATCTCTAGCAATGCTTGCAAGTATTGAAAATCGACTTGAATTTGATTTCCACCAAGTTAAGATATCAAAATCTGAATAGTTCCCTATCGCTTCATCCAAGTACTTATTTAATTCAGATTTAACTTTTGATTAATGCCCAGTTGTTTACTGAATCCAACGCATCTACATCTTACCTTCCACATCGGGTGAGCAAACCCTAGAAGAACCACCCCAAACCCTTTTAAAAAAAAAATATGTAAGAAATAGAAAATAAAATTAAAAAAACGTAATAAAATAAAACAAAATAGTCAGTTACGTTGAACCAATCGCACACATACACCGTTGCCTTTACATAGCACGAGCCTACTTGTGTTGCTTGCCATTTAAAGTTCAAATACCCTCAAAATTCATCTCTCCTTCAGGTCGAATTAGTTTATTTGGAAGTTCCATTGCCTTCTATGTTTGTCACGCAAAATACTTCGATGGTTGCCTCAAACAGATAAAATAAAATGTAAACTATAAAACATTGGTAGAAACAAAAAATAAATAGAAGAATAAAATTAACCATATGCCAAATCGCCTCTGCATGCCTCATGTAACTATGCTTCGATCTCTCAAAATTCAACTACACGCATTGCCCCATGTTTAGCGCCATCAATCCTACTGGCCTGTGTCCAAGTGATGAATTGGTGACGCACCATCATTTAGGTCAGGAGTGCCTCTTCCTGTGTGGATCACGTACTGCTTACACAATACCTAACCCTAATGCTTGATAGAAAAGCACCATGAAGCAAGTTTAAGCAAATCATGATAGTCTGTTCCTCAACGTCACAACCATTTCAACTATCTAACTTCCAAATTCCTAGAAAATAGTTTTGATTAACTAGTCTATTTTAATCATCTCCCAAAATCCTTCAACATAGTCTAACTAGTCCTCATTCACCAAAGATTTAATTGCATACAACAATCACAATGCTACAACCGCACAGAAAGTAAAATTGATTGCACATTCTTAAAGCACAAAGGCAACCTGTCAAATACAACCCCAGACCCACCACCCAAACCCACATTGCACTTAAAAACAGAATAAATTCAATGTCACAACCTGCCACAGCCTACAGAAAGGGAGGAAAAGAAAAGCCACAAAACTTATGCTTACTACAATATCCTCCAGTAAATGATATTGAATGGGAAGTGGACGCTTTACATCTCCTACAACCCAATATCCCAGCTATACGAATTAATAGAATTATCAATTGTATCATAAAGAACATTATAAAAATGCATCAATTATTAGCAAATGCATGCAAGCGAAGCAACTAGATCCCACTAGTTAAATAAATATCCCATATGTCAAGGATGGGGAAAAAAAAACAATGAAAAACCAAATAATATATGAACAGGAAAAAAAGAAAGAAAACCCATTCTTAATACAAGCACTGAAAAACAACGCACAAAAGCTGTAGATGCTGACAACTTGATTCCTTTAATAGGTATAAGATAATTGGAGCACTAAGAAATAGCGGGTAACCATAAACCAACAATTAATTCCCAAAAGATTAAATTTCATATCAAACAAGCTCTCTCAATTTTTATTTTTGGAGTTATCCAACCCTAACTACTTTTTTGAGGCGAGTTGGCTCCTCCAGGTATCCCCACAAGTTTTAACTCTTTGAACCGACTATGGGACTAATTTGAAATGCAAGGTAGGTCAGGTATGAAGATATTTAAACTAATTCCACAAGTGACATACGGGGATCGAACCGAGCAAACTCTCAATTTGACCACCTTAAATTTCACCATTGAACATGAGGATATCTAGTTTAAGGCTCCAGATTTCAAACACAGTAATTTAGAGCCTGATGCAAATTGTACAGAAGTAACATAGTATTTAGAAATTTTTATAGAGGGAACCTAAAGTAAAAACCTGGTTACAGTTGTTAGAGCCAGAAGGAATCAGAAATTTACATTATTAGCCCTGGTCAACTTTCTTCCAAGGAAAACAGTTTCTCAAAAAAAAAAAAAATGTTAGGATCATACACTTTACCGTGAATTTAAAAGAACATTCAAGCAATCAATATTACCTCAATGTCATAAAACATCACATCTCATTCTGGAAAAAAAAAAAGGAGGGGAGAGGGAGGGGGGTCTACAATACAAAAGGAATTACTACATCATCAATAAGAGAAGTAAATAATTCTGATCTTAAAATCCATGGAGATGCAAGAACTGCAGAAACACATCATAACAAACCAAGGTTTGCATTGTACCTCTAGAGAGCCTGAAGGAACAACTAACTGAAGTTCTATACTTTAGGAAATACTGGTAACCTCCTCAACCTGCTTGCTTTGATACTGCAGTGACATTTGCAGACAAATGTCATAAAAGAGTTTATGTATTTGTCAAAACTTCAATCTTCAGATGACAAATAGATATGATAATAAGAGAATTTATTTTACTTCCTTTTCACTACTTGCGTTAAAGAATTTGTTAATACCCTTTGGTTCTACAATACACAAGCGGCTTAACAAGCTGAAAATTAGTTGTATATTTTGTTGTCATTGGGAATATTGTAAAAAAGGGTCAAAAACTTACATAGAAAACAGATTAAAATAGATAAATAAGAAACACCCGCTCCCCCCCCCCCCAAAAGAAAAAAAAATTAGTTACAAATTCATGGATCATCCATAACTGTTCATTGACAGTTTGGCCTCAATAAAATCAGTACCTTAAAACACAGTCTGCTCAAACCGAGAAAAGCACAAAAATGTTTTTCAAACACAGCCGTGACAGTCGTTATTAGTTATTACAGAAGGATTTTCTAACTAGCAGGTATAAAGGAAAAAGACTACTTTCACACTTTCATTGATGCTTCATTGTTCAATATTTAAAGCCCAAATCAAAATCTTCTAGCATAGTCCTAAATTTTTACCACAAGAACCCATGAAATTCTTCTTGGAAATTCACCTCACTTGGATATAAGAACCGTTAGCATTCACCTATGACAGCATATAAATTCTTGTAAAACAAATCAATTGCTTCTCAATTTAAAAAAAAAAAATAGAACATAAATTTCACCTAAGAGCCGTTCATTGTGCTCGAGAAAAAGAGATTGCACCCACTCAAAATCTCAAAAAGTGATTATTGATTCTAAACAAAATTGTCGGATCTACAATAAAATAATCCATAGCAAATCATGCCATCCACAATATTGAATTCAACAGAATGATTCAAACGCAATTGATGACTTCTTCAATAGACTAATAATTTGCGTAAGTAGCAGACTTGTAACGAACAAAATACACAGCCAAGAATTTAAAACCACCCCCATATAAAAATGCAAAACTAATAAACAAACATCAAACATCATTCCATGCCAGCAGGATAACTTTGGCTTCTAGACATTATCACTCCTCACAGACAATATGTATCACCATTCCTTAATATCCAAGATATCAAAGGAATGCGTTACCTTTTAAAGCATAAAGTCACTGTCAATTTCTTCAATGAGATGCACAGAAGGCCCTCTTCCACTTCACACCAACAGTCTCTTGCAAACACAATGTGAATATTAAAAAAAAAAAAAAAAAAGAACTGATAGCTGATAGAAAATCCATACTGCTTTAATACTCAAAACCAGATAAAATGTTTACAATATGCCAATGAAAATATGTTACATACACAAGTTTAGGCAGACACTGACTATTCCTAATTTCAGAAGGCAATTATGCCACATCTTGAACTGCAAGCAGTGTCCCGGATGTATTTCTATATAAAGACCAAGCATGAAAAATGTTAACCTGAAATAAATCTGGTTCCCAGGAGGTAAAAGAATACATCTCTGCTCAAACCAATAAGTTCCTGCTAAAAAACAGCAAGAGTGATCGTCTAACAAACAATGCTTGCAACTTCCGTTCAGTGCATACCCTCACCTCATACATGCAAGCATTCGGCGGAGTGTATTAGAATGATTATTGAGACATAGGTTTAGATAGCACCATTCTTAGCCAAAAATTCCACCAGTCCCTGATTCACCCTGCTGCAACTCCTTCCGGCGCTGCTCCTCCAAAGGATCTGGACTCTTTAATATTCTCCGCATCCGCCTATTTACATAATGATAAAACTTGTCAAACAAGCATTCCTGATTGACACAACCATCCTCTTTTATCCAGACACTTGGGAACAACTGTGTAATGTGTGTCAGATGAACAATTAAAAAAATTTGCTCCAGCAGCTTCCTATTAGTTCAAAATACCTGTCCTGAGCATGTTGAGCAGGAAATGTAGGCATGAACTCTTTACTCTTAGGAAGAGGAACTTCACGGAACCACTCATGATTAAGAGCATCTTCAGCCGTGATCCGCTGCAGTAACAGGTCTTATTCTTAATACTTAAGAAATATTTATTGCCAAATTAATTCGCGTAGCTCATGCAACCTTTACCTTTTCAGGGTCATAAGTTAGGAGCTTGTTCAACAAATCAAATCCAGAATCAGAAAGAACTGGAGATCCAGTGAATGATGTAGCAGGGAACTTTTTACGGAGAAGGTTATACCTGAAAGGAACATTCCGTTGTTAATACAAAGTAGAAAAGTTGTGTAACAGAACAAATCACCAAAGGAGGCCAGATAGCCAAACCAGAACCACCCAAAGTTGGAAGCCTGGGAAAACAGTGGCAAAAAATAAGAACAGTTTAATCAAACAGTCAATGTCTTAAATAAAGGAAATCATAAGTACTTACTGGTGCTTGACAAAATTGACCTTGACTCCAGGTAATTTTGAGAACCCAGGCCAAATTGTTTTATTTGGTGTGCCAAGAATCCTGAAAATCTGCAAGTAAAACAACAAATGTCAATAGAGCAGCAACCACTTTAAGACCAAGTGGTTAAGAAGTAAGAACAAGACACCAGAAATTAAAAGGAAGAGAAATATAAAGTGAGAATTTATCTGATACAAAAAAATGGCATTTAACATATACCTTGTCAAGTTGATCAAATTCTGTTTTCCCATTAAATAGTGGTTCCTTAGACAATAGCTCAGCCATTATACAACCTAGAGACCACATGTCAATCGCTGTTGAATACTGTTTTGCCCCTAGAAGAAGTTCAGGTGCCCTGAGAAACAGATAGACAACCGTCAGGTAAATGATCTCTTATCACTGCAACAGAATGCAGCCAAAGATTAGTTAAAATACAAAAAAAATAAAATAAAAAATAAAATTGAAGGCAAATGTAAATAATGAAAACATCAGCACCTAAGTGAGATGACAGACTAACAGACGAGCTGATTGGTATGTTCACTAAAAGCATTGCCACTATAAAAAGAAAGGATGAGAATGTAAATATTGACCTAATGACCTAAATGTCAAAAGACAAGGTAAGTAATAGCTAACTTGCAGTGTTGCTACTTAATTATTATTACAGAATAACTTAAAAGATTATGTTTTATTACAGAGAATCAAACATGACCACATGGTTTTCAAATTCACAAGAAAACAATTAAACTACAATGAAGATTGTAATACCAATTAGCCTATGATATGACTATATATATATATATATATAAGCAAATACCACTCACCTGTACCAAAGAGTAACCACCAGGTGCGTATATGGTTTCAAAGGACTCCCATACTGACGAGCCAACCCAAAATCACAAATTTTTAGCTCACCCCTATTATTTAGAAGAAGGTTCGAAGTCTTCAAATCCCTATGAAGCACCCAATTGTCATGAAGATATTTCACACCTTCTAAAAGCTGGATCATTAAGCACTTTACTTCACTCTGGCTAAATGGTTGCTTCATTGCCTCCATTAGTCCTTTAAGATCATGTTCCATATATTCCATAACCATGAAAATACTATCAAGGCTACTACCTACCACTACTTCCTTAACGTCAACTATAGATGGGTGGTGAAAAGAAAGAAGAATGTTTATTTCCCTAAGAGAAGTCAGAGGGAACCCTTCTTTTTCCTTCTCCATCTTGACCTTCTTCAATGCTACAATTTCCCCAGACTTCTTATCTCTAGCCCTATATACAACACCGTACGTTCCTTCATCTATTTTGTTCAATCTCTCAAATTCATCAACACTTCTACAACCCTGAAGCATGTTGACCATTCTTTGTGGTGGAGCTGGAGGTTCTGGAGTCTCTCGGCTATCATCTGCATCTTCAGAATCCGTATCTGAGTGACTGTTGCTGGTTTCACTTTTCCTGCCTTGAGCATCAATCTCCATATAGTCATCCTTCTCTGATTCAATACCAGGATGATCATCACCACTGGACATTCTTCCATGGATACCTCTTTCTTCAGACTCGGATGATTTAGCTCTAGCCCTTTCAAAACCTTCTATTTTAGATTCCTCGGGGCTCAATAGCTTGTTCCTTACTCTAGTATCCAACAACACAGGAGTCAGCCTCCTCCTTCTTTTAGGCATTTCCTCATCATCGAGGATTTCACCCTCATCACCAGGAGAGTTATCACCAGCTGCCCATCTTGAAGAAGATATGTTACGAGTTGGAACATAATCTTCACCTTCTGGCTGCTCAGCTTCCTGATCATTACCCCAAGTCTGTTTTGGTGACAAGGAATGCAAACCTGAAGGAGAGGGCAGAGGAATCTTAGGTGCTGTCGGCAACTCAAGATCCTCAGTTTCTCTGTTTCTGACAGGATGTATTTCAACTCCACCACACATTGCATTTGGCGATTGTGACTGCGACTGAAGGAACGTTTTAGGCAGCGGAGGTGGAGGAGGCAGAGCAGTCACAGCAGCGGAGGAAACCCTAACTTTGGATGACTCGTTCACTTCCTTGTCATCCTGATCCCACACTATAGGCGAAAATTTCCTTTTCCTCTCCGGTGGTGGTGGTGGTGACCGAGTCCTGTTTTCTTCAAACACACCAACCTCACAGTTTTTCACCCCTGATTCTGATTCAATAGCATCATCAGACCCACTCTCACTGGAAAGCTCACCAGGCTCTCTATCCATTGCCTTGACAGAAAACCCACACCGACGAGGGCCAAGGCCGCCACCACTGCTGCCGGAGTCACTCCGACTCGAAGATGACCGGTAGCTGCCATTAACGGTTTCTCTCTCCCTGATATCCCTCTGCCTCATCCTAATCCTATCTCTCGCATCCCTGCTCCCACCTCTCACAACATCACGGCCACCATTCCGAACCCGATCGTACTCTTCTTTCGAATTCGCGAAACCACGCCTAGAAACATCCAAGTTGGACTCGCGGTCCCTGAATTCGTTGTCGCGGTAACCCCCATGCCTCCCAGCCGCCATATATCTATCAACCTAGAACAAAACCCCAAATCCCCCTTTATAACGAAGATAGATTTCTTTTTCTATTTTTTTTTTGTAGAACCCTAAACCCAAAAAACAGGGAATCCCCAAAATTGAAGAACAAAATTCGCAAGAATCAGACAGAAATCCTACCTACGAAGGAAGCGAGATCTAATCAAATATCAGGCAAAATACAAAGGTAAAGATGGGATTAGAAACGAAACCCTAGAAATTTACGCATCGAGAGAGAGAGAGAGAAAAGGCGAAGAAAAAATAATGATTGATAAGGAGGATTACCGATGATGAAATTGAAAGGGAAAGAGCGAAAAATACAACGCAATCGAATAAGCGATGCGATGCGACTGCAAAGAAGAGAGAGCGACGCTTTGTCGAGGAAAAAAAAAAAAGGAGCAAAAACGAAACAAGGCGTGTTTGTTTGACCAATAAAAGAAAATTAACGGAGCACTGCTAGTTTTTCTCCCTATACGATCCACTTAATAAATTTCGAGATCAATGTTCAGAGGGGAAAGAAAAGAAAAGAAGCCAAGTGAATATGCTCGCGTATATCTTCCAAGCAAATAAAAATAAAAATAAAAATAAAAGAAAGAAGGAAAGAGTAAAGTTGTATTATTTGAACTAAGAGAAAGAGATAGATTTTAAGTAAGAGTAGAGACATTGGACCAAAAAATAAAGGTGTAGATCTCGTATTTTTGTGACCGAGCCATTTAAAAATACAATTAAATTTTCCAAATACAAAGAAAGAATATGTATCATTTTAAAAGATACAAACTTATATCATTTTAAGTTTTTAAGTAAAAGAAATAAATAAATAATAGAAGAAGAGAGATAGATCACGGCAGATAACATTTATGAATGATATCTATCCACTAGAAGAATCTTATTATGTGATTTAATTTCGATTCTATGTCACTGTCAACAGGTTAATATTTGATTATAAAAAAAGGCTTCCATTTATCATTTAATATGACCCGACAAAGTTTTTTACACACATAATATTTTGTGGGGTCTATACTTTTTAAAACAAAAAAAAAACTACGGCACGTAAAACAAATCTCTATAACATTACATAATCATTTTTCCTACATCATAACTTTTATACAACCCTATAAAAAATTATATGAGATATTAAATTTATTACATAAAATGTGACAACACACCATTAGATAATTATAAAAATTTTACACTAACAATATATAAATTGGATTTATGTCAAAATATATATAAAGATAAATAAATATAAAGATGGATTATATTTTATTTTTATCTAATTTTTGTAAAGAAACAAATTATAAGATTATATGTCTTTAAAAAGTTTTTTAATTAATATATAAGGAAATGTTATACTTCCTATCAACTAAGTTTATCATTTTTTATCATCAAATCTTAACTATTAATTTTTGTCAATTTGACGATTATAGTTTATTGAGAATTTATAATTAATTAATAAATGTCGTCTAATAAATTTTAACCGTCATATTGACGAAAATCAATAATTAAGATTTGATGGTAAGAAATGGTAAACTTAATTGGTCATAAGTATATAATTTCTCTAATATATATAACTATTTAATAATTAATATAAGTACTTTTAGAAAAAATATTTAATAGTGTTGATTGTTGAGTCTGTAAAGAACCAATTCAATCCAAAATTTAAGTTTGTGGGTAAGGTTACATTAATGACATTATATATCTCTGACATGTCCCCTCACAAGAGCCCATTGGACTTGAAAGATGAATGATGCAACAAGCCCAGCTTACATGTGCTAAGATATTCCATAAAAAAAAATTAGGGGGGGCAAGGATCGAACCTGTGATACCGAGGCTCTGATACCAGGTAAGCTGGTTCTTTACATGGTATAAGAGCCTCAGTGTCACGAATCGATTCTCACCTCCCCCATTTTCTTTGTGAAATTTCTTCGCACAGGTAGGTTGGGTGTTGCGAAATCGGCAAGTATACCGTTCGTTTCAAGTAATAAAAGTGATAAGTAAATATCGTTCCCTCGAGGATTAATGCACCAATGACTAATTTTAACTATTCCCTTTTTAATTGGAAGAAAATAATTCAGGTTGATTGTGAAATTGTTGAGATTATAATTTAAAAACATAAATTTAAAAGCAATTAAATTCAAACACATGCAAGAATATCAAAAACTTCAAGAAGTTAATAGATTTATTAAAAATTGTAAAAAGACTGTAGCCAGGATGCACTTCACCTCCGACCCTCCCTTATATTCCTATATTGTATTTTATAATTAACTAATTTGTTTGCTCAGACAATTCATTATTTCCCTATAAATTAGTTGAACCCTAATGTCTGAATGATTTCAACCCTTTAACCCAATTAGAATACTAGTGTCCTAGTAATTCCTCTTGAATTAAGCATTAAGCAAATGAATTATAAGTCTGCAATTTATGTAAGCCTATGTTTAGGTCATGCACAAATTGTTATTCTACCCTTGTCCAGACTAAAACTCCAATATGTCTATTGTGAGTCATAACCCTCAAAGCCCTATAATTAGAGTGATCAGTTATAATCAGGATATGGATAAATTAACACAGGCAGAATAAAACAAACTAAACTAATTAACTTATAAAAACAGTATAGGAAATATAAATGATTCTCATCGGGTTCGTGATCCCAACTACAAAAAGAAATTAGCCAGACATATTAATGTATGACTTAAACAAATTAAAATAAGAAAAACTGTTCATGAAAGCAAAAGAAAAGAAGAAGAAGATGAAGGATCAATGGTCTTTATCTTCAACTTCGGTGGAATCCTGATCTCCAGCGTCTCCATTCTCTGATTCTCACAATTCTCTCCAGCCAAAGATGTTTGTCTAAGGGTTCTCTGTCTTCCTTTTATAGACTTTGTTTCCTCGGTCCAAATCTTGATCATATCTTTGTTTAGAATCTCCTCCAGATACACTTTGAATCCTCATTAAAAACTGTCACGTGCTTTTCGCGTTATTAGCGCGGTGAAAATAACAAGGGCAACTGAATCTGGCGCTACTAACGCGACAACACTGTGTATGTAGGAATTCTCCCGCGCTACTAGCGCGGATCCCGTGCTTGTAGCGCGACACTTGTGCGTTGCAAAAATTTTCCCGCGCTACTAGCGCGATAACAATGTCTTCATATGAATTTCTCATGCTTGGAGCGCGGATCCCGCGCTTGTAGCGCGGCAGCTCTGCCTTTTTGCTTTCTCCAGTGCTTAAAACACGTTCTTTTCTAGTACTTTTTCCTACAAAAACCACAAAAATTCAGTGAAAGAAGAATTGAGCATGGTTTATCAATTTTATAACAAATTTAAGCATTTTTCTTTCAAAGTGGATTAAATCCTTGCTCCTTTTAACTTAGAAAACTGTATATGCTGGAGGCATATCACTGGGCCTGTTACATCATCCACCTTTCAAGCCCAATGAGCTATTTTGTGATGAGGCGTGTTATAATATAAACCATTAAAGAGGTCTTCACCCAACAATAGGAGTGTTAACGGGCCGCATCGAGCAGAGTTTTGGTCTTAAAAGGCTAATCTTGTGTTTAAATGTGTTAGCCTGATCAAGCATATTATCTGTTATGAATATAATTATCGGCCTGTGGCCTGACTTATTTATAAAAAATAAAAGTCTGGTTTAGCCTGTTTAAAAAAAACAAGACAAAAAAAAATTATCTAAACAAAATATACAATCAACAACACTAATAATTCAATAAATATTCATAAATTCAATGTATATCCAGCATAATATAGAATAAAATCATTCAAAAAGTCTGTTTAACCAATAACATGGGATGAAATGAATTGAGGAGAGAGAAATGACTATTACAAGTAGTATAAAAATTATAAAATAAAAACAAAAACTAATATACTAGGCCAGCCTGAGAGACTCTAAGGTCGAGCTTTTGAATTGGAGCTTGATGCCTTTTTATTAAACGAGCTTTCATACAAGTCTAAGCCTAGTTTCAACAACTAATTTTAAACATGTAAGCTCAGGCCTTTACGAGCTGAGACAAAGGCCCCTGGTTCGTTTACCACATTTACCCACCAGCTTAAGTTTTTGGGTTGAATTAGTTCTTTACATGATATCAAAGCCTCTGTCACATGTTCGATCTTCACCACCCCACTTTCTATTGTGTAATTTCATAGCAAATGTAGGTTTGCATGTACATTATCTTCCCTTCAAATTTAATGTAATCTCACCCATCAACATAAATTTTTAGGTTAAATTGATTCTTTACGTAATCAGTAGCTAGTTAAAAATAAATAATGTAATTCTTATCAAGTTTAAAGTTTGTGTTGGGACTTAAATAAAAATATAAATTAAAAATTGAATATCTGCTGCACCGAAACAAATTTAGTGAGAGTGATACTCCAAAACCAACAAATTCCTTATATAGTACATATGATTTTTTTCGTACCCAATTTTTTAAAAGTCTTCGAAATAAAAAAAAATAGTGTTGGGAGAATTGTGCGAAAATCCAATTGTACCCAAATCAGATTAAATTAATTTGAATAAAAAAAATACAATTAATCCCTTTTGTTCAATTGAAATAGTTGAATCGTAGCTTTGGGGTGTAAACCTTACCTCATTCTTTCTATTCCTTTCTCATACTAAGGAATGGGGTTTTATGTTATATATATCCATCTCACTATTAGTCCTTCTTAAACAAATAATAATAATCCAAGAACAAAACTCAGATAAAGTTTTATAGTTATTTATAGTTTTATTTGTTGATAAAATGTATCCTGTATCTTTTTCATGTTATTTTCTTTTTTGAATTTCTTCACTAATTCATTGATTATCTAACTAATCCAAATCAAGCCGGACATAATTACAAAATATGATAAAGAACTTTATCTAAGTTTTCTCCCTTCAAAAGTTATACTTAATTAATTTGATTTTATCTGGAAATTTTGAAAATTTTCTGTGTTTAATTCATCAGATGTTTTAGAAGATTAAGAAATCATTACTTATGTTTTACCATACTTTTTATGTTTTGTATTTGAACTATATAAAAATAAGAGTGACCATTGGAAAGAAAATATTTTAAGAAAAAGATAATTTAGACAAACGCAGTCATGATTTTATATTGATCTTATTCAATAGTATTATAAATCCTTATTATCTTCAACACAGATAAAAACAAACGGAAGAATTAATGCATAACACCCACTTATTAATGATTTTCTAAGGACATACCAAGAGAGCAAGAAAAACATCATGAAATTATTTCAGAAGTAGCATAAATATGTTGTGCTAGCCAAAAGGTTTTATATTTCGCACAAGATATTATATTACACATAGGTTGCTACTTGCTACCAGCAAATGGAAGGCAACTTAAAGTTGAAAGAGAATAAAGAAGGCACATGTCCTGTCCTTCTTATATACTCTACCCTTTCGGTAGTCCTCAAAGCTTTGTCATTCAGTTTGACTTGTGCATTTGCCTTCTTATCTTCAGCTATCCTCTTAGTTGCAGCCAGTTTATTTGCTAACCTTTCTTGTGCCAAAGCTTTCATTCTCTCAGCTTTCACCTAGTAATTAAATTGAACAGGCCTAATCAATATATTAAATATCAAAGATTAGAAGTGGTGTTAGGCAAATTTGAACAATTCTGGTCACACATTACTTTTGAGTCACACTATTTACTTGCACATACTGATGTTGTTTTTGTGTCAGGTAATCCCAAATACACAACAAAATCTGCCACTGTGCAATTGTAAATAGTATAACTGTAGGTAATGAAAAGAAATATATACTCAAAATTTAGCCCCTAGAGTCCACTCTTTAAAGCAATGCATGCAAGTTGCTAGCTACCTAGTGGAGGCTCTCACTCTCACTCTCACATAGGATATATCACTATGCATGAGTCATGTACAGAGAGTACTTGGCCCTTGTGACTATTTATTGGACTAATGACAATTCAATCGCATTTCAAATATAAATATTTTTCTGTTCATTGCATCGGGAAAGAATCCATGCAGAAAACATGAAAGATCCCTGCCATGTTGTTTCTTTTCAGGAATAATTCTCTGTCAGTCTGTTTCACAGAACTTTCAACTCTATGCTTATGAAGTGTGCCAGAGAATTGTTAACATGAAAAGTTGAGCCATCAATGGAAAGGTTAAAATCATTGGCAAGAATTTGAGGAAAACGATTGTACTGCAATGCCAAACTACAACACCATTTACAAGCTGTGGAGACATCTATTTTTGGGAGTTTGAGTTCGTAAACAGAGGGAGAGAGGATACTTTGACACCAGTGTCAAATTTGAAGTTTGACACCTCATCTGAGAACCGTTAGATCAAAAAAGATCAACGACTCTGATTTATAAGCATGTGACACCATTGATCTTTTTTGATCTAACGGCTCTTAGATGAGGTGTCAAACTTCAAATTTGACACCGGTATCCAAGTATCTTACCTCTTCTAAATAATATGAAGCTATATTGTAAGAACGCCAATCTCAGCAAAGAAGGTACCTCCATTTTCTTCATTTCCATTTCAGCTTTTCTTATCTGATGATTTTCCCAGGCTTGAATCTTCACCTCTTCACGCTTGAACCTACAATAAAGTTTTAACAAACACACTTTGTAAACTCAGACTCCAAATGGCATCCAGAAAACACACCTGGAACATATTTCTAAACATTTGAGTGTAATTGACGGCAAGTGTTTAATAATGAAATAAACTAATAACTTGTGATCATAAATCAAGCATTAAATATCATGTCAATTACCTGGCCATATATTTGGCACGTTCTGCTTCCTCCCAAGCCATTGCTCGGCTTTCTAGTGGACTCAACTTTGTAGCTTGTTCTTCAATCTTCTTCTGAGGCATCTTGCAAGGGCTTGATCCTTCTACATACTGCCTAGTTGTGCAATTTCCTTTGGTGGAAAGACTTCCATGGTGAGGCTCAGCAGCTTCAAAACCATTTTGACCCCTCATTGGAGTTGAAGTACCTGAATGAATTGGACTTCGAGTTGCAGGAGTTGTGGCTCTAATAGGTGTAGCAGTTCTTGAAGGCTCTTTACTAGCAATGGGTGTCATCTCAGTCCCCATGTCTCTGAAACATATTGATTGGATTGGGATAGTGTTTTCTGGAGGCTTATTATTGCTTCTCCAAATCGACTCATCACATTCTACCTTCTTTGTTTCTGCTTCATATTGAGTACTACTAGTTGTAGTAGTAATAATGAAATCATGACATCCATCATGTTCTTCCTCTTCCTTTTCACTACTTGAATAATCATGATCCTTTTGTGGCACAGGAGCTATCAATCTCAAATCGTCTGCATTTGAGTTTCTTGGCTTGCTTTTGGACTGGCTTTTCTCTCCCCCTTTTGACAACCCAACAAGCCATTTTTGTGCATCATCCCACTTAGATGGTGTTGGTTTTCCCATAGTTGTTCGATGATGATGGGAAACACGAGTAGCATCCTTCCCTTTGTGAAACTCTGAATACATGGATCTGCTATTTGGGGTATCTTGTGTTGGTCCATGGTTGTAGCATCCCTTATCTTCCACGTATCTCATTCTCAAAGATGTTAATTTCTCAGAAGCTCAAACTCAGGGAGGAGGTAAAGAACAATGGGGGATTATATATATGACCTGAAACCTGTCCAAGAACCTCTACACAGCGAAAATTTCAGGGTCTACAATGTTTGCTTCAGATCCTATATATTGAAAATAGTATGCTCTCTTTTATCTTGAAATCCTTGTTAACACCTTTATATATATCTGAAGTAAAATAAATCTGGGGAAAATATAATATTCTGGCCTTAGCTAGATGTACATATAGTTTGTGTTTACAAAATATGAAAAACAGAACTGCCACAATAGCTATATATATCAAAGGAGAAAGAATCAACAGAAGCAGGGAAGCCCGATTGCTTGTAACACTTTTTTGCTCCACCCAGTTGAACTCAGAAAAATACACTAGACTCAACTTTCAAGTGTTAAAAATCCTGAAGACCTTTCAACTAAGCTGAACAAAGGACTAAATAAAGCATAATATACACAATGCTGAGAAGCTAAATACACATATTGAGTCCCTCTTTTGAATCTAAAGTTGTTAACTTTTTGGATATGTATAGAGACCCACTAAAACTGAGTAACTGAAGTTCAAAGAAACAGACCGAGTTCAGAGAGCAGAGCTTATATTTTAAAAGGAATAATAATACCTTACATCAAACCATGAAATTCTGAAAGTTGCAGAGGCAGAGGTGAATTTCAGATCAATTGAACATTATAATATTAACAAAATAATAGCTATGCATGATTCAGAAAAAAAGGATCCTCCTGCTTATGACACAACAACAGATAAAAAAAGCTAAGAAAGAAGAAACATAGATGCATAGAATAACCATTTTTTACCTTGGGAATTGAGGGACTTTTATTACTGAAGAATGCAGGTGCCATGTGGGGTGGAATCCACAGTTCATCTTCACTCCCTAAGTCGGCAGAGGAATCATGGAAGGAGTTTCTTGGTTTATGTGTCCGTGACATGTCCACTAGTTAGGAAAATAATATTGTACTGTTCCCAAGAGAGAAGGGTGTTAAAATTATGGTTGTACTTTTAACGGTTACTAGATCTAGATGAATAACATGGAAAGGTAGACACGTGGACGGTGGGAGATTAGCAAGAGCATAGATGGGTCTGTGATACTCTTGAAGTAATGTCTGATTTCTGACCTTTTCACGTGGCCATGACAGATGCTCTCTAAGGTAATGGTTCTGATTTCTGATGATACTGACAGTTTCATTAAATTTGAATGTTTTGTTTAGGGGACCCATCTTGACCAGAAATTAATTAACTTATAACAATTGGCATTTAATATGACCTATACATAACTAACAAAATTTTAATTCCGGAATCTAGAGCTATATCAAGTAAATACAAGACTAGGTTAAACACAAACCTCGTAATATAAGCCTTTTAAATCACATGGTGCAATGTTAAGAATTAGAATTGCATGGGACCATTACCTATATCGACATCTGCCATCTTGTGCCAGGTGCCTTCTGACAAAACTGGCATACAAACAAGGAAATTTCATATGCGAGATGGGAAAAAGAGTTGGCTCTGTTTGTTTATCTATAAGAAAATAAATAAAATAATCTCACTAAATTTCATTTATTGACATGGAAAAGTTCGTGTTGCTTATATGAAATTATAGAAGATTTTACATAATAGTCATACATCTGGTAATGCTTTATGGTATTAAATATTGAGTGATAAAGTGTTAACTAGAGCATAAATTAAGTGTTGCAATATAAAAATTTCACAATTGATTATTAGTTGACATCTTAAGAAGGATAAAATATCAGGAGTGAATGTATTAAAAGAAAAGTTAGATTAACACTTATTGAAAGGTAATATAGTCTTGTCTAAGATTGTTTAGTCATGTGAGAAGATCAATATAAAGTATCCCAGAAAAAAAAATGATCAGACGGTGAATAGTTCAATAAACAAAGATAGAGAAAACAAATCCTTGGATCCCACAGATGAGATAATTGCATTCCTTTGATCATACTTAACAAAATTGGAAGTTTAATCAGATGGTATGAAAAATATGTGAACTTAACTAACATGGGTAATTAATGTCTTCTCTTTTCGTTTGAGCACATGTTTTGATGGAGAGATCCAAGATACAAGTTATGAATACGGTAGTTGTGAAATTTATGAAGTCGAATTATTGCAAGAGAAAAGAATTGAATGCTAAGAGTCAGTTTGAGATGAATAAGCAAATTTTGAGAGAGTGAGATTGAGGAAGAGTTTCGTGTCTGGTGGAAGCTAAGATGATTACAGCGTTTAGTACAGGAGAAATTTTTATTTATTCAAAAATTTCGATTTTTAAAAATATAAATTTTACATTTAGTTTATGATAATATTTGAGAAATTAAAATTTTAAAAATTTTAATTTCTCGAAAATCTGAAAAAAATCTGTTTACCAAACGGCCCCTTAACTGGTTACTATGACAACTTATTACTCATATATAAGGGTCCCGTGAATATGGGGAACCAATAATAAAATTGAACTTAAATGAAATATACGTCCAGTTATAACTTGTCAGAAATAAGATTAAGGATTCTCCACCGCAGTTATTGCAAGGGTAGATGAGCAAAAAAAAGTGTGTGACCTAAGACTGAGCTAAGATATCAATACTTTTTCTCAACTTTTATTCGTGGAGTTTCAATTTCATTTTTTTTTCTCTTTTTTTCTTCTAATTTTTATGAATTAGGGTGAATGAAACTCAATTGGATTTGTTATGAATTAATTTTAATTTTAATTTCTTTTTTTTTTCTATTAAGTGCATTGTCCTATAATTAATGTATCCATGACTTAGTTACCTATAAATTAAATTGGTCAAAAGGTTATTTGCACAATAGAGATATTACCATAAAGTCGATTTGATGACATGGATGAGATAATAGTTTCACCTTTATAAAATAGGGGAAAGCAACTCTAATATTATAGGAGGGTTGTTTTCTCCTATTAGTACCGATCCTTCGATTTTTGTATAACACTTTTTTTTAATAGACGTGAGCCTCACATAATATGTGTCAATAACATTAGATACTTGTCTCCTATCCTCGTCATTGATCAAGTCCGTATTTTTTTCACCGTTTTGGTGTTCTTATTCAAAAATCGCTTTTAACTGTTTTCTTATTTTACTTTATTTCTTTTATTGCAATTATTTCACACATTTCAAGTTTATTCGATTTGTCTAAACAGAGCCAAGCATGTAAATTAGTGTTTGGATACTGTTGCGGGGTGGGAACCCGGATAGGCCCAGCCAAACTTTATCTGTGTTGGCTCAATACCTTTATGTCCGGAATAATATGAACCCATTCACCAAGAGCTCGTGTAGTCGTATATCAAGATTAGAGCCCAGATCGTGGGTTTAAACCCACGATCCCATTCTGCATTGTTTAAACCATGATTTGAACGACTGCATGCCACTCCAATAACTGTTTCATATTCATTAATAATAACAGCTAAACAGTGCATCTATATATACAGGGATAATACTACAAGACGGATTACTTTCTGGTTTGGGTTTTGGTTCAATTTTTTATTTATTTTCAATTATTGTTTTCTGCACTTGCACATTGGCCATTTGTTTATGACACTGCTGGTGGGAAGCATGATTATATTTGTGAAGATGTATGTTTCGATTTAATGGAGCAAACCTGACTTCAATCAACACCATAAAATTTCTTTGGGGGCGGTTTGGTACGCGTCATTTTGTAGGATTTTCGGAAAACTGAATTTTTTTAAATTTTAAATTTATGAATATTATCGTAAACTGAATATAATAAAAATCATATTTTTGAAAATCGAGATTTCTGGATAAAAAAAAATTTCTCCTCAACCAAACGCCCCCTTGTAATGAAGGAAACAGAACAAGCTAGGATTGTTGGGTATGCCTCGTATACTGCATTAAGACAAAAATTCTTGTTGATGGGGTCAATTGAAAGCCTAACGGGATCCCGTCGAAATCTGGTACTATTGTGGGCTGAGTCATTGCATTTATGCTTTTTTAGTAGTTTAGGTTTGGGCATATGAATAAATGCTTTTAGTATTTTTTAAGGCTTTAATAGCTCTCTTGTTGCTTCAGATCAGAAAATTTGCAGCAACACTTACTTTCACTAGGATCCGGTTCTATATCTTGAATTTTTTTATTTTTTTTTAATTTCATGATCCGGCTCCGTATCTTATGTAAATATATTTGCTGTAAGTTTTTCCATCAGCAGTGATAGCAGAAATGAGGAACCCATTTTTTAAATTCTATTTATATTTCCTTTGTAAACAGAATTTCTTGTAATGAATACGAAAAAAATTGATTTCCAAGGATAAGGCAAATAAATGATTCTATAAGTCAGAAACTTCCATCACATCAAATATTGTAGACTAGAAATTTCAACTTTTGATTTCTATATTGACATGAGAAGGTTAAGAGCATGAAAATGCGGGCTTATATTTGAGTGAAGAAGATTCAAGACCACAGATTGATGTCATCAGTTCCTGTACAAAAGGTAGGAACTGAAATTGCGCCCGCTACCTAACAATCAGATAGCCAATTGCTGCTATTACAAGTCCCAGCAACCCACCTGCCATGACCTGCAGTATCAATGAGAAAACTAGTAAGAAACTAACTTCTTTTTTTTTTTTAAAGGAAACACCTACTCGTGGTTAATTTTATTTGTCACAACTTTTTAAGGATTTACAATTGTTCACTTTAACATGCACCTGGAGGTAAAAGAGAAAGTGCCATACAGAGACAAAATAAAAATGTAGATAACCTCTAGTTAAATATTGGACCACATTATATAATAACTCTGATAGAATGAACATAACCAGCAAATGCTAACCATGTAGAACTTGCATTTTGGCACATTATTATCTCTCTATATTGAGGTTTTCACCATTCATCGTAATAAGATAGTATAAGTATGATAGAATACCGAATGTATTAACATTTGGAAGAACTGTCATTTTATGATACACTAAATTCCATTGGTTAAACTTAGACCCATCAAACAATTATTTATAGGAAACAATAAAATGAAAAATGATAACCTGAGGGGGTGTATGCCCAAGAAGTTCGCGTAGCGGTCTGCTTGCAGCGAGAGGATGCTCAGCTGGAAGTTGACATACAATTTGGTTCAAAACCTGGGAAAATCAAATTCAATAAAATCCATTGAAATTAACAACCAAAACATAAGAGCAAAAGCTGCATTGCACATTCTAAAATAACAAGAGACGAGAGGACATTGAAATAAATCTGTATATTGAATTGATTCAGGAGAATACAATATATAAAGAAATACTAATAGACTTTACCCATACCTAAACTAAATCCTAATGAAATAAGGAAATATATCTTTACAAATAATAAAAATATTATTTTCAACACATAGAAATCATAGGCAAACAGAAAAGGGCTTCTAAGCAAACCTCTGCTTGGCGTCCTGCTTGCAATCTTAAACCAATAGCATCATACATCACCTGCACAAACCATACGAACCATTCATCAGCATTACACTGATTTGTCATTGTCTAACCTAGTTGTTTATGGGACAAAATCACACATAGTACATGCATGTTATGTTCTTTATTAATAAATAAAATATTTGAAGAACTAAAGAGAGAGAGAGAGAGAGAGAGATGGAGAGAAGTAGTCATGCATACGTACAATGCAAGCTAAAATCGTGGCAATAGCAAAAGGGGGTCCTCCAAAGCCGTAGTGGAAGCCAATGGCTGTTGCAAGAGCAGTGACAGTTGATGAATGAGATGATGGCATTCCACCGGACCCAATTAATTGGTTGGGATCCCATCTTTTATCCTTAAACCCGGTGGTGAAGAACTTGATGGATTGGGCAACGGCGAAAGCAACAACGGCGGAAATTAGAGGGTAATTGGCAAAGATTGATGACGATGAGGATGACGTTGAAGAATGCATGGGTGGGTGCACTCTGCAACCTCATCCACAGTTGCAGGGAATGTTGGAATATGTAAGGCTGAAGAAGAAACAAAAAACACAGATCCCTTCTTCTACCTTCTTCCAATTACCTATTCCTAACTAAATTAATGGTCATACCTTTATTTTCTGTAGGGTAGAATATGCCTGCTCTTATTAATAACATATTATTATGTTAGTATTAGCCCTAAATTAGCTTTATTTATTTAGGGCAATCCCATTTGGCACGAATGGTTATGTTTTGTGAAGTGTTATAATTTTTTTTAATTAATTAGAAAAAGACATATATTTACGCTTTTTTTCTTTTATTTTGTGAAGTTGTGTTAAATTTGGAAAATTATGACCATACAAATATAGAAATAAATATAATCGTTTGATCAACATAATCGATCTAACGGTGAGATTGATTGGTTGTAACATGGTAGTAACACAACTTGGTTGTTACAATATCCTTCCCCTAAAAAGAATGGTTAGTTTTAGTTTTTAATGATTACACGTCAACAATTAAGGAGTAACAAGATATTCTTTAGGTTTTTTTTTTTTTTTTTTTGTACATTAGGGTTTACTAGTTTTTAGTTTAGGTTTCCAATGCCCATTTAGTTTTTCGAAAGTTTCATTATTTTAGTAAAAAATAATCTTTTCATAACTTGTGCTCATATTATAATTTTAGGTTACAAAGAAAAACCAGAACTGAGAAGACTTAATGATAATAGAACAATGACTAATTTTTAAAGTTTACAATCAAATACTTTTGACGCTAGTAAAAATTATATTAAGTCATTAGGATTGATTTAAGGGAATTGTATTCATTTTGTTATTGGACAAATTGATACCGTCCTGCATAGACAGAAAATATCACTCTCAACATTTTTTTTTTGGTTTTGTTTTTAAACTCTCGTGGGATCAACATTTTTTTGTTAGTGCAGGAAAAAGATTTCCTCTTCCAATAACATAACAAATCTTTCCCCCTTGATTTAATAGTAAGAAGTTTGGGTAGTTTGCAGTCATAAATTTGAACTCCTAGAAACAAAATTATATCAATAACAAAAATAATTATATTGGACAACTAAGTTTCTATCTTAACAATTTGAAAGCTACCAAGTCATGTGACTGATATAATGCATTAACTGCAAATTCATTCAATGAAACTTATCCTTTGGGACCTACTTATATAATGCAGTTCATGTTTTGTGGTTTTTGTTCGCAGCTAACAGTTGTGACATTTAGAATAGTTTTTATGATGAAATTTTTCATGCACTAGATATTTGAGTCTATATAATAGCATAATCCCTTATTGGGTGTTATTCTACAAAGGGAAAAAAAAAAACTGAAGGTTGAGTTCATCTTCTGCTTTATCCTTTTCAGCCGAGGGATCACTTTCTAGTGATTCCTCCCACCCTGTTGCCATTGCTATCCCAACGGCCAATTGGAAGATGCAAATCAATATCACAAAATGAGGCAGAGCTTCAATTTTCCTTTCGCTTCTGTCTCAACCTGTGGTAGCAGACGTGTGCTGGCGCCACATATACGACAATAATAACATGCCACAGAACTCACTAATTCACGTCCCCGTTGGATCAATGCAGATCTTGGATTCGGTTTTAGAGTAAGGGACCCCCAATCCAAATTTGTCAGATGGTAAAATCAATCCTAAATGGCTAGGGCATATCTTTTCCAACAATATTCTTAAGTTCCTCCTTTGCTGCTTCCATCACCGCCTTAAAGTCTATATGCGTATACCTTCCCCTGCAATCCACAATTAAAAGTTCAGTTTTAGCACATTGCTCTAATGAATGATATAAACCCTGCAGACATGGAAGCAACGGAAACTGCTCTCACTAGATTTTCCTCCTCTTTTTGTTTCCCAAACAAAAGCTAGAAGTTTTGAAATAGAAAATCGTGACTTAGGTTTACCTATTGATATTGGTGCATGTGTACAGAATTCTAACTAAAGCACAGAACAGTTCAAAGTCGCCCAATTTATTTCCTACCATGGACAAGTATTAAGGACATCGAATCAAAATTTTGAATTTCAATGTACCAGAAATGGGTTTTACACCATGTTGTAGAAGGATAGGCTGGGCTTGCAATTCCGTGCATTATCCTCGCAATGGCTCTAGGTGTAAATCGAGCCTGTGAATTGCTCTGTAGAAAGACCTGGTGATCCCCAAAGCAACAGGCAATTTTTCAAAATTCTCTTCCAGACATGATATGTATGCAGTTTATTTAAGATTCGCAGAATGCCCAGATTACAACTCACCTTTATATCTGCCCGCAGGAAAGGGCTGCACATGTAAAATACTAGCAATTTTAGTACAAGAAAATATAGCATATAGCAGAAGTATATCCTTATCATCAAACAAGTAACAGAATTTTTTTTTTTCGTATAAACTTTAAAGAGAATTTTATTTCTGATATTTCAATACGCGACAGAATTTAAGATTTCAAGCTTAAATCCCTTTTATATATCATTTGTTAAATTTGTGTACTTGATTACAGAACTTAGGTGACAAAATAAGTAAGAACCTGCTTTGACCAATTTTCTTGCAGAAATCAGTATTGTCGACTCCAGCAAAGTAATCCAATATTTTCCTTTGCAAGCATGGTGTGTGATCGGCACTACTGCATCCGTGCAGCTTATCACATAGATTTACTGCGAAATATGCAGCATTAAACATTGCATCCATTTTTTGTACCTACTCAAAATGTAGAATCATGAGAAAATAATCAATCAGTAATGAATTGTACATGAAATTTGACTCTACAAATTCAAAGAATGCAACATATCATCTAAAATGAATTATCCAACCAGTACTACTTCATGGTTCAGGACTTCTGATTATTGAGAGGATACAGCATCCTAAATGAATATATTTCCAAAAATATCATAATGAACAATCCCGCAAGTTTATCAGAATATAGTACCTTACAACTTTCAACTTCTGATAACCATCTGGTAATATCTGCTGATAGAGAAAAAAAATCTGGGGGGATTTCAACAATCCTATAACAGTAGGCCAAATCCTTCATTTCATAAGTTATTTCTCCCATCATCTGGCAATATTTCACAAATAATGAGGTTAGATCGTATATACCAGATTTTAACTATATTGCTTCCAATATCACACACAACAGGGACGGAGCTAGGCCAAATTGGTTAAGGTGGTCAAATTAGAATCAGAATTAGATATATTTTATTTTTGAAAAAATAAATTAGATGCAAAATTAAAATTTTAAAAAAACCCTCATGCACCACATGTCTCCGCCTCTGCACACACAAAAACACTATATTTCCAGATCATAACAAAATATGCAGCTTCGTTTTATTAATTATATGAATCTACCATGTATGATGCCAAAGAATTTTAAGACAAGGAAAACTAGAAGATTTTTTTTTAAAATAATTACAACAATTAAAACATTAATCATGCTGCAAGTATTTATGGGTAAAATAAGAATAAAACTATAATATTATCACTTCACTTGTTTTTTCAAGCACATTCATCAGCATTTTTAACAGGTGTACTGTAGGCTAATTGGAGGTTTAATGCAGGGGCAATTATGGAAAGCATATGTATTTTGGATTACTATCCAGAATCTAAAATAGGCAGCTTTCACGAATATTAAACATTAATCATTCTCAGTTTGATTTGAAAATTTTAAGAGTGGCATAGTGACGTGAAGATATTTCCCATATCAACCTTCAATCAAAGCATCAGAGATCTTTGCTTAAAGCTTAAAATTTTGAATGAATGTTTTTTTCACTATCTTCTGGTATGTAAACCATGCAGCTTAAATAAGTTGTGGATAGGACTTCTGTCATCATACTTCGTTGCTGCAGAGCAGTGGATTTAAATTCAGTTACACAGAAGAAAAAATAAATCTCATGCATTTTTTAAACTTATTTTGTTATGTGCATCTTAAAGTTAAGGAATTGTGCCACGCAAGGGTTGTATTAACAATAAGATACATGGGCTTGGACCCTATTTACATGATGTGGCACAAACTAACACAACTTAATATACACATTCTAATAGTGCACATGCAAACCCAAGAAAAATATATATACTAATCCAAACCTTCAGGTCGTACAACTGATTTGTTAATTCAACTGCTGTGACCCCCATGTCATTTGCCACAGTTGGAATGTCAAAAACATATTGCCCTTGCTTATTTTCAGATCTGAAAATCACACAAAATGACAAAAATGATTCAGTTAAACAAGTATGAGTGTAAGTAGAATTAAACTGCTTTTGTAGTGATCATATTCAGGAAAAACTGAACATCCAAGTTCCATCAACAGGTATGCCTTCCCTTTATAAAATTTGGAATCAGACTCCATCTATAGGTTTACAACATTAAAACAACTCATAACGCAATGACCATCCAGTGGAAAAAGGGGAAAAGGTGAAAAGCCAAGAAATGTAATATATATGCTTATTATTACCGTTTTAGAATTACAGCAATAGCAGAAACCTTTCGGGCAAGGAACGAAGGGGTAGTCTGCATTAGTGCCAAAAATTAAAAATATAAGCAACTAAATAATTACTCAAACCACATATATTCCTCTAAATTTCAGTTAAAAATTAACAAACATGAGATTTTAATGTCCTCTCCGAAACTTGCTCTTAGTTAAATGTAAAAGAATACGTTGTGTATTGATCTGTGTCAGGGAGTTACAATATATAGAGACCCTAATGGGCTTAAGTGTAAGGCCCAAACCTAATCCAAACCTAATCCTAATACAGTCAGAATACAGTCAGACTATTTACGGATAAGACAGAATCCAATCATATCTAATCAAATCTAATCATATCATATCTAATATTCTAACACTCCCCCTCAAGCTGGTGCGTATATATTATGAGCACCAAGCTTGTTACAAATGTATTCAACCCGAGGACCTCTAAGAGCTTTAGTGAAAACATCTGCTAGTTGATTAGACGAGTTGACAAAAGCTGTCTTGATTTCTCCTGACTGAATCTTTTCCCGAATGAAGTGACAATCAATCTCTATATGTTTGGTCCTCTCATGAAAAACAGGATTAGAAGATATATGTAGCGCAGCTTGATTATCACAGATGAATGTCATGGGTTGTTTCTGTTCACAAAGATTAAGCTCCTGAATCAACTGCTTTAACCAGATCAACTCACACGTAGTATTTGCCATTGCACGATACTCAGCTTCTGCACTAGATCGGGAAACAACAGGTTGTTTCTTGCTTTTCCATGAGATTAAGTTTCCTCCGAAGAAGACACAATAACCAGAAGTAGAGCGTCTGTCCGAGGGTGATCCTGCCCAATCGGCATCTGAGTAACCACAAATTTCTGTATTTCCCTGATCCGAATATAACAAACCTTTTCCTGGTGCTCCTTTGATGTATCGGAGGATCCTCACAGCAGCATCCCAATGTGAATCACAAGGGGAATCAAGGAACTGACTGGCCGTACTGACAGCGAAAGAAATATCTGGCCTAGTCACAGTAAGATAATTGAGCTTCCCAATCAGCCTTCGATAACGTCCAGGATCAGATAACGGCTCCCCCTGTCTGGGCAATAACTTAACATTAGGATCCATGGGTGTATCAACTGGTTTACACCCCAACATACCAGTCTCCTCTAGGATATCCAAGGCATACTTCCTTTGACAGATAGAAATGCCCTGTCTAGATTGCGCCACCTCAATTCCCAAGAAGTAACGCAGCTTCCCAAGGTCCTTTGTTTGAAATGCACTGAATAAATGTTGTTTTAACTGATGGATTCCGTCTTGATCACTTCCGGTGAGGATGATGTCATCAACATAGACTAACAAATAGATGCACTTGTTAGGAGATGTAATCCTATAGAATACAGAATGGTCAACTTTACTGCGAATTAGGCCAAACGCCTGTACAGCAGAACTGAAGCGACTGAACCATGCTCGAGGAGACTGCTTGAGACCATATAAGGATTTTCGAAGACGACATACCTTCCCAGACTCCCCCTGAGCAACAAAACCAGGTGGTTGCTCCATGTAAACTTCTTGTAAATCACCATGAAGAAAGGCATTTTTGATGTCAAGTTGAAGGAGTGGCCAGTGACGAACAGCAGCAAGGGCAAGAAATAGGCGGACGGACGCCATCTTAGCGACTGGAGAGAATGTATCGCTATAATCAAGGCCAAAGATTTGAGTAAAACCCTTGGCAACTAGGCGTGCCTTGAGACGATCAACATGGCCATCAGGTCCAACTTTCACAGTAAACACCCAGCGACAACCAACTATAGACTTCTCTGGAGGAGCAGAAACAAGGTCCCAAGTGCCATTGGTATGAAGTGCGGTCATCTCATCAAGCATCGCTTGGCGCCATCCTGGATGGGAAAGTGCTTCACCTGTGGTCTTAGGAATAGAAACAGAAGAAAGACTAGAAACAAAGGTGAAATGAGGAAGAGAAAGGCGATCATAGCTCAAGAAGGTATAAAGAGGATAAGGGTTACGAGTAGTACGTGTACCTTTTCTTTGAGCAATGGGAAGAGCCTCTGGTGAAGGATCCGGAGGGGAAGAATCAACTGCAGAGGGCAATGAGTCAGCAGGGGTCGAGTCGACTGGAGGTACTGTCTTACATCGCTGATAAGTGAGAAGTGGACGGTCCTTAGGTACTGGAGCAATAGGTGATTGCTTATCTGGAGTAGAAGCACCTGCATCTGGCAAAGACAAGTCAAGAAAAGGAACAGGAAGAACATGATCAACCTGTGACAATGGAGATGGGATAGAATTAAAGGGTTGTTGATCAAAAAAGGTGACATCCACGGAAACTAAGTAACGCTTGAGGTCAGGAGAGTAACAGCGATAACCCTTTTGAAGACGAGAATAACCAAGAAAAATGCATTTAAAGGCTTTGGATGTTAACTTATCCTTACCAGGAGTGAGATCATGAATAAAACAGGTACAACCAAAATCATGTGGGGATAGAGGAAAGAGAGGAACATCTGGAAACAATAAGTTATGAGGAATATCATTATTAAGCACAGATGAAGGCATGCGGTTGATGAGAAAGCAAGAAGCAAGGACTGCATCAGCCCAGAAGTGAAGAGGAACATGCATGTGAATAAGAAGAGTCCTGGCAATCTCAATGAGATGCCTATTCTTACGTTCAGCTACTCCATTTTGTTGTGGAGTGTGAGGACAAGTGGTTTGGTGTAAAGTACCCTGTGTGACTAAGAAGTGAGAAAAGTCAACAGAAACATACTCCTTAGCATTATCACTACGCAAAATACAAATAGAAGCACCAAATTGAGTATGAATTTCAGCAGAAAACTTTTGATAAATAGAAAACAACTCAGAACGGTTTTTCATTAAATAAATCCAAGTACAACGGGAGAAATCATCAATAAAGGTGACAAAATACCGAAAACCTAAAATAGACACACTACGACTAGGACCCCAAACATCTGAATGAATAATTGAAAAAGGAGCATCAGCTCGTTTATTGACTCGATTAGCAAAGGAGGAGCGTATGTGCTTTCCTTGCTGACATGACTGACAATCTAAAGTTTGAAGACCGGATAAAAGAGGAACCATCTTCTGCAATTTCGCAAGACTAGGATGCCCGAGACGACTGTGGATGAGCTGTGGAGATTCTGTGAGAGAACAAGCAACTGAAGGACTCGGCACATCAAGGTAGAACAGACCCCGTGACTCACGGCCCACTCCAATCATCTTCCCCGTACCCGGGTCCTGCACAGAAACAGAATGGTTTGAGAATGTGACAATACAATTAAGAGAATTGATCAATTTACTAACCGATATTAAATTATAAGGGATGTGAGGAATGTAATAGACAGATGTCAAGGTCAATGAGGAGGTTGGACAGATTTGTCCAATCCCATGAACGGGGGCCTTAGTTCCATCAGCAAGAGTAAAAGAGGGTAAATTATTAGAATATGTAAGGGAAGAAAAGAGTTCCTTATTACCACTGAGGTGATCAGTAGCACCTGAGTCAAATATCCAAGGACCAAGTGATGCAGAATGAGAAACACAAGCAACAGGATTACCAGTTTCTGAAGCAGAGGCCTGAGATTGAGGAGAGGACTTCCTGAGAAGGGCCTGGAATGCTGCATATTCTTTAGAGGAGAGAGAGACTGAACCATTTGAAGCAGTATCCGATTGAGCTACATTAGCAGCAAAAGAAGGTCGCATGTGAGGATACTTGGTGTAGCAGCGTTCCTCATAATGACCAAGTTGCTGACAGTAATGACAACGAGGTCGCTGACCACGTCCGACTGGACCTCCTGGGCCACGACCTCCTGGGCCTCCTGGGCCTCTACCACGACCACGTCCACCTCCAATATGCCGCGAAAATCAGTACGGGAAACTAGAGCAGTAGAATCAACAGCAGAAGACGATGCAGGAGCAGATTTCTTATTCAAATTCAGAAGACGCTAATACGTCATGGATAGATCAGGCTCCCCACTAGTCAAGATAGTATCACGAACATTATCATATTCTTCGGGAAGGCCAGAAAGTGTGGCAACCATAAAGAGACGTTCCACCTGTTTCCGATATGCAGTAGCATCAGTAGGGTAAGGCAGCATATCCAAATATGCCTGCATCAAAGAGCGACTCTTGCCAATATATGTCTCCATCTGAATGTCGGATGATTTGCTCAATTCCATAAACTGAGAGATAATGAAATAGAGCTGCTGAACATCATTAGTGTAGAGGTTTTTTGCTTCCTCCCACACTTCAGTGCAAGTTTGAAATGAATAAAAGATATCCAAGACAATCGGATCAATGGATTGCCAGAGGATACTCAGAAGCTGGTTGTCAATCTTTTCCCAATCAGACTTGTCCTCCTTAGGGACATCAGTAGACTTAGTTGTGAGATGGTTCCCATATCCTTGTCCAAAGAACCAAACTCGAACAGAGGTGGCCCAGTTCTTGTAATTAACAGATCCCTTCAATTTTGAAGAGGTAATGGACCCAATATTGGTAGAGATGATATTGGGAGAATTTCTCAAAGGAGGAGATGGAGACTTGACCTCCGAATGAATTGGAGCGTTTGCTGCCATAGTATCAAATCACAAAGATACAAACCGAATAAAGAGAAACGAACCTGATCACCAATCAAGAAGAGGTGCGCACAAAAAGTCAGACCCACAAAGAACCAACCACAGATCCAGAAAGAGGAGGAGAAGACGAGCTTCTCTGTCCAAGACCGGCCAGAAAAAGCCGCCGGAATAGTGCTCACACGCCGGCAGAAGGTGGCGCGTGAAACCCACGCGCAGAGAAGACTGGAGGCGCGTGAGAGCGCGTGACAACTCCGATGGTGGCCGAACTTCCACAGAGCAGGTCGCCGGGAGGAGAGGGTTCTGTTCGCGTTCGTTCCAGACTGAAAACTCGCCGGAAAAGTACTCCGGCAGCCTGAACAGTGGCTGACGGTGGCTGATGGTGCTCCGGTGACTGTTTGGGGATGTGGACACGTGCAGAAGATGCCTGGAGAGGACTTACAGCCCTTGATGTCTTACCGGAAGGACGCACGGCAAAGAAAAGATGACTCCTAAGCAGTGGGCTTAGGTTTTAAAGCGAAGAACAAGATTTCTAAGCGGAAGCGAGGGTTCCCAGAACGAAATAGCTCTGGTACCAAGTTAAATGTAAAAGAATACGTTGTGTATTGATCTGTGTCAGGGAGTTACAATATATAGAGACCCTAATGGGCTTAAGTGTAAGGCCCAAACCTAATCCAAACCTAATTCTAATACAGACAGAATACAGTCAGACTATTTACGGATAAGACAGAATCCAATCATATCTAATCAAATCTAATCATATCATATCTAATATTCTAACACTCTTCAATCTATAATTTATAATATAGTTTAGATAGACAGCATTCATGAATTCATTCATTTGCGGGAAAAATTTCTACATGCAATCAAAGGCATGTCTGCACGAACCTTATGAAAAATCAAAGCACAAGTTGCATTTATGTGTGGAAGTAAATGCAAGTACTGCACATCGCCCAACTCCAAGCGTGTCAAAAGTGTGAGCATCACCTGGTAAAGGAAAAGATTGGAGAAAATTTTTAACCTGTAGACCTAGGCTCAAAAAGGTACCTATAATTATGTAGGGTTTCCTTACAAGAACTGGTTCCGTTACAAGCATGTGCATATCTATTATCTTACATAAATGGATAAATGACTGATACCTATTAACTAGATGGTTGTCCATAAAAAAATCCTAATCACTGCTCAGAAACGGCACTTTAGCTTTATCTGGTCTAAAGTTAACCTTAATCTCTCTGGTTTCCAGCTCTAAACAAGGAAACAGATAAAACAAAACCACATTTTTGTACAAATACAGAGACCACCTACAAATACACCACAGATACCATGCAAATGATTTTCTCTTAATTCAACCATGTTCAAAAACTTTAGAGCTACTGAGTATGGCAATCAGAAATATGTATTTTTTTCCCCATTGATCATCAAAATATCAGCACCACTAATTCCTCAACAGGATGTTATGAAAGCCGTCTAAATTTTTAATTGAAAATCACTTATCTGATTTATTTAAGTTCTTAAATTTATATGCATAATAGTGTTGAGTAGAGGACCTCTTCTTTCATATCAAACCTGCGGGAAGCAGATTCTCTGATTAATGAACAGATTTTCCCGGAGCTTTTGTCAGCAGGAAACACTTCACGCAGAAATTTGTTCACTGTATATTCATCCACTCCTTCACTGAGGATAGAAAATTGCATTAAATGAAGAACAATTTGGGAGTGAAAAAAAGAAAAAGAATTGTGTTACCTGTGCGTTAAACTCCGAAGTTTGAAATATGTCTCATCATCATAAAATAGGTGACAATAGGACAATCTCCCATCCCTTCCAGCACGTCCTATCTCCTAAAATAGCCATTCCATTTATTCAGCAAATCAATAATAGAAAATCTTGCTATGCTACTACTAGAGTTCAGAAGAAATCATATACCTGTACATACTCTTCCAGACTTTCAGGCAAACTGTAATGAATTACCTAAACACAGATAAGACAATGGAGTTCCAGTGTGAATAACTGTGACATATAAGATAGTTTATATTGCAATGCCAATATGTAGGGTGAAATACAAGAGAAAAGTGTATGCAGAATGATGCCCAAAAACAGCATTTTGCAACTTAACTAAAGTGACTACTAGCACATCTGCATGAACAGAGAGACCAGGGAAAGAGCTCAGTTCTTCAATACCATTTGCCCCCAATTTGCAATTTTAACCATAAATAAAAATCTTTAAGGAAGAATCAATAGTTTCTGGTACAGCCAGACCTCAATGATTTGAAGCATAAAACACACAGAAAAGCAGGTTACTGAACAACAAGAGCACTATGAGAATCAGTGAATCACTACATGCGTATACCATTCTAGAAAACTTCTATCGTCAGAAATCAGTTCATGCAAATTAATGTAGAAAACCATAACATAACAAGCCTTACAGCTCCAACATCTCTTTTATCTAGTCCCATGCCAAATGCCACAGTTGCAACAACCTTCATAAAAAATCACAAGATAATCAGTCAGCCTAGTGAAGTTGTATTAGAAGCACCAATGGAAAGAAGGCATGAAGAATATAATATAAAAATGCACATGTGCACCACAAAATTGATAAAACTAGTGATTAGAAGCATAAAATTTATCTCACCACTCTGATCTTGTTGGAACTAAACAACTCCTGTACATAGCTGCGTTCCTTTGCAGTGATACCACTATGATAACTCTAGATGATAATTCACATCAATCATCAGATTTAAATTTCATCGTCAAGGGTTACACAGAAAGACACGCAATGTCAAAAAGAGAAATCTGGAGCAAACCTTTGCCAAGATATTGCTATCATTCAAGTATCTGCTAATTAGATCAGTTTCGTACTGGAGCAAGAAAAAGCATAATTAATTCCCACAATTATAAAAAATGTTAGAATATATCCACTATAGAAAACAAATTACTTGCAAACTTAGGTAATCAGCTATATTCTAAACCTGAAACATATGGAGCTCATTAACTTGTTTCTTGCAAACGATATTATACAAATGAAATACTATGTGCTAGAAGAGAGAATTTATTGCAATATGATGACAGATGAGTTTAATATATCATAGAACACCCCGTACTTTAAAAGATATACATACCTGAAATTTGCAGTATATGATTATGCTTTGAACTTCCGCAAACGGAGAAGACTTTAGCAGAATCAGTAGGTCTTTCATTCTATTATGTTCAAATAAGTTTAACAAAGTTCAGATAAGTAAAGTATACAGGATGAAGCGGTAATAAAGCATCTAACTTGCCTATTTCTGACCAAAGACACAGATAAATGCAAATTGTCCCTTAAATGTGCCTTCTGAATAAGATTTGTGTATGGAATATCTAGAGCAGACATGATGGCATCTAAAGTTGTGGTTGTAGCAGTTGCTGTCATTGCAAGAACAGAACCTACATTAAGCTTTTTACGAAGCAGAGATGCTCTAAGTCTCATGAATGAAGGTCGGAAATTGTGAGACCTGTAAAAATGTTCAAAATCTCAAAAATCAACAAGGAAGCACAAGCATTCGACATGAGATCTCCAAAGTGTAAATTTTAATATTTCCAAAAGACTCACCATTCAGATATACAATGCGCTTCGTCAATAACAACAAGCGAGATGGCTGACAAAGCAGAAATACTAGACAGAAACTCTTCATTCAGGAACCGCTCTGGTGAAACAAAAAGCACCTATATGAATTAGAATTGTAAACATTAGCTCTCGGTGAGAGTACAACCATAGTCAATAAATAAACCCTCTGATATGCAAATTATGCAATCAATCTGCAAGAGTGCTACATATTTCTGCAAAAGCAAATCTGAGCCAAAGTTACATTCAGTTGATGAAATTCCCACCTTCATTGCACCTTGTCGAAGCTGGTTGAGCGATTCAGAGGCTTCTTCAGGTGTCTAATACAATTAAACAAAAAAAGATGAAATGATGACATCCCAGATATCAGATGAAGTGAAAATAGTATATAGAATATACCTGACTGCTGCATAGAAGACCACCTTTAATCACAGGAGGCAAATGCTTTAACTGATCAATCATCAATGCTACCAATGGACTAACAACAAGAGTAATCCCAGGAAAAATCACAGCAGGCAACTGATAACACAGCGATTTCCCTGCACCTGTTGGTAAAATTAGCATAGTTGATTTCCCAGCAAGAACCATCTTGATTGCCTCCAATTGCCCATCTCGAAAAGAATCATAACCATAAATCAATTTCAGCAAGTTCACCAAGTTCTCGTCCGAAGGGTCAACTCGAGCTGCAGACACAACCTCTTCCAACACATTGCAATCAATCTCCTTTGTCCTACAACACCCCCTTTGCTTCTTAGGTTCACTTTCTCTAATCAAAATATCCTTCTCAAAACCCGGCTCCACTTGATCCTTCCCTTCAAGTCCCAATTTACCTTTACTACTACTTCTCTTGTACCTTTTATCACCACGAAATTTCCCATTTTTCCTCCACCCCTTGTTCACAAACTTCTTTCTCTTCCCATTCAGGTTCAACCTCACGAAGTTCCCTTCGCCGCCGCCGCATTTTCGCAACTTCACACTCGGCATTGGCACACTAGCACCAATCAGGTTAGGGTGCTTCTTTCCGAATTTCCCCAACTTCCTAGCATCAACACCACCTTCCTCGCTCTCAACTTTGGAGCCCGAATTAGACGCGGAATTAAGAACCGGATCGATTCCAGAAGCTTCTAGATGAACAAGGGGTCTTCGAATCTTCGAGAAGGAAGCGGATTTGGAGAAGAAGCCGGCGGGGAGGTTTTCAGTTGAGAGCGCGGGAACACAATCAGAGGGTCGCCGAATTTGGAAGGGAAGTGTAGGGAGGCAGAAAGGGTCTTCCAGGACCGGGTCGGGTTTCGAAGGGCTTTTGGGGGGTCCGGAAGGGACTGATTTGGATCTTGAGGGTTTGATTCTGATTCTGGATTTTTTGGAAACTAGAAGAGGTGGTTTTCTCGGTGAGGGCAATGGCGGTGGACTTGCTTGTCTTGGGGGAGTTGCAGAGACGTGAGATCCGTCGGAGTTTGAATCGGACTCCATTTTTGGGTCGGAGCAGAAGAAGACGAAAATGAAGAAAGGGAAAATCAAATCAAAGCTAAGGTGCTGCTATTTTCCACGCAAACGTTCCCGCCAATTTTTTTTTTTTTTTTGTCTTTGGTTCAGAGTTTGGGCCTTGATGGGCTGGACAGCGTGATGAAATACTAAACTAAGCCCAGTACTCTTGGCCTCGTTTAAAGCCAAGAATGATATGAAAGACTCAACAGCTGGTTGAAACTGGGATAAAATGTTCTAGAATTAAATCCACTTTTGGTCTCGTGACTACTCACTTAGATCTTTGGATTTATCTTACTCAAATAGCAGTGAGTCTGATTTTTGAGAGTCATAAGATGGTGAGGCTCAAATTTGAAACTGGATTAGTCGGATTAGTTAGTGTTTAGGACACTGGTTGATATCATTTTTACGGAGATGTTATACTTACAAGTATAACCTCCTTTGACTTATAATTTCTTTTGATTTACAATCTTTTAATAATTATTTTTGTTATCGTTGGATCAAAATTAAATTAATCATTTCTACAAAAAAAAAAATTAAATTAATCATTCTAACTTAATATTATTTTATAATCATTAATATAATTTTGATCTAACGATAATAAAAATAATTCTAAGAGATTATAAGAAAAAGACCTCTAAATTTTATGTATGAAATTTTGTATAAAAAAGATTCATCCATGAAATTTTCACCCTTGTTTCAGCTCAAAAGAAATAAAAAGTTCCAAAAAGAAGAAGAACCTCTTCTCTGGGTACAACTGCAGATTTTTTTATTTTTTTTTTATCTAACCAATTCAAATTATACACCCACCTTACATGACACAAATATATGGAAAATGCATTACCTAAGCCGACACCAACTTTGATAAGAATCAATGCAGACCTAGAATTTTTTATGACAGCGAAGAAAATAAATATTAAAGTTACAAATATTATTAAGATTAACATAAAAGACTAATTATTACAAAAAAAAAATTTAAGTAGAAGTTAATTAGGACTTATAATTTTCTTTTATTATTATTATAAAAAAAACCATTATATATATATATATATATATATATATATATATATATATATATATATATAGGCAGTATCTTTTGACACCGGTGTCAAATTTGAAGTTTGACACCTCATCTGAGAGCCGTTAGATCAAAAAAGATCAACGACTCTGATTTATAAGCATGTGACACTATTATGATATGAAAAAAAATATCAAAATTTAAGGCGGATTAACCTGCCAACCAATTTCTTTCCTATGATTTTCATTCCTTGTATCTATCTATCTCTTAAAATGACATAACTTGTGTCATTTAAAATGATAAACATCAAACCCATAAAAAAATTAACCAAATGCACCCAAACTATGCCACCCCCAAATTGTTAACCTTAGCTGGCACAGCAACTCCTGGTTTTGCTAGTGGAAAAACAAAGTTACCACGGTTTCCACTGGTCTATACTTCTGTTTCTTTTCTTCTTCTTCTTCTGTTTTCCTTTTTTGCCCCCAGGGTAGGGGGGTTCAGTAAGTATAATGCACATGGATAAACTTCTATCAAGAATGAAATCAGTATGCTTTTGACAATATTAACAAATATGAATGAGTGACTTCTACTTCACACTTCCATTAATTGAGATGGAAATCAAATAACAAGAATGCAGCAAATAGAGGGAGCACAATCCTCCAAATGCCTCTAATTAATGGCCTACTAACAAAAAAGGAAGGGAAAAAAATAACTTTACAATTACACAAAGTGGCATTTCTTACAAGATATATTGGAACCAACATAAACCAATTGGCTATCACCCCAAACAGCCTTTAAACCTAAAACCATAACCTCTCGTGTATATATAGGCCAAGGGGAAGAGTAAAAATGCTGGCAGAAAATATAGGCACAATCTGAACTTTGCAATCTCACATTATGATGCAATTACACTTTGATTCAAGCTTATTAGGCGGCTTTATGCTGTCTACCTTGTTAGGAAGCCCAACATTGTGTGTCAAAGACTCATCAACATTTTCATCATTCTCAGTCTTAGCAGAAGGGGATTTTACATCAGTTTCCACCGTCCTCCTCGGCCTTGCCTTCTGAGGTTTAATAGCGCGCTTGCCAGCATTTCGGCTGCGAGAATCCTTTCTGTCAGAATTAGGTTTCCCCAATATAGTCACTGTTGGCTCAGAACCTTCCAACGAATCTGAGCATTCCTTTTCCATTGCTATAGTTGCTGCCTGATATGCAAGATCATGGATGATAGAGCTGCAAAATAGTATCGTATCTGTTGCCTCTTCAAGTGTTAGGCTTCTAGTGTTGTTCCCTCCACCTTGACACTCTACTGTAACAGTGGATTCCTCTGGCATAAAGCATTAGAAATCTGTCAGAAATTGGCTAATAGTAATATTCTTTTCCCAAAGAAAGCTTCAGCAGATAAAATAGATAACAACTAACAAGCACTAAAGTACCATGCATGTACATAGAAAAGCAGAATCTCTTCTCAATAGAAAACTGAAGTGAACCTCTACTCCCCTCACTAACAAAAAAAAAAAAAGTTCAGACTTCAGATATCATTGGCTGTGGAAACCTCAGCAAAGCAAAATATAGCCACGTTTATTATCAGACTTAGTGAACTTTGATGTTCAGAAAGTAGCATAGAACACTAAAAAGACTTATTCTTAACTGAAAAATTAGAAACTACACTACTAAATTGCTGCTAACTTGCTGAAGCCAACAAATAAATATCCTAACTTATCAGGCACATCACTTTAGAGTATTATCACTGACTTTACATTGTCAACAATATATCAAGAAACAACTACCAATATATATATATATATATTGTTGAGATATATAGTCCCACATTGGTTGTATGAGCAACTAATGTGGAGTTTATAAGGCCTTGGGCACTCCCACCCCTTGAGCTAGCTTTTGGGGTGGTGTATCCCAAGGTTCTTTACATGGTATCAGAGCCTCACCGTCTCCCACTTTCTCTTGTGGCGTTTCTTAGCACAGGTAGGCTGGGCCTGTTGCATTGTCCACTCTTCAAGCCCAATGAGCTCCCGTGTGAGGGGGCGTGTTGAGATATATAGTCCCACATTGGTTGTATGAGCAACTAATGTGGAGTTTATAAGGCCTTGGGCACTCCCACCCCTTGAGCTAGCTTTTGGGGTGGTGTATCCCAAGGATCTTTACATATATATATATATATATATATATATATATATATATATATATCAAGAAACAACTTTTCAAAATACCAAAACTCAATCCCTTAAAAATCATTACTATGAAACTTGAGTAGCTCATTATTAATTTCAGATAAAGCAGATGTGTTGGTGTCTCAAGGCTGCTGTTGATGTCCTATTTTTTAGGAGTTAATTAGTTGTTTTTTAAATTGATTAGTCTTTTGTTTAGGAGTTTGTTTACTGCATTTTACTGTTATTGCTTTGTTAGTTTGTTGCTGATTTTGTGGACCAACAAAATCAGCTAGTTAGTAGCAACTGCATGAGCTCAGTTTTGTATTTAAAACAAGTTCATTAGTCAGAATAAAAAAATAAGCTGTTGCACAATATTGTTTCTGATGTTTGTTTTTCTCATAAAAGATCAACATTGGTATCAGAGCCTTCTTGATCTTAAGGGGCTGTGAGTGACTTGAGAAATTAATGGAGGGAGGATCGAGTGGTTTTTCAGCAATGGCTCCACCAATATTCGATGGAGAAAATTATCAAGCATGGGCAGTGAGAATGCAAGCCTATCTAGAGGGTTGCGATTTTGGGAAGCTGTAGAACAAGATTATGAAGTTGCTCCCCTTCCTGATAATCCAACCATCAATCAGATCAAGTTTCATAAGGAGAGGATAACAAGAAAAGCAAAGGCAAAGTTTTGTTTATATGCTGCTGTCTCACCTGCCATTTTCAGCAGAATTATGGCTTGTGAATCAGCTCAAGCTATTTGGGACTTCCTCAAAGATGAGTATAAAGGAGATGAGAGGATTAGAAGCATGAAGGGGCTGAATCTAATCACACAATTTGAGAGATTGCAGATGAAGGAGTCTGAAACAATTAAGGAGTATTCTGATAAGTTGGTAAATATTGCAAATCAAGCAAGAGCTCTAGGCACTGACCTCTCTGATAATAGGCTAGTGCAAAAGGTTCTTGTCTCCTTGCCCGAAAGGTTTGAAGCAACCATTGCATCTTTGGAGAATACCAAGGATTTGTCTCAAATCAAGTTGGCAGAATTGCTAAGTGCTCTGCAAGCACAAGAGCAGAGAAGGTTAATGAGGCTTGAAGGAAGTACAGAAGGAGCTTTGCAGGCTAAAGAACAGCATAATGTAAGATGGAAGAAAAGAGATGACAGTAGTGGTTCAGAAGCTGCTGCAGGAGAGAACAATGCAATCAACTCTAAGAACAATTGGGGCGGGCATTCCTCATGTAAGCATTGTGGAAAGCAGAATCACCCACACTTCAGATGTTGGAAGAGGCCAGATGTGAAGTGCAGAAAGTGTCATAGGCTTGGACACATTGAAAGGTTCTGCAAAGAAAAAGGAGATCAGCAGCAAGGTGAGGCACATGTTGCAGACCAGCATGAGGCAGATCAATTATTTGCTGCCTCTTGTTTCTCCTCTAGTGCTCCATGTGATAGTTGGCTTGTTGATAGTGGTTGCACAAATCACATGACAAGTGATGAAAAGCTATTTAGAGACCTTGACAAGTCATTGCAGTCAAGAGTGAGAATTGGAAATGGAGAGTATCTAGAAGTGAAAGGTAAAGGGACTGTAGCAATAGAGAGCTATGCTGGAACTAAGCTGGTTTCTGGTGTGATGTACGTGCCTGATATTGATCAGAATTTGCTGAGTGTGGGGCAGTTGGTAGAAAAGGGATTTAAAGTGATATTTGAAGAAGGGAAGTGTTTGATCTTTGACTCAAATGGTCAGGAGCTGTTCAGAATAAAGATGCAACAGAAGAGTTTTTCTCTAAATCCCCTTGAGAAGGAGCAAGCGGCATTCAAGTGTCAGGCTAGTGATTCAGAAATATGGCACAAAAGGTTGGGGCATTTTCATTACAAAGGCTTACTATTCATGCAGAAGAATGAAATGGCAACTGGGTTACCAATCCTGGAGGAGCAGATCACAAGGTGCAAAGCTTGTTTTTTGGGCAAACAGACAAGACTTCCTTTCAAAGAATCCACCTGGAGAGCTACAAAGAAGCTACAACTAATTCATACAGATCTTTGTGGTCCTCCAGTGACTCCTTCACTAAATGGCAGCAGGTATTTTCTTATCTTCAACATGGAGGAGTGCAACAGTGTAAGTACTAATGGGTCAAAAGGAAAAGTTTCAAAAGAAAGATGAATCGGAATCTGCAGATGAAAGAGTTTATAGGAGTTTAATTGGCTGCCTTAGTATCTTGCAACTAGGCCAGACATTATGTTTACCGTAAGTGTCTTGTCTAGGTTTCTTAATTGTCCAAGTGAACTGCATATGGTAGCTGCAAAAAGGGTGTTAAGGTACTTGAAAGGTACTCTTTCATATGGAATCAAATTCTGCAGAATTCAGAAGTTTAAGTTGCAAGGGTATTCTGACAGTGACTGGGCTGGATCAGTGGATGATATGAAAAGTACTTCGGGTTATTGTTTTACATTTGGGTCAGCTTGTTTTTCTTGGTGTTCAAAGAAGCAGGAAATAGTGGCCCAATCAACTGCAGAAGCTGAGTTCATTGCAGCTACTGCAGCTGTAAACCAAGCATTATGGTTGAAGAAGCTGATGGATGACCTGCATTTGGAGCAAAAAGAAGGCATAGAAGTATTTGTGGATAATCAAGCTGCTCTAGCTATTTCACAGAATCCAGTATTTCATGGAAGAACAAAGCATTTTAAGATCAAGTATTATTTTTTGAGAGAAGTGCAGAAGGCTGGAGAAGTGAAGCTAATGTACTACAGTTCAGAAAACCAAATTGCAGATATATTCACCAAGTCATTTCATGTTAGTCGATTTGAATTTCTCAGGGAGAAGCTAGGAGTGTGCAGCATTTGATCCAGGAGGAGAATGTTGGTGTCTCAAGGCTGCTGTTGATGTCCTATTTTTTAGGAGTTAATTAGTTGTTTTTTAAATTGATTAGTCTTTTGTTTAGGAGTTTGTTTAGGAGTTTGTTTAGGAGTTTGTTTACTGCATTTTACTGTTATTGCTTTGTTAGTTTGTTGCTGATTTTGTGGACCAACAAAATCAGCTAGTTAGTAGCAACTGTATGAGCTCAGTTTTGTATTTAAAACAAGTTCATTAGTCAGAATAAAAAAATAAGCTGTTGCACAATATTGTTTCTGATGTTTGTTTTTCTCATAAAAGATCAACAAGATGAAACTAGAATGGACTGTCACTCTGTTAATTTGGTATCCCTTTAAATTGCTCAAAATTAACATATGAAGAACTGCGTTCTACATAAATAGAGATGAGTGCATCTCAGAGATATGAGATAATGATAAGAAGAATCTTATGGCCTTTATTTTTTATTTTTTTCATCTCAATCATTATTGGCAATATCTAACATTTAAAATTCCAATTTAGTAAGCATCATACCTATGTCATGGAAGTGCTCAGAAATAGAAGCTGTAAGACAGTCGTTGGAAGAATTTGGAACAGAATGTTCTTGATAGTCATTGACGGTGCTCTTTGATACCAGTGATGGATCATCCTCCACCACACTGGTATCATTCTGACAACAGTTTTCCCCTTCTATTTCTGATTCTTCAATTGTAGAAGAGTTGGTAGAAACCACAGCACCCAGTCCATCAACATTGGAGTTCTCAACATCATGTTTCTCATCAAAGGATGAGTGTGGATCCTTAACTGATGTTTCTGTATTTGAGACACTGCCAGCATTATTTGGAGGGTCTTCAATACTGTCATATGAAATACAATCCCCATGATTTGCAAATGATGCCACTGAATTGTCATCAGGCTGAACACTGGTAGCCTGGCTTATTAATTCTGAGCTAAAAGGATCTGTTATTCTACCACAATTGTGATATTCAAGTTTATCTTCCCTGACAACAATCAAACCAATAGAAGAAGCATCAATTACATCTGTCACTGCATTTTCTGAAGCTTGCATTTCTTGTTGAGCTAGGGATATCTCCTCTAGATTGCCGCATTCTGCATTGCCAGAACAAGCTTCTTGTGTTGCAAAACCTAATCCATGGTGAGAATGGTTTGACATTTCAGAAAAAGATGAACCAGAGCTTGGAGGCTTGATCCTTATGTCATATCCACAGTCTCCATCCAATTTCCTGCCACTTGACTGCCTTTGGACACGAAACTCAGAATGTCTTGCTGAGCTGAAATCAGCAGATGATGAGGCAGAATAACTGGCATGCCCAGTTGAGCTTCTAATACTGTTAATGCTGCTTCTTGCAAAAGAAAGATCATCATAAGATATGGTTGAAGCAGTAAAAGTCCTGCCCTGAACTACAGGTCCTTTGTTGCTGCTTGACCTTTTCAGTAGTACAGAAATGCCAGTACCTTCCAAGAGGTCCACTTTCAAATTTGAGAGATCTTTGGAATGATACAACTGTTGATCTCCAGAATGATTATCTCGCTTCTTGTAATCAACACCTAACTGGTCGACCTCTAGTTGGTTGGTAGGCATCTGCCCACTTCCCTCCAAAAATGGACTTGGAAGAGGACTTTGTTGTGAGTGATCCTGAATAAATTCACTGGACAAAGTTTGACTTCCGTCAGCGTCCAATTCACCAAGGGAAAACCTCATGTTACCCACATCATTCGCATGAGGTAGTTCAGACACAACCATCGGTTGGTTGGTTTCAGCTAATGGTTTTTCTTCTGCAGGCATGTATGTAGAAATCACTGAAGAGTCTTGGGAAACTGCCGAAGTTGTCTCTGGGATGATATGTCTCAACAATGTGTTTTTCCTGCTGCATTCTGGACAAAGTCTAATATTCTTCTCAGCTTGATCAGTGGCTACATAATGGCAACCACAACACGAACAGATTGCTGTATACTCAAAACTACCTGTCCCAGAAATGTCACCTGTTACATGGGAAGTTTCTAAACTTTCATTGGATTCTGGGTCAATACCACGATAAACAGAATCTTCAAATTTAGTGATACCTAAAGCAACCATGGGACCTCTACTTTCATTGTGCAGGATATCAACTGATTCATCATTGATCTCATGCCCAATGTTTGCATTTAACACATCAATTTTATCAAAGGAAAATACTTCTTCATGAATATCATTATATAATATCTTCTCAGTTTCACTCGCCACATCATCTTGATTGTGGTCACTTCCTTCAGTATCGGGTGCGAAAATGGTACCATGATCAGAACTCGCATTGCTGCTTGTTGTGACAGAGGAATTCCTTGATACCAGAGAACGTTGTGCAGAATTGGCTTTTCCGGCATAAAAGGTTGTACTTGGCACACTTGATAAAAGTGGTCGGAACATGTTTTGAGGACTTTTTCTATCCTGCACAACGTTGTAAGTTAACTAACAAAAGTAGGTAGTTCGATCACAGCCAACTATTCAAAGACATTCAAGAAAAGGTCATGGCAAAAGGGAAGGGGAGCACAGAGGATTGAACAGGTCTAGATTTTATAAGAAAAAATCATGATTAAACATTGGTTTCTCTGCAACTAAGAACAAACTCAATTATAATAATTATGTTAGTGCCGCATGTATATTATAAGCAGCACACCGAACAAACTCAATGATGACTTAACATGAATCTATTTACTTGGAGTAGTTGTATTGTAAACACTAGAGTTATTTGATTATTGTTTTGTTTAAAAGACGATGGTTTGCGGAAGCAGAGCCCTCAGAATCGATAAGCTTTGATACCAAATTGAAAAGAAGATTTGTATATTATTGAATTGTATGAATAACAGTACAATAATTCTCTATTTGAAGAGACTAAAAGATCTAATGGGCTAAGCCCAAATAAACTTCTAGAATATTCTAACTATTACAAAATACTGATACAAAACAATAATAAAATAATTCTAGTATTTACAGTAGGTTGTCTTATTAAGTGTGGTTTAAAAAAAATACACAAAGGAAAGAAAACATGCACCAAAAGAACCAAATAAAGCACTGTACCAAGATTATATAAAGATAGTTAAAGCAAATATTGTATCAAAGTTTCAATCATTGGTGGCCTAGAATGATCAAGGATGGTTGACTCAGTCCATTACCATTTTCAATTGCTTTGATTTGAATACAAAAACAATTTACTAACCTGGCATAAATCAAAAAGGAAAGTGCATAAAGGAGGGGAACTGTGTGCATGGAGAATGAGTGAGAATGCTCAGAAGAGTAGGGACGACTATCCTAATAGGAATAATCATGTTTTAAAAGGCATAATTGCTTGCCAACACATTGGCAGCAAATCATACAATAATTGACAGAGGAAGTTAATATATTAGACAACAAAATACCATTTGCCGGAGAGCAGAGTCAAAAGATCTTTTAGGAGCAGAACTTGGGGACACCATCCTGGCTGATTTCTTGGAAATCAAAGTAGTTTTGCTGTTTGAAAATGAACCACCCCTTCTTGAACCCAATCGGTTTAAACTACCCACTGGGATGGACTGAAGAGAATCCAGGTCATCATCACAAGATGATATGGCAGAACCTTTGCTAAATTGGTCTCGATCATGGCTATGAAAAGAGCTGCTCCTCCTTGAAGCAGTAGGAGACATTGATTGCCTACCAACTTTAGAGGTAGAATCCCTACCATTTCTAGATGCTGGCGATGAGCCCCTCACATATGATGCTGGTCGATCAGCCAAAGAAGTACGAAGATTGGGAGGAGCTTCAGAAGTGAGACCAGGAATATTAGTTTGCCATGCCCTTATCTTTGGTGAAGTAGAGTTTCCACGATTTGTCTTAATAGGGGAAGTTCCCCTAATCCCTGATGAGACTCCAGGACCACCGGAGCTGGTGCTGATCGGCCGAGGAGTAGGAGTGGAAGACCTGGGAGCAGGTGTCATGGACTTAATTGGAGGTGGAGATGGTCTTCTTGATGGAGTACCATGCTGTAAACTTTGAGTTGGACTAGAATTTGGTGTTGACGAAGGTCTTCCCCTTGATTGCAATGTACTATTTCCGGAGCGAGGGGATGGACTTAAACGATTTGGACTTGCGCTACCCCTACTGCTTCTGTAACTTCTCTCCATCTGAAAGAGGAAATCAAACATAAGATGAATAAAAAGCAAAACTATCACTACATTTTTCATAAGGAGGAGAAATTTTTTTGAGAATTTTTATTTAAATGTAAGTATACATAAAATGAATTCAAAAGCACACCGTAGACGATCTTGATATGGAAATGGGTTTACTCCGAGGCCTTCCTCTGCTTCCAACATTTATTGGTGGTGGTTCATCATCTAATGAAGGAAATAGTGGTGTATCCGGTGGTGTCAATAACCTTTAAATGAAAAAAACAGACATGTGGCATCAGCACAGTAAGAAGTGAAGAACAAAAATCAACTTATGCACACCAAAGTCTCAAGATTTGTGATAAAGAAACTTGAATTATCATCCAGCAAGATGGTGAATTATCAATGCGCAAGAAATATAACTGCAAACAGTTGGAGTTGGAATCATAAAATTGGATCAGATAACACAAACATGTGCAAAAGACAGAAAAGACTACACACCAATCATAGTCATTCTTGTCACCATCTGCATTAAGCAATTCACTGGTTTCTCCTCGACCAGGAACGGATATCCCAAGCTTGATATTAGAAAAATGTCTCAACTTTGTCGCTGCAAATTAACATCCAAGACAAAATGGAGAAATGCATGAGTATCACCCAAATGAAACAGCAAAAAAAACAGATACATTCTCTTCTTAAGATGTCAGTAAAGAAAATTACAGAATGAGTCTTCAAAGTCATCCGATGACTGAAGCAAAAAATTCTCTCTTTCTTTGGACTGCATTTCATTGAACAAAGCAAGATCATCATCTTTTTCCCTGAAGAGCAATCCGCTTTCAAGACTGCGCCCACGCTTGTGACTGTCTGAACGTGTCTCTCTACCAGGAGAGCATCTCAATGCTGGGGAAGGTGGCATCTCCACTACCCAATGCAACTTCAAACAAGTGTCACCTCAAGTTCTCCATACAATCCAAAATCAGAAAACCTTCCACACCCTAACAAGCAACCCAAGATTAACACATACCTCAAACTCACAACAAATTCAATCTCCAAATATCAGTTTCAGTAAAAACCCACTTCACCATTTGCTCTCTTCTCAGGCTTCATTAGATTAGTTCAACTCCTTCTTCTCTAAACACCCAACACACTCTGGCATCATACACAATGTGGCTGAGTCAACCAAACCACATATTTTCAACAAACAAAAGCTAATTTGGCATAATAACACAGTAACAGAAACAACTGTACCATTCAAAACGCAATGCCTTATGCCTCAACATTCATATGCAATAAGCATCCAAAACCAACACTAAAGATATTCCAAGCCCTGAAACCCTAGAACATTGACAAGTAGCAGATCCCAATTATGCCGTTGCCGTCCACAGCTAAAAGGGTACCCAATTCAAACCCCAAAATTCAAACTTGACCACCCATTAAGCCACCATTGAAGTTCAAAGCACACAGCAAAACACACCATTGAGTAGTAGCAGCTGAACTTGGCTCTCCAAATTCCCAAGTCAAATTGCTTCAAAGAAAGTGCACTCTTAAGATCCCAAGTTCGAAGACTAAAAAACAAAAAATAACAAATAAAAAAAACAGAGCTTAAATGCAAATTACAATGCGACGAATAATGCATAAGACACTCGGATCTGTAGCATTCATGGCTTCTTCTGAGCAACCAAAAAGTACAGATCGGAGACAGAGGGATCCAACGGTTCCAACAAACTCCAAAAAAAATTTCTATTACTCTCTCTCCTCACAGTTTTTTTTTTTTTTTTCAGTTCTGAAAAAAAAAGAACATTGAAGTATAATATGAGAAATAATATTATTTTTAATACCCAACCAAAACCTTGTTGTTGTCGTTTGATTTGCTGTTTTTTTCCTCAATAACAAGCATTCAATTTTTTTCTCTCTCTTTACTTTCTTTTTTTTTCAGCTTTCCTTTTTAGTTTGTTCTCTGCCGTTACTAGTGCCGTATAGATTCCCTCTGATTTTTCGCACCTTTTTTTTTTTCTTTCTTTCTCTTACAGCAATATTTCTGAGATTTTTTTTTTTCAAGTAAAGATGTTTTCTATTTTTGACATTCTAATTCTGCATGTAAGAATTAATATTGATCGATTTTGATGTCTTCAAACTTTTAAGTTCCACTTGTTATTATAGCTTTTGAGCCGTTTTCTACATTTTTAATTGCAAACATAAATTGGACTGAATGAGATATTATAATGGAAAATATTACTTTTCTTTTACATCATGTAACTTATCTCATTTTCTCTCATTTCGATTTTCACACCTCACTTTTTTTTCTTTTTCTTTTTTCTTGTAATGGTGGGACTCACTCAGTTTCTCTCTACAACATAAGATACCTCTCTTGTGTAAAAGGAGATTAATAAAATCCTATTATAATTGTGATGGTTGAAGGTTGTTCCTTAAATGCCTACGTTGTGACAAACATTGAAGCCTAGTTTGGACTTTGGACTCTTCCATTTCATGAATGGACACAAACAATACTAATAGCGTTGGAATTTATTAGGGTCAATTTTTGGAACTAAGCAATTGAATATCTTATCAAATTCAGTAAATGTTAGTATGTTACATTGATCATTAGAGCCCAAAAAGAAAAAAAAAGATATAATATTTTGGCTAAAAAATTCTTGTTATTCAGCTTCGAACTAATAAACAAATGATGGGGTTTTATTCAGCTAGAGGAAACATACATGTACAATGAATGAGCCAAAAGAGCATTATTTACAAATCTGTATAAAACAAAGTCCATCTCAAGAGCACTGAACTATCACGGTCATTGGCATCATTTTGGTGAGCTTGGTATTTTAAACAAGTGATATGTCCTAATTAGTTTATTTCTAGCCTAAGGTTTCTTTCTACGTTAAACAATATTCTAATAAATCGGCATCAAACGAGAAAGCAAAGAAAGAAAAAACTTGGGAGGAAAGGAATGAATGAAGACAGAAAAGGATTACGTGGGGCAACGTGGGACGAAGTCAACGTAACAACTGATTTATCATTAACCAATAGCTAGCTTTGTACACTAACGCAAAGATTATCGAATTATGTCACTTTAATTGGTAGGTGATGAAGGAAACTTAAAAGGCTTCATATTAATGATTTCAATTACTTCTTTATGCCTTTTGTCTCGTGTTTGGTCCTAAACACATTTTCCTAAGCCTTGTCTAACACTGCCAACGGTCGTCGACATTTAATTTTCCTTGAATACAACAGGACAAAGTTTATTACCGAGAATAAAATGTATGCATTAGAATGTTTTAAGCTGAGTTGTGATTAACCTTTTTATATAGAAAAGTTTATCCTAATTATATGATTTCCGATAAAATATCATGTGCCCTTTCTTAAAGGTAATGTTAAGGATAGAATATAAAAGAGAGAATAAATCAAAATATGTGAACTCGGAGAACATGATGATGTATAAGTAAGTAAATATGCATCTATTCCAAACTATAAATTAATTAGTTGATCGTAAATGGAGAAGAAGAAAGGTCAAAACCAAAGTAATTATCAAGTCGGCAAGGAGCAAGCCCATCAAAATGCAATTCAGTGAGTTTATATATCCTTTTTTTTTTTATGGTGAATGATGACTCTAGCTATCCATACATTGATTAATGATTTAGACTTGGTACCTTTTATATCTTCTTCATAGCAGGGTTAGCTCATCTGTTATAGCATGACGATCCAGATTAAGACCAGGCTAGGAGATTTTGCATAAATATTTTAATTAGAGTAAATACTCTTTTTGGTCCTCAGCAAATTTCACGACGCCCGTTTTAGTCCCTAGCAAATAAGAAGGCCCATCATGGTCCCTAAGAAATTCAAAATGGACTAATATGGGTCTTTTTTGAATTTGTGAGGGACCACGATTTCAATTAAATGAGTCCATTTTGAATTTTATAAGGACCACGATGGGCCTTTTTATTTGCTAGGGTCTAAAATAAGCGTCGTGAAATTTGCTAATGGGCGTCGTGAAATTTGCTGAAGACCAAAAAAGGTATTTACTCTTTTAATTATAGTTCATTGCTAGGGTAATTTTTTCTAATGGTTTTTTTTTAATAATAATAATTATGTGTTATGCTTTATTAAAAAGTTCAATTTCTAAAATATTTATTCTATCTATTATGAATTATCTATTAATATTCTTGAAAAATTACTTTGTTTCAATTTATTAATGTTTAAAAACATTATTAATTGTTTTTTTATAGCCTATTAATTGTTTAATTTATCATTTTCATTAAATGATATAATATATAAATTATGAAAAAAGTATTTGTCATTTTAAATAACATAGAGTTATGTCATTTTAAGAGAGAGATAGACACATAATAATTTTTTTATTTAAAATTTAAATTTAAAAAAAAACAACCACTTTCTCTCCCATGATTTTCATTTCTTGTGTCCATCTTTCTCCTAAAATGACATAACTTGTGTCAATTAAAATGATAAACATCAAACCCATAAATTATTGAACAGATAATATTTTTGGTATTTTAAAGACAAACAATTTAGTTGTAATATTTTTTAGATTAAGACTGTTTGATATATTTCTTAATGTTTATATATTATCTTAAATGATAAACATTTTAAAACAGATGAAATATTATTAGTAATTATTTTTCAATAATGTGATAATCTACAACTAGTTCATAATTTAAAATAATTAACTTGTTCTTTATTCATTATCATTGTCAAAATAAGTGTTACTACGTTTACTAAAATAAAAATTACGTATTACTCTAGGGATAGGATATTGTGACACCCAAGTTATGTTACACCCATGTGACACCCAGTCAATCTCACCGTTAGATCGCTTATGTTGATCCAACGGTTATATTTATTTCCATCTTTGTATGGTCATGATTTCCCAAATTTAATATTTTATATTTATTTCTACCTTTGTATGGTTATGATTTCTCATATTTAATGCTTTCACTTTAAATTTGTGAAATCATGACCATACAAAGATGGAAATAAATATAACCGTTGGATCAACATAAGCGATCTAACGGTGAGATTGACTGGGTGTCACATGAGTGTAACATAACTTGGATGTCACAATATCCTATCCCATTCCTCTATGGTTTAAAGAATTTAGAACATTACTTTGGTATCTACATTTTTAGATACTCATTAAAAAATTTACTGGTTGTTGGATATATTTAATGATTTTAAAGTCTTATATATTATAAAATTAGTATTCAATAAATGTTTCATACCTCATCAATTCATCATAGATACTATATCCATAAAGTTATTATAACTATTGTCAAGAATTTATAGCATGTTTAATTTCTTATTTGAAATCCAAATATTGTGATTTTGACAAAATTAAAAAATTACATTTTTTTTTTCTAATTTATGATTTATAACTTTCCAAATAAAAAACAAAATGCTCTTAATCTCTTATGTCCTAATTTATATATGGACTGTTTGATTGCGTTCTGTTTTGTATTTAAAACTGTCTTCTAAAATAATTATTAATGGAATATGTATTTTCTGTATTTTTTATTTTAAAAGTTAAAAAAAAAAAAATCAACCAAGAAATATTCTCTAAAAATTAAAAAACAGTTATAATTTTTAGAACTAACTATTTTTACAAAATAGATCTTATTAAATAGTTTTTTTTTTAAAAAAAAATTTGAAAATTGTTTTAAAAATAGCATTCAAACAGGCATTGGTTTTTGAAAAATTGGACTTCTCATTTGAGACAAAAATAGCAGGCCTTAAACAAAGAGGGGGGGGAGGAATTCCAAAAGTGCTGCCAAACACTGAACCCTCTTCAGAAATATGATAGAAGCAGTGAATTGCCAAATATGCACTTAACATCTAAAATTCTCAATCACAGAGCCCTGTTACAAGTAAAAATCGGAATTTATTATGTAAAATGACGTATTATCAGAGTCTAAGAATATTGAAAGAAAGAATAACCTTATTTTTTAAAATTATCCAGATTAAATATGAAGTTGATACAAATGCTTCGTTTAAGTATTTTATATTTTTATGTATAGTTCATTATACAAAAATGAAAAATCTTTTACAGTCAATTATTATAGAAATTCTCTATTATAATAAAGACAATATTTTTTTCATGTTACATGAGAAAATATTATTTCATGTAAAAACATAATCAAATTAACTCCACAACTAAAAAAAAAAAAATGCTGGTTCGAATTTTGATGAGTATATAACATAAGAAAAGTTTTTTCACGTAACATGAAAAAGATATTTCTCTTATAATAAATACGATTAGTTTTGTGTTCAATAAATAGTGTTTGAAAAGTGCGAAAAATCATATAAGTTTCTTACTAAAATATAAATTAAAAAAAAAACTTTATTAATCTCGTATATAATAGAAAAAAACATTATTCCCATATAAATTAAGGTTTTAATATTTTTAAAGTGAATGTTCGCTCCTAAAATGATGTTGTTTTGGGTTGAAAAATTAAAAAATTATAATAAAAAAGACTATTATAACCCTGAAATAAATCATAATTATAAAAATACTTTGATTTTTACCTCAAAACAACGTCATTTTGGACTAAATGTAGATAAGTTATATATATTGACAGTAAAAAAAAAAAAAAAAAAAACCATAAATTATTTGTTTCTTAATCACTAATTCATGTTTGAGAGAGGAAGAGAGAGTCAATCTGAGCCAATTTTGGCAATGCCTTACAATTTCAAACCCATAGAGAGCCATTATCTCTTACTTCTTTAATATATCGAATAATTTTTAAAATACTTTCATTCTTATTGTTGTCCTTTAAAATACTCAAGCGTTACTATTTAAATTTTTTAAAATAATTTCATTCTTATTCAGAAAATGTGATTCATGCTTTCATTCGTAACTTAGGAATGCCAAATAAGAGCAAATCATCAAATGTAACTTAGGCCTAGCAATTGTCACGGGTCACTTGGGCTTGGGGTTTAACAGATCCAAGTTTTGTATTATAATTCGAGTACCATCAGGTTTTGTATTACTACTAGTCTACTACTACTACTACATGAAAAATGTTTTTGTCTTTAAAAAAAGTTGTTCAAAGACAATATCGAACACGTGTCGGATGACAGAGCTATTGCTTCTAATATATTTATATTTATAATATATAAACGAATAAACGAACGGGGTTCAATAAGTACTCAATAGCTCTATGGCTTTTAGGATTTGGAAAAATCAATCAATAATTTCCACCCCATGAAATAAGTGAGCAGAGCAGTTTGACTTGTTTATTAAGAGAAAAGCATTTCCGAAATGCGAATGCTTTGATGGCTTCGATGGTCCGATTCAACCCGCTCCTTTTCCAAACCACCGGAGCGACCAGGAAACCCATTCGGGTGGGTCGCCTTAACGGTTCATATACCACTCTTACCGAAGCACCCGTCGTTGTGGTCACCGGAGCCTCCCGAGGCATTGGCCGTGCAATTGCGCTCTCCTTCGGTAAAGCCGCTTGCAAGGTTTCCACATGTACTCCCTTCTTAATCTTAATAATAATTATAATAATAATAAATCACTTTCCGTTAAACCCGATTAACAAGTGTGGGTAGAGAAAATATTTGTATGCAGCCTTATCCTTACATAATTGCAAAGAGATTGTTTTATGAATTCGAACTAATGATGACTTTTCAATTATCCTTACATAATTGCAAAGAGATTATTTTATGAATTCGAACTAATGACTTTTCAGTTAAAAAGAATAACTTTATCACTGTTCTGGTTTCACTGCTTTGATCAAATCCTGATAATAATACTAATAATATTAATTGGTTTCAATTTGGTCATCATAGGTGCTGGTGAACTATGCAAGGTCAATCAAGGAAGCTGAGGAGGTTTCTAACCAGGTACAATATTCAATACAAGCAACTAAGCAAGGTATGTTGTAGTGATTTTGAGTGAACTGCATTAATTTATTTGATTATTTTATTGCAGATTGAGGCATTTGGTGGACAAGCTATTACTTTTAGGGGAGATGTTTCCAATGAGGCTGATGTGGACTCTATGATTCAAACTGTGAGCAAATGTTTTTGAAATTGTTTACATTGAAATTATTCTCTACCTTGGTTTTATTCATGACTTTAACATCTCCTCTGCAGGCAGTTGATACTTGGGGAACTGTTGATGTGTTGGTAAATAATGCAGGTAACTTGGATAAAGCTCTTGTGCTAGCCTTTTTTTTTTTTTTTTTTTTTAATTTCAGATTTGATACTCAAATAAAGATATCATCATGGATTCAGGAATTACTAGGGATGCTTTGTTAATGAGAATGACAAGATCACAATGGCAGGAGGTTATTGATCTTAATCTCACTGGTGTTTTTCTTTGCACACAGGTAAATATGTTCATAATTTGAGTCCATTTTAAACTAAGTGTAGTTTTTTTTTTAAATAAAAATAAAGAAATTGAAAAAAAGGAGCTGAGTTGGTTCATTACTTTTTACAGGCAGCAGGAAAGATTATGATGATGAAGAAGAAGGTGACATCACGCTTGAATATTCTTCCCCCCTCCCCTCTCCCTTTTTTCTTTCTTTTAATTTGTTTATAGAGTAAGGGGGTGTTGTTGGATAGAACCCTTTAGGCTTTAATTTTTCTTCTTTGTGAAATCATCGGTTTTTGTTTTTATGCTAACAAAATTGTCTTTGTAAATTACTAGACATTATTTTTTAATTTTATTATTAGCTACAGTTTATATTTCTGAAAATGTTTTGTATTCAGCCCATTGCAGTCTTCATGATTTTCAAAATGACATCTAGTGGCTGCTGAAGCTCTCTAATTTCGCATCTAAGTTTACTGGTGTTTTGCAGGGAAGGATAGTTAATATTGTATCAATTATTGGTCTTGTTGGCAATGTTGGACAAGCCAATTATAGTGCTGCAAAAGCAGGAGTAATTGGCCTGACAAAAACTGTTGCAAAGGAATATGCTAGCAGAAGCATCACTGTAAATTCTTGTGCCTGAAATCTAAGATACAGGTTATCAGTTGATAGAAATTAATTAAATCCCAGCATTTCTTTACAGGTTAATGCAGTTGCCCCAGGGTTTATTGCATCTGACATGACTGCCAAGCTAGGACCAGAATTTGAGAGAAAGGTTTCAGAGAGAATCCCCTTGGGTGAGAGTGACCAAAATATTTTTAACTCTGAAGCACATTTAATGAAAGTTTCAAATACATGAAGATGTAGGTAACTTAATTTCCACCTTGGATTCAGGAAGATATGGCCAACCAGAAGAAGTTGCTGGACTGGTGGAATTCTTGGCTCTTAATCCTGCTGCTAGTTACATCACTGGACAGGTCATTTATTAATTTTCCTTACTGGTTTCTAAATATAGAACTACAGTACTCAAACTAGCCAACTGCTCATTGTAATTCAAAAAATTCCAAGGTGTACTTAAATTTTAGATAGTTTAATCTGATAACCAAATAAGAGGGCAAGCTTTGAGCAGCAGTAACTTTGCTCCTTGTGACCGAAAGGTTATTGGTTTGAGTCTGAGAGACGACATTTTTACAAAAATACAAGGGTAAAACTGCCCTCATCCTCATCCTTACAAGTTGAGGAGCCTTATGCACCAGGGTTTGCTCTTTGCCCTTTTTTGATAACCTAATCCTGTGATGTTAGGGTTCTTTAACTTCTTTTATTTACTGTATTTTTCTCTATTCATCTGTTATGTGTTCACAATTGCCGTGTTACAGGTGTTCAACATCGATGGAGGTTTAGTGATGTAAGTCAGCAATCTGTTTCCTTAGCAACTTGAGCTGCTTCTGTGATTCAGTGTTCATCCCAATGTACACAGAATTTCAACTTTTGTCATATGGTGATAATTCTGTGCTGATTTCTGCTAAAGCTAGTTATACCCATTGATTTATGGTAGAATTTTAGTTGAGCTTTGGAGGATGAGTTCGGCATCTTCTTGTATTTTGGTGACTCTTATGGTCACATTCACACAGAATAGGTATACATTTTACATAAACTTTGGACATTACCTTTCCTTAAGAGTGAGATGATTGCAGCCATTTCTGAATTATTTGAGGCAATTGATTTTCTTTCTTTTCTCCCTCCGGGTAAGGGGGTTTCTTTTCTTAGGTGCTTGTAGAATTTGTCAAACCATGAAGGGTCTACATATATGTAATGCTCTTATCATTAATGCAAATTATGCAATCTTGGTGGTCATAGCCTTTCTCTCTGCCTATTGAGTGGCATAATATCCAATATGGGTCGACAGCCTATACTCAGTAGGTTAAATATTAGGAAAATGAAAACTTGTGAATATGTTTTTCCTTTGAACTAATATGTTAATTAATCAAGTATTAAACTAATGTAACACATAATTCTGTTGCATTTAACTGATATAAATGATGTACCAAGTTAATTGCAGGGAGATTAATAAAATTAACACAATTTTTCTTAAGTGAGTGCTCTCCCTCAACTAATGGCTGCAATCACATTCACACAGAATAGGTATACATTTTACATAAACTTTGGACATTACCTTTCCTTAAGAGTGAGATGATTGCAGCCATTTCTGAATTATTTGAGGCAATTGATTTTCTTTCTTTTCTCCCTCCGGGTAAGGGGGTTTCTTTTCTTAGGTGCTTGTAGAATTTGTCAAACCATGAAGGGTCTACATATATGTAATGCTCTTATCATTAATGCAAATTATGCAATCTTGGTGGTCATAGCCTTTCTCTCTGCCTATTGAGTGGCATAATATCCAATATGGGTCGACAGCCTATACTCAGTAGGTTAAATATTAGGAAAATGAAAACTTGTGAATATGTTTTTCCTTTGAACTAATATGTTAATTAATCAAGTATTAAACTAATGTAACACATAATTTTGTTGCATTTAACTGATATAAATGATGTACCAAGTTAATTGCAGGGAGATTAATAAAATTAACACAATTTTTCTTAAGTGAGTGCTCTCCCTCAACTAATGTGTGTTCGAGGCTCAAGTACAAGAAATAAAAGGTTTAACAATTAACATACAAACTGAAATGGGAAAAGTATATCAAGTGATTGATGGTGTTGAATTTTGGAAACAAATCTTAATTATGACATCGTGCAAATTTAATACTGATTACAATATTGAGTCACATGACTTTAATAGTTTAATCAAAACCAAAAGCACATTTGTAGTTCAAAAGTGTCTCGGCATCATTTTGTTGCTTTTGCAATTTGAAAATCCCTCACACACACATATACATGCAAGCACCCGCACGCACGAATGCACACACACCTGCACAAACACACGAGCGCGCACACACACATCATTTTATTGCTTTTACAATTTGAAAAACTCGTTTGTAAATATTACATACACTTTTAAAACATAACCTAATAATTTTCTAAAAATAATTATTACAACAATGATTTTCTTACGACACCCAGACTTATTTTAAATGAAATCTTTATTATCAAGTTATTACAATCAATTTTCTAAATTATTTTTTAAATTTTTGAGTAAACTTGTTTTTTCTTTTAGTAATTAGATATATAAAAATGATATTTTTAATTAACTATCTAAGAACTTATTATTACCAATAATTATATAAATAGGAACTTAGAAGGCTAATGGCATCAATTATTACATTATTGATTTAAAAATAAAATGAAGGATCGTATGTGACTAAGTTGTATTTTGATAAGTTAGAAAAATATTATGACATTTTTATAGAAGTTATTTTTCTTTTAACTTTAGAAGAGAAAAAAACACTAAATTACATCTTCCTTTTTTCTTCATTTTTGCTTTTTTAGAGAGAAAAAATCTAATCATCCTAAATATTTTGACATTTTTTGTATTTAAAATGCTGTTAAAAAACACAAACAAACTAGCCTAAAGAGTTATGTTCTTTGGATTGGCCATTCTTTTTAAATAAATTGGTTTCATAACCCAATATTAATATGTAAAAATAGATAAAAATTTAAAGTAAAAATATTGAAAATAACTGAATGAAAAAAATAAAAATAATATCTTGGCACATGTGGTAACAAGGACAATTCTTTGGCCTAAAAAAAACTATAAACTACCTATACTCACAATATATATATATATATATATATATATATATATATATATATATATATATATATAAACAAGGGGTTAATGTTGATCTGACAAACACAAGAGATAACCTCTATATCAGTGGACACACATGTGAGTAACTCGAGTACTAAGAGAAAAAAAAAGGGAACCATACCTATTTCTTTCTTTTTTTTTCTTTTTTTGGTATACAACCACACCTATTTGGCTATTTCTATATGTTTGCAAGAGATAAAAAAAAATTCAAATACTTTTAAAACATTTCAAAATAAATTTATTTTTTTGATAAGTTAGAACTTTCAAGTGAACAAAAGAATAACACCTAGATTAAAAAAATATAATCAAGCTAAGGTTTTATTTGAGGGTATGTGTAAAAATACATTATTATGTGGGAGATTCAGCAGAGAAATGGGATTGAAGAATCAAAAGAAAAAGTGACAAAAAATTAGGACTGGATCCGCATGCATATGTATAATTGAAAAATCAAAGAATTCAACTTTCAAAACATTTCAAAATATATTTTTTAACTTTCATAAGTTAGAACTTTCAAGTAAACAAAAGAAAAACATTTAAATTACACAAATATATTCAAGCTATGGCTTTGCTTGCCGAGATGTGTTAAAATACATTATTATTTGGGAGATTCAAGAGAAAAATAGAATTGAAGAACAAAGAAAAAAAATGACAAATAAAAATTAGGCGCGTGAGAGCTGAGCAGGTGGGGGGAGGGGGGTGAGAGCATGTGTTCGATCCTTTCCAGTACCATCTTTGGGAGGGGTTTAAAGCCTTAGTCTTTGACCCGCCCTGAATCGAACTAATCGCGAAGCCATGAACCGATTGTAATATTTCCAAAAAAACGAAGAAGCAGAAAGACAATTTAAAAATAAATAAATAAAATAATGTTTTAGCTAATTTAAAACACATATCAATTGATTTACCTCTTCAATCTACAAAAAGGTAAGCAAACAACAACTCTTCAATTTATTTAAAGGTAAGGAATCTACACTAATGCAAAGGCTTCTGAAGTAATTAACATAGTATTTAATATTGTAAATGTGTATTTACCCAAACTAAACATGCTCTCTAGTATTATAATTTGAATTTGTATAGTTTTAAACATTTTTTTATATAGGTTAAATTATTTTTCACATACATTGTTAATAAAAAATGGCTTAAAAGGATCTACATCCTGGTAAACTACCTATAATCCACTGGATATCATCAATGTTAGTTTATCTTAATCAGAAAATCCACTCAAGCAAAGTTACGTTCTTTGCTCAGTTTGTTTATTTAAGCAGTCTTGGAGGCACTGGAATGATATAGTGAAGAATCCTCTCATCGCTTGATCTCCTCTCTCTTCGTCTTTTCCTCTTTCTTGATCCTTTGTCAATTTCATTGAAGTTCGATGATTTAACATTCTTTTGATTTGTTTTAAAATAAAAAATAAAATAATGTTAAATAATTATACTTTATTTGATTTTTAAAATAATGAAAGTATTATATAAAAAATAATTTAAGCAATTTAATCTTTAAATTTCTATTACCCACTAAATCATGTTACAAAATATTGTCCAAAGCTCAAAAAAGGAAAAGACCAATTAATAACTCTACCCATTTATTATTTTAATTTTATTACGCGCAAAACAATATATATAAATAATATTATAATAAATTTTACATTATTCTATCAATGAATATTATAAAAATTTAAATTGTATACATTAATTATCAAAAAACACAAAAAATTAGTATATAGCTCAACTACTTATGTTCACATGCTGGTTTAAATGTGATCCAAAACAACTTTTTACTTGGAGTGCATGGAGCGGGCGGTTCATAATCGATTTTGACAAAAATCGAACCGAACCAATTTTAAATGAGTTAGTTTTCAAATCAAACTTTTTTTTAATCGGTTTTTAATTTTTAAAATCAGTTTGAAACCGATTCCAAAACTAATTTATGATTTATAATCGGTTTTAATTTAAAACTGGTTTTAAATCAAAATCGATTTTAAATGGTTATAAACTATAAACAGTTATCAAGTTAAAAATCGATGTTATATCAAAAGAATTAGTAGAATCAGCAACTTGATAATCGACAAGGAAGCTAGCGCATGCTAGCCCCAACATTAATCGGTCTAATTGAATCAAATCAAATAAACCAGCAAAAAAAAGAGGCACAATCAAATCAATTACGAAACTGAAATAAATTGGAAGTGAAAATCGGAATTGATCGTAGCAAGGAAGGTGAAATTCAAGCTAGAATTAGAAAAGACCAACCATATAATCGATTCGAAGCGGTGGCGATTCGAAGCTATGCACTTATAACAGTTTGGTTATAGATAATTATGAATAACCAGATTTTTTATAGTTTGATAAATAATTAATTTATAAAATAAAATCCAGTTTTTATGAAATCGGATTTTTAAAAAAAACTAATTTTTTAAATGTGAAACAGTTTGGTAATGGATCGGTTTGATTCTTTTGAATATTTTGAACATCCTTACTTTCTACAAGCATATTGTTTGGCCATCAATTATCAAAAATAGTCTAACTCTGGATAAAAGTATAAAATCTATATTTAAAAATATAATAGAAGTTTCCTTAGATATTTTGTAGCCATGGTAAATATTTTTTTTTCTCTTGTTCACATCCATGCATTTTAATCAATTTAACAATTAAATATTATTGTATAAACACAAATCTCCATAAGAGAGTTCTTCCTATATATTGTGATGGATTGTAATTCTAAAAGAAACTACATTTTATTTACAAAATTTAGTCATGCATGGATAGATGACAAAAAAAAATAAAAAAATAAAAATCAAACAATCCTAACAACAAATGATAAGTCTAGAGAGAGAGAGAGGAACGATCTAAGCTTTGCAACCTAAATTTGATTATAATGTTACATATATAATCTTGTAAAAGGGCTAGCTGAGCATGCTCTCACATTTTCTTTCTACAAATTAAATTGAACTAGAATCTAAGACTAATTCTTGTACCAATAATTCACGAGAAGAATTTGTAGTTCTTAGCAGAAACGATGATGTTTCTTAATGAACCAATTGGGGATAGTGTCATCAACAATACCCCAAGCACAATGCAGATCTGTAAGGTAATAAAATCAGTTAAAGTCTCATTAAATTACCAGACATAAGAGGAGATTATTTAAGAAAAATTTAACAATGTCAATTAACATACCCAATTGATTGTCCAAGACAAGCCAAATCTCTTGGGTTTGTAGAGTTTAAGCCATATTATACATGGCAGCTGCAATATTAGGATAATATAAGACTAATCAAGTATGCACAGAGGCTTAGTAATTAAAAAAAAATAAAAAAAATTAAAAGAATGATTTGCTTTTACTTACAAAGTATGATGTTGGGGCAAAGGCAAATCCTCCAAGAAATCCAAGAAGAGAACCAAAGAACGGGATGCATATGCCAATTATCATTGTCAATGCTGAAACAAAAAGATAAAAAGATTACTTAAAAGTTATATAATAATAATTCAAAAACTAAAAAAGACTCCATAACTAATCACATACCTACAAATACAGTACGTGCAACTAAACGGAGTGTAAAACAAGGAGGAAGCTTTAACTGCTTCACCAAGTATGTTTCCATCATATCGAACACTGGCATTGAAAATACCTGTTCTTTCCAAAATATAACATATAACACATGCATGAGAGCTAATTAAAAAATGCCAATTTTTTTTTTAAATACTATGAGAGTACCGAACTTGGTACTCTCTTTTACTAAAAAGGGAATTTTTTTTTTTATAATAATTCATACTTTTCTTTATAACTTCTTTTAAATCCTAAAAACTTTCCCCTTTTAATAAGGATGTACCTACAACAGTTGTACCGAAAGTTTTCTTAAAAAATGCATAGTAGTATCAGAAAAAAAATTGAAACTCACCTGGTAGCCTCCAATAACATGGACAATAACAAACATGTTAGCAGCAGCAATAAGCCAAGTGGGATGCTCAAGTGTGATGAGGATGTTGTCATCAACAGAGTTTCCATATACATAGTATCCAATGAAGGCAACAGGAAAGTAGCAAAAGGCCACTCCCATATATGCAACAATAACTCCTTTCCACATTGCTTTTTTGGAAGGCTTCTCAGGAGAAGAGGGTATTGTTGCCTGGATTTCCAGAACCACATTGTGACCTGCATAAGAGAATGCTATCTCTCCCAATGCAGTCATGAAGTTGAATACACCATCTGCAGTGCTCTTGGCATTGTAGCCATAGTCCACATTTGGTAGAACTCCATTTTTAATGGTGGCCACCCAAGCTATGGTTGAGTAACTGTATATATATATATATATATATTTATATTGCAATTAGTAAGGGATTCATAAAAGGGTTCCATTAGTATATACATAAAATAATATATATTTATCAACTACTTTTTTGTTAAAAAAAATGACATCATGTTCCAAGATTGATTGTATTTGTCAATTCTCTATGATAGAGTACATCAAACAAGAATTTATTTATGAATTCTTTAAGTACATCAAATAATAATAATATGTTACACGGTCAATGGAGTTAATGGACTCTCGATCTAAAATCTTAAGACATTAAATTTATGAATCATTTTATTTATATAGTACTTATTTAGTTCATTTCTGGTCAATATAAGAATTTCATTTGTTTTTTCTTAATAAAATTCTCTCTAAACGAAGGACATCAAACAATAATGTTAACTTAGGGGATTGAATGCACAATGAAAATGCATAATCTTATATCCTTTAACCAGTTAATCTATCTTAAAGTTGGGTCAATCTACTAATTAATTTAATTGAAAGTAAAAATAAAAAATAAATAAATATAAACCACAAAAATAGAGAAGTTTGATTACGCGATGGACATGACAGCAGCAGCTAAAGAGATAGCAGAAATAGAGTTGAAGCTGGGACATTGACAAAGAACAAAGTTAACAGAAGCGAAGATAACAATCCAGTAGGAAGTCCTGATGTCTTTACAAGAGGGGCAAACAGTATCATGAAACTTCTTCAGTGATTTGCCTCCAGTGACCATATATGCAATGCACGTGCCGACCTCAACAAGTAACTGTTGGGGAACCACGATCCAAAGACCCAGCTTCTTACCAAAGGCATGTTGTCCTAACTCATGATACCTGTCGAATCTCACGTCAGGCACCATTTCATGCATCTCAACCATTTGCCATAGCGTGAACAAAGTGATGATCCATGACAACACCAAGACAACTGAGCCCGGACCCCTATATATTGTTTCAGTCAAAGGAAAAAAAAATAAATAAATAAATTTGGATCACCAATAAAATGAGGATCAGATTTCATATATATAAGCTATTAAAAAATGAAGAAAAAAAAAAGTGATGACACAATTTTTCACGTGAGAAGAGTATGAGATAGTTATCTTATGTAAAATAAGATAATTATTTTCCTATAATTAAACATATTCACGTTTGTATTTGCATTATAGATGTCAGGAATTTTTGTGAGAGGAGACTAAGAGCTACATTACTTAGACAGGTAATATACCTATTATCTTTCTTTTAAGTTTGAATAAGACAAATGTCTGTAGGAACATGACCGGGTGATTGCCCCTAGCCTTTCACCAAAGTTTGGGAAGTGAAACAATTCAGACTAGTTGCTACTTAGGGCCGTTTGTTACACGGATTTTTTTCGAATTCTTGAAAAACTGAATTTTTTTTAATTTTAAATTTTCAGATATTATCGTAAACTGAATATAAAAATCATGTTTTTGAAAATCGAGATTCCCGGACAAATAAAAATTTCTCCTGTATATATGATTTTATAGCATACCAGCCCATCTTTGACATGGCATAAGGAAGGGTGAGGACACCAGCACCAACCATGGCAGTGAGATTGTGGAAAGCTGAATACCACCATTTAGCATTTCTGGAGGCAGTGACAGGAAGCCAATCATCAATGGCCTTCTGAGTAACACTATCGTCTTCCATTCTTTTCCTTTGCTCAGTTTTTTCTATTTTATTTTATTTTTAACAACAACTTCAAAGGTCTTACAATTAATGTGATCTTTATAATCGGGACAACAGAATCTCAGACCTAGTAATCCTTAACTGCCATAACATACAACTGAAAACTACATGGAAGTTTGGAAACATGTCCATAAATAGCATAACTGATGTAGTTGTGCGGGCATGAGCTATTTCCTCGTTGAATATCAAGCGGTCAACCATAAATTTTGATTTAAACGTGGGATCTGCTTGGTTGCATTTTCCACATGATGTTTTAGTTGTTGTTATCCAGAATTGCGAAAAGAATGGCTCAGTTATATTTTAGTAGAATTTTTTTTTATTTCTAAAAAACAATAATTTGGTATAAAGAATATTGAATATTTAATTCCCTATATACTTCACATCTTTGTTGAAAAAGTGGGGCAATGATAACATTTATGTTATATGCATTTTGTGTGTGTATGAATTTTGCACCCATGGACGATATTCAAATAATTGGTGAACATATTACGTAATAAATGCGAATATTAATTAATTATCAATATTTGGTAATCGAATAATATTCATGTTCATCATATAATACATGTTATTTATTAGTTATTTAACATCCTTTATCATATATGAAAAAATGGAGAACAACTATATATCATTTTTACATTCATAAATAAGTAAAAACCCGAATCCAAACCATGCATGGTGCCATCGGTGGATCTGTATTGTTGCAACACAAATTTTTGAAGATAAAATAAAATATATTTTGAGTGTTCAACAAAAATTATATGACCCAATTTAAACTCTTTAAAAAAAAAAAGTCGACGGTCCTTTTGAATTTTCAAATATATCTGATTAGTCAAAATCGTAGTCCCTCTAAAATTCAAAGAAGACCTACATTATTTCCTCAAAAAGACTAACATGAGTATATTTTGAAATTCAGAGGATCATGAATCAATCTTTTTTCTAAGGAATTAAATTGGGTCCCGTAATTTTTGTTGAGGACCAAAAGTTACTTTATTTTTTGTAGTAAGTTCCAGTTTTTTTTTTAATATTTTTTTTAATACATTTAAAACTTTCTTTAAAAAAAAAATTCGGGAACATTGTCTCCTAACCTCCATCCCTAAATACGCAGACATAAATAATATTAATTGGATCCGCCGTTGCATAGTGATGATGGAGAGCACCCTGCATTGACGAAATAATGAATGGTTTTGGGGAGATCTTGAAAACTCTAGCCGAACTAACATAACATTGCATGATTTCTAATACTACTCTTGTCTATCTCGATCTTAATGTTGCTTTAGCATTCAAGGGAGATGTATGTTGATTTTTTTTCAATCAATATGCTAAGAAGACAGAAATATTAAACTTGTCTATAGTGCTTCTCGGCAAAAAGGTTGACACAGGGAGGGAGTGGTTAAAGTAGTTATATGCACTCGACTTTCAATTTGCTAATTTTGCATGTAGTTAATTTGTTTAGGAACAAAGCTTGCAGGGCTATACTATGTGCAGATATTATTATGCATAGTTTACACAAACTTTTTCGAACATGTGATCATAACAAGTTCTTGAGTGAGAGTATGTACTCTTTCTTACAAAATGGCTCATAATAACATTTATGCAACTAAAGAACTGAAACGCTTATAACTGCTTTTTGACCGTGTACAGCTATTTGCATCTTCCACAACCTGTTCTTGTGCTCCAAAAGAAAAATATTGGTTCATCAATTTCTTGTTGAAGGAGCCCTGCTTGTAGTTCAACTGTAGGGTACCATCATCTATTGGCAGATTGGAGCAAGAGGGTCCCATTATATCAACACGTTTTTGTTTATTGGTCGAAGAATGAGAAGAAATAGATAATTCTTGAAAACGACTAGAAGTTGAATGAACATGAAGAGGCACATGTGGCTTTACTTGAATTACCCCTTGCATTAGGCCTGCAGTAAAATATTTTTTGGAAGAAGGACTTGGAAGATAAGTCCTTATAGATAGTGTTCTTTTGTTGTTTGGAAGAGAGCATGTTTTTGAGTATCTTTGCCTTAATGGGACTGGAAAGTTTTCCAAGTTTTTCCTTGAACTGAAAGAACTCACAGAATCACCATCTTCCAACTCTGAGGTGGTTGCTTTTGTCTCTCTTTTCTTAGGCCACTGGATAAGAAACTTTAAGCTCCTTGCAGCATAATTGACAGAACTAGAATTGCTGTTACATGGGGAATTGGCTGACTCATAATTGTTTAGTTCACTAGAGCATGGATTTGATTCTATACTTGCCTGATCATAATTGACATTAGATGAATTCTGAATTCCAGTGTACAAGAATATCTCAGCATCTGATATTCTGAATGAAGTTCCAGGACTGGCTCCAATACCATGTGTTTTCAAATGAGTAACAAGAGCATTTCTTGCCATATAATCCTGGCAATTAGAAATCCCTCCAGCTGAAATCAGTTGCTTGATTAAAATTTCAGAAGATGCTGATCTTGGTCTTTGCTTCAGATGATCCAGAGGGGTCATCCTATCAGCATCACGAATGTTCAAATCAATTGATGGAACAGACATCAATAATTCCACTACATCACATGGGATGTTATGAATCACAGCTACATGAAGAGCTGTTCTTCCATCATTGTTCCTCACATTGATGATGTCCTGCATGTTCACAATCTTTTCACTTATCAATTGCTTCATGAGCTCAGTGTGCTTGTCCAATCTATAGAAACCAGGGCTTCTGAAACCAACAACTGCCATATGAACAAAAGTATTTCCATAGTGATTGGTTAACATTGCTAATGAGGGAGATGCTCGAATCAGAATCTCTACCACAGGTAAGTAACCTCTATAAGAAGCCACATGCAATGCTGTATTGCCTTGAGCATCAGTTGAGTTGATAATATCAGATGATACAATTAGATTTCTCACTACCTGCATCATTAAAATAATGAAAATAAGCAACGGTTAATTTATTATTAATCCCAATGAAATGCTAGAAGTAAATTTGGACATACTGAACTTTTCTAGCATTAACTGTCCCCAAAAGTATCAAATTTGAAGGCAAGCGGCAGTCACAAAAATAAGCAAGAATGCAAAATATTTAACATTCTCTGGTTTGAGTCTATATATACAAGATTCTATGGGTTCTACCCCTAAGTCAGGTGCCAAACGGAGCCAATTGGAATAAAGCATTAAGAAATATTGTATGAGGAATTCACCTAAATGTGTATGGTATTATTTGAACAGTGTACTAAAAATCTTATATGTCACACTTATCTTTAAGGAGCCTGATCTATGGAAAAGCTTGAAAATGCAACGAACTAGATGTTCTGTAATATCTATATCCAACCCAACATGAAAAGGTTCATGCCTTTTCATACTCTCCTAAATAAGATAATCTCATGATAAGCCTAAATTTTCTGATTGATAATTTAGAAACTTTTAATTATAAGCCAATTACATTTTCTTTTCGTTTTTTCCCCAGTTTACAATTAAATTTATACAGCCTCTGCTGGCCAAATGAAGAAAAGTGTATTCAAGTGACCCTTGAAATATACCGAGTTTTTCTCTAGTTTATATAAAAATATGATACCTATGTCCTTATGAATTCCAAGTATAATATAACAACACAATTAAACAAGAAAGTGCTCATGAATTTTCTACAAGCACTTTTAAGTAATCTGCCTCACCTCAACTTGGCCTCTTCCTGCTGCTGAATGCAAGACTGTACATCCTTGAGCATCTCTATAGGATAAAATCTCAGAAACACTTGCTAGAAACTTGTTCAGTATTTCCCAATCCCCTCCTCTAGCAGCAGCATGAATGGCCCTGTTCACCATTTCCCTATTGAAAACCCAAGCACCTTCATCTAACTTCTCTCCCAATTCTGCTCCAGTGCTGCTAAGAAACTCTTTTCTTGAGAGGGCAGAACCAAACAGGAGCAAAAAGACCTCAGAGTTTTTGCCCCTAGCTGCAGCATAAAGTATGTCAGTGACACCATACTCTCCTTCACCAAACACAAGCAAAGGGTCTCTTCCCAACAATTCCTTAACAAAGTCAACATCCCCAGCTGAAGCAGCAGTGTAGAGAAGCCATCCACCATAGCCAGCACGAATGAGAGAGTTGTTCCCACTTCCTATCTCACAATCAAGCAGAAGATTCCTTGCAACCTTGGAACGACACTTAGCAACATCTTCAAACTGAGCCTCATCATCCCACACAGTTTCAAGGCGGCGAATTCTACGAAGTGAAGTGAGCTTAATGAGGAGGTTAGTGTCAAGGTGGAGAAGCTCAATGACCAAATCATAGAGACCATTTGCAGCTGCAAAATCAATTGGAGTTGCATACCACCATTTGTCTCCTGTGCTCTCCCAACGAAGAGGGAAGTACGAGGAAGACATGGTAACACCAATTTACAAGAAAAAACACTCTCTAGTCTCTACCACTGTGTTTATTTCCAGTTCCAAGCACAAGAACCAAGTGGCTTTTTAGAACCCCATGAATGCATAAAGTGAAAGCACATCACTGAGAAAAGATATGCTTATTATTCTCTTGGACCATTGAAAATTGTGAATAGTGAAGTACAAGGTAACCAAACTAGGATGCCGTAATTGGCCAACATGAAGCTAACTATAAAATGTTGTCACAGGATGTTAGATGACAAAAGGAAAATGACCACAAGAAAGGATTTGTGAGGGAAGGTGGTTCTTATCTCTATGGTGGAGCAAAAAGTTAAAAAAGAAGGCATTGAAAGATTGAGATTCTTGGGGTCTGTGACCTCTCAGCCAAAGGATATTTATTAAATTATATAAATCATTAGACCCCACTACGTTGTTTTCATTCCCTTGAGGAAATTTCGAGGATTGTGTCATTTATAGCAAGACATGGAGCATCAGCACCCACTTAGCTGGGCACGTAAAAAGAAAAAAAGAGATATAGAGGGCACATAATTTTTTGTTACTAGTTTTAGGCGTAATTTCTTTTCATACATAATTATTTGCATGACTTAAAATTATAGCCATGCTAAGCCCTGGAGGCCATAAAACTTATGTGGTGTTCACCATTAGGGGCATAAATTATGCACACCAGATATAGAGACAACACTCAGGACAAGATAGGGCCTGCTTTTTTTTTTTTTTTTGATAAATTATAAGTATTTTCACGCGAAGTAATTTTATTCGGGACGGGTTTAGAATTAAAACTTTAAATTTCTTTCAAAAATAATACTGAAAAAAATTGAATACTTGCTTTTACTCTTATTTGCTTATGCGTGCCGTGCATGTATGAGATTTACGCCTTATATGTCTTGAAGCCTATGATTTGGGAAAGACAAAAGAGGGAACATGGAAAGGAACTTCCACCATTTTGTTGGTGTAATTGGAATCCGTGTCCTATTAAAAATGTAAAAACAATAATAATGTTTAATAAATTATGCACAACTTATAGTTTTGTAATGAATAAGGGTGCCTATACTTTTTTCACCTCTTAATCTCAAATGGCATGACCTTTATATGCAATTGCGAAAGTTGGAATCATTAGTACGTAGTACCGATTACACTGGATAAAACTTTTTCTAGATTATTCTTTTAGTTAACTACTCTGCTACATTTTAACCAATTAGTATGTCTACTGGGGTTAGCACATTTGGTGAAATTTTGTGTTCATATTAATAATGATGATTTTAGTTCGATTCTAAGATTTTTATCGTAGACTCATTCAAAACCCTCAATGAGGTTGATGGAATGTAACTTCCCATAACCTAAACTTTAGGTTTACCACAAAAAAATAATTACTATGCGGCTTGCAGGGGGTGTGACTGTGGACATTCTCATTGGGATTGAATGAAAAAGTCCCTACTTTTTTGTTATCCAAAAAAAAAAAGTCCCTACTTTTTTCCAGTAACCGAGGTAAAAGAAAATCGAGAATCAGATTCTTTCAATAAAAGTTGAAAAAAAAAAATGAGACTCAATAGAATGTTGCTTGTGGTTTGTTTTTTTATTTTTATTTTCATGTTAAATATATTTATTGATACTTATAAAAATCTTATAATATTATTTATTTCAAAAAAATATTTTTATGATATGACTTTTTTTATAAATTATTCTTTTTAACTCTTTTTTAAAAAATAAAATGTTTTTTAATTTAATTGTTTATCGTAAACTTTTTAAATGTATTTTTAAAAAATATAAACAAGCGTTTTTATTTTCTTTTTAAAAAGTGATCGTGTTAGAAAATTGCTTTAATTTTGTATAATAAATTACTAAAATAAGTACGAAAATTTAAAAGTATTGTCTATTAGAGGATAAAACGGTATATTTGTGCCAAGTTATATAATAATCAAGAATATAAAAAGGTTTGAGAAGAATGATGGAGAAAAAACATGAATGTTAAAAAACTGAGTACAATTATTTTATGGGTTTTGGGGATGGATATACTTATCAGCATAAAAGTTTATCATCTTTATCACCAACTTAATCAGTAATTATCATTGATTTTTGACAATTTAATGATTATAATTAATTATAAATTATTGGGTCACTCTTCTTAATTAATTATTAATTTTCAATAAACCTAATAAATTATAACCGTTAAATTAACAAAAATCAACGACAATAAATTAGTTATAAGGGTAGTAAACTTTTATGGTAGCAAGTATATCTTGCTCCATGGGTTTAATATTTTTTATGTTATAGGAGATAAAATTATCTCCTACACACACATAAAATTATGAGATTGTTCTCTCTTTCTTTCGTATAACCCCACATGGCCCCACAAATTTTTACGAGTATAGAAAATAAAATTATCTCTAATAAACTAATCATTTGTGATTTAATATGTGCATTGCCAGTATGTACGGTGATGTTGAAGTTAGCATTATTAAAAGGGTTTGCATTTCTCATGATGCATGACAAATGTAAAATTTTTTACACATACATCGAGATTTGTGCTGTATTTTTTTTTCTTTTCTTTTTTAAATATAATGGACCCCACACTTATTGTCTCTATAATATGACAAGATGATTGTCCTACAACATGATACGTGTTTTTCCTTTATTAAAAATGTACTTACAAAGAATTGTGGGCAATATAAATGTTGCTGGTTTTGAAGATATTGGATGTATTTGATTGTATTTTATTTTATTTTTTAAAGTTGTTTTATAGAATAATTAGTAATTTTTTATGTTTTTCTTAAGTCAAAAGTTAAAACAAAAATAAAAACAACTCCAATATATTCTTTAAATTTGATTCTAAAAATAAAAAGAACAGTTATAATTTTAAAGCTTTTTCTACAAAACAGATCTTATCAAATGAGTTATTTTTGTTCCGAAAATCTAAAAATTATTTTCTGAAACAGATTTCAAATAGGCCTGTTATTCGTTGGAAATTTCGTATTCTTTTGTATCTAAGTTATTAGTATAATAAGACATTATGATTGGTCTAGTGACGACTGATGACTGATGAAGGATTTAGATAGTTTATAATTTTTACTATTATATAAAAAATAAGTTATTAGTATAATATCACACTTAAAAAGAAAATCATTAAAATTGTGAGGTTATATGTTGAAACTTTAATACTATGGGTAATATATTTTTCATCTTGCACGAGACAACACACATAAAAATAGATCAGATCTATCAAGAAAAAGAGAGAGAAAATAAATAAATATATATATATATATATATATATATATATATAAAGAGAAAATTATCTTACATAACATGATATAATACTATTTGTATAAAAAAATGTGTGAAGATATCATAAAAGAAAAAAGAGAAAACCAAATGTTGAACCATTGGAACGGGAAAAAGTCCTACAACTTCGACTTTTTCCTCCTGTTGACTCGCGCTCGCCCCACATCCATGTATCTTCATTTCTTATGTTGAATCAGTACATCACTAAAATCAATATCATGTGATAAAAATAAATAAATTAATATAACGGGATCACGAGCTTGCACAGTTTTGTTCTTCTCCAATCTAATGGACAGATCATGGGTAACAGCCTTGCAATTATGCAACTAAGCCTGGAAACAAATAGAAGAGACAATTTCCTCACTTACCAAATTACAAAATGGATCGCAACACGACAATTTTGTTATATTTCGTAGATTCCATCTCTTTAAGGAAGGTAAATTGGGGTTAAATTTTGTAGGGATAAATGGTCAGTAACTAAATGGATAAATTTCACTGGGGTGAACTTTCCCTTATACATTTTTTTTCTCCTCGACGGAGGCTTTTTTACATATGGGAAAAATGTGTGTATTGTAATCAACTAATTTTTTTAAAAAAAAAATTAATGGATGGGTGAAAATTTAAAACAGATTTATTTTATATCTTAAGGGTTATATTACTCTCATGCAATGGTGGAGCCAGGCTTCAATTGGAGTCCGAGTCAAAAAATTATATGTGTATTTATTTTTCTTAATTTTAGTTAGTTCATATCATAATATATTTAAATTATATTAAATACAAAACATCTGAGCATACAGTATCAAAAAGAGTTATAATTTTATTAAATATTTTTTAATTTTATTAAATATATTTAAATTTTTTTATATAAGTGAAAATGAAACACATAACTTAATACAACTTATCCAAATCTCTCACCAAATATATTTTATTTTTTTGTAGGGCGAAATTATAAATTTTAGCCCGGGTCAAATTACAATTTTAGACTGGACCAAATCATAATTAATTATATAATTATACATGATAAGTATAATTTGTTAAAATTTAGTCCGGGCCGAGGCCACCTCCAAGCAACATGTGGCTCTGCCACTACTCTCATGCAATAGGAGTAGGGGTGATAAACGAGCCAGGGGTCTTTGGCTCGGCTTGTGAAGGCTCAGGCTTACATGCCTAATATTGGTTACTGGAATCAGGCTTGGACTTGTATAAAAACTCGTTTAGTAAAAAAGCCTCAGGCTCTAATTCAAAAGCTCGGCATTGGAGCCTCTCAGGCTGGCCTAGTATATTAATTTTTATTTTTATTTATATTTTTTATACTATTTGTAATAGCCCCCTCTCTCCTCTCAATCCATTTCACCCCTATTTTATTAGTTAAACAAACTTTTTGAATGATTTTGTTCTATATTATGTTGTTTCGATATACATTGAATTTATGAATATTTATGGAATTACTGGTGTTGTTGATTGTATATTCTGTTTGGATAAATTTTTATTGTCTTATTCTTTTTCTAATAGGCTAACAGGCCAAATCAGGCTTTTATTTTTTGTAAATAAGGCAGGCCAAAGGCCGATAATTATATTCGTAACAGGTAGCAGGCTTGGTAAGGCCGACACATTTAATCACAGGCTTAGCCTTTTAAGACCAAAGCTCATCTCGGCTCGGCCCGTTAACACCCACAAATAGGAGATATGTTATCTCCTATTATAAATATAATCATGTGGTGGGACCACTATTTATTAAAAAAAAAAGACATAAGAATCAATGGGTCTATAGGAAGTTATATTACTCTTATAAAACATAGAGTAATATAACCTATATCTTAAACACGATTCTCGCACAAATATTATTTAAGGGTGCTTTTTTTCTGTAGTAACTACACATCTTTATTGATATAGCAGATACATAAAAGTGGGTTTCACCTCTCGGAGGAATCTTTAAACTATAATGTGGCTCACTATGTTTCCCCTGAA